ACAAAAGTAATATAGGGATGATAGATACGACCTTAATATATGATTGGTATTTAAAAACAGTAACGTAAAGGTTTAACAAAAAAAATCTTATAATGAATTTCAGTTTATGCAATTTTTTTTCAGATACGAGTATGACCATGTATGTTTCAGATTATGTCAAAGCATCTAATGTCTTACTCTTAAGCAAGTGATGCAAGTGTATGTAATTGTTTTAGCAAGTTGAGCTCTACATATAATAACATAAATTGTAGATGATACTGGCCGCAGATCTATAAGATATTTCCTCAGTTTTTTTATTAATAAACAATCCTTTAGGATATTTGAGAAAGACAATTGGCTAGAGGATTTGGTAAAAACATTTAACTCAATACACGTGAAAGTGACTAGCGAAAATACATGTGGTTTACCAGAGAAAGCTTAACATTGAACAATCTTTGGAGCTTTCAAAAAATTTACTTCAGCATGCAATCTAAGAAAAAAAATTACCATTAAGATAATTCGGTGTAAAACATAAGTGTGTCAGCTATTCATTAGAGAACGACATTCCATGTAATAGTATAATGTAAGTTAATTTCATATTACTCTTTGGAGGTCTTCCTAAAAGGTGGACATTTCTTCTCTATATGCCGACCAAACTTTGTTCCATATATTTAAGTGACTATTGCAAAAGTATTATAATTAAAAACCATAATCACCATTTGTCTTGGTATGTTTATTATATATTTGGCTGTAAACCAAGCTTTGGAACCATTAGTTTTAGAAACTTAATCTAATATTTGTTGGTCCCATGACTGATGGCACATATGTACTGATGTGCACATTTGCATTCAATTGTTTTTTGTTTGAGGCTAATAATTACTAATGGGTAATTAATTTAGTATTTACTTGTTAGGTACGATCTAGTCACTTTCATTGCATTTTTCATGCAATTACAAAAAGATGGGTTCTCTCGACGATATTAACAAATAACTTTCATAAAAGTTGATTAGTGACCATTTGACTACGAGATTTTGTTTTTGACAAAAGGTGCAGCAAGTAATTACAATTGCCGCCTTTTCTTTCATACAAATCATTAAAATAAGTAATTTTCTGTTTTGCTGATAATTATACCATACTCATGATTAATCTCGGTAATACTGCATGTAGGTATATTGAAAATAATAGTTTTCACTGCAAAAGTTACAAACTACTGGCGCATTTAAAATCGTTTTAGAATATGATTTTAACTTGTGTGGCAGACCGTTTCTTCATGGTCAATATTAAGTTGCAGAATAAATCGTTATACATGCGTGGTTTTGTTTTGCATGTAGTATGGTTACACAATCATTTAGTGGTTTAAAATCTCGTGAGCTCTTTTCAAGGATTGTAATCTAGCATAAAAAAGTCTATACAGATTATAATTTCGAGATATCATTTTTATTATTCTAAATCTAATTAATCATATTCAAATACTAGTAGATAACTTAGATAACTATAGATTACAATATCACAGCGTTGGCTTATAATGTGGATTATGACCGAAGTGCTTAGTGATAATCTTGTTTTATATCCTAATGGTAGTAGGGGTCGTTAATATTAAATCTCTAAGCCCAATCCTAACGAGTCAATGACTTCTTCTAAATATAATTAGCGGTTGCATGATTGGTCCATTGATCAGTCACTGTCCATTTCTATGTACTATAGTCTATATATGGTCTATCGACCACATATACTTTAAAAGTTTTTTAGCTAGAAAAAAAGAAAGAAACAAAAAATTGGAATTCCTAGTTTTTGTATAAGAAAAAAAAAAGGTAAGAAAACCAAAAACCTCTCCAAAGAGTCAGAGTACAAAGGAATATAATGAAAGGTTATTGAAGCGACAGAACATTATTCTCTTGTTTGATTTCAAAACATCGTACAAAACTTTTGATCATGCATGTGTTCTCTCCTGTCGCTTTCATTTGTGTTCCTCACCACACATGGCACATATATACACTCACAGTGTATACACTGATACACATACATTTTGACTCCCGCGTAATAGTCAAAAAACAAAACTTGTAGATTGTCGTTTTTAATTTACTAATAACTTTGGGTTTGTTAAGCCCAATAAGGCAAAAAATAAGGCTCATAAACGTTCGGTGATTACGGGAGATTGCATCTAAAGTTCTAAGCTAATCAACTTTGAAATTATTGGGCCTACTAAAGAGTGTTAAGTTGAGAAGGAGGAGCTCATCAATTCACTAAGGTAGATCGATCGAATTTATTTATTCCGGGGTTCAAACTACAGGTGAATCCAAATTGCAAATCTAGGAGTATAGTTTAACACAACCAAAGGTGGGCTGCACATACGGATGTAAAATTTACGAATTTTTTATTGTTTTATTGTCATGAGACTCAATTTTTTACTGTTTTACTAGTTAGCTATGAATAGACATGACCACGGTTACGGTTATCACGGTTAAGGTTATTTAACCACCGGTTACGGTTAGAAATTTTGTTAACCTTAACCTTAACCATTTAACATACAGTTAATACGGTTATGGTTAAATATCAATCCGGTTAGTACGGTTACGGTTAGCTACGGTTATAACTATAATACGGTTAATAATACGGTTTATGATTAAATAAATATTATAAAATACAGAACAATGTTAAAATTTTCATTAACATATGTGAAAGAGATAAATTAAAAAAATTATTAATGTATATAAATTTCTGAAAGAAAATATAATTATTAATCTCATATTGAGAATTATTATTACAATAATAAAGTTTTTAAAAAATTAGTCAGGTGGTTACTACAAAGTGGGCAACGTGTGTTTATTTGTTACTAAAAAGGTGGAAATAAACTTATAAAATCTTTTGTCAAAACAGTTTGAAAAGGAATGGCTTCATTACCTTTATAATATGTCAAAATCATATTTATCTAATAATCTTATTACTTAATGGCTATACTATATTTTCTAGTTTTAATTAGATTTTACTTTTTGAATTTAACTAAAACTTAGCAAAATATAATATTCAAGTTAATTAATGTCATAGTTAATTATTTTTGTATTTAATAGAATATTTTAGACGGTTACGGTTAAAATGAAACGGTTTTAACCTTGCGGTTAACCAACGGTTTTTATACGGTTACGGTTAAATTGCGGTTACGGTTAATATTTTTTTAACCATAACTAATATTTTTTTACGGTTAACGGTTACGGTTTTAACCAGTTTATACGGTTACGGTCCGGTTACGGTTTAAAAACGGTACTGTTACGGTCTGAAATACGGTTACGGTTTCATTTTGGTCATGCCTAGCTATGAACATGTCTCGAAGAAAAAACAAAATCTTACTAACATCTTTAAGATGGTATGCTAATCAATTTTCTTACCTAGTTTTGAGCTATTTTTGATCTACATTCAAAAAACAAAAATGAAATTTAAAATTTCTCAAAAAGTTGAAAAATAGACTATATTTCCAAAAACATTTGGACGTTCCTGACAGCTCAAGTGTTTATAAAGAAATAACCGAATTTTTGTATATGTCATCAAGTGAGTGTATATATGTGAAAAGGCAATTTGGTTAACAGCATATTCCATTGGACGATCCAAAATTCCAAGCATATTCACGTATGACTCCCCTTGTTTCCATCATCTGCTTCCACTTACATATATATGATTTTTTAAAAATTACTTTCAATACTCTCTTTACATATTTTTATTCCCCTTTACACCTTTAACATATTTCCCTTTTTTTTTGTCCCTTTTCCAAATTTTATTGTCAACCCCGTAAAACAAACAGTCGGAGCCTTTTGTTTACCGTATTGGAGAATTTCTCATATATAATTTATTGTGTAATGATTCAGCATACACAATTTTTACAAAAACAAAACAGATACGTGTGCACGTATGATACCAAAACATATTAATACAAAAAGATATATCATTTGTAAAGAACATTAACTAACATGAGATATGTATACTGGTTGATTGTTACAAACATTTGTTATTTTTTATGAAAAAGAAATAAGTAAAAGTGGAAAGAACAGTAAAGCTTACGTGAGATGGGGTTTCGGTGTATCTTTTTAAATGTCTTCATGAGCATAGACAAACAAAAAAACACAAAAGCAAAGAAAGAAATGAAAGCTATATAAACCCCTAGCAAGCCTCCATTGTTGAAAACTCTCTTAATTTGGCACAATAACACAAAAGAAAAGAAAATGGCCATCCCCTAAGTTGAAGAGGAGAAAACCTCTGATTTAACTAGAGGTTTATCTTCAGGGGATGGCCTAAATACATAAAACAAAGAGTTTATTGATGTCTAATCGTAAGTGGTTTTGTGTTCTTGTAAGGAAAGTGTTTTAAGATATGGAGCAATGAAGATTGCAGAAGGCTGATGATGAAGAGACAGCGAGTTTTCTTTATCTCCCTCTAGAAATTGGGCAACTTCTATCCTTTGGCAAGCTTCGGTTCCCCTCGGAATCAGCAGATTATGAATTTACTTTGGAATACCCTCTCTTATCATTTCTCTCTAATCATCTATGTTTTGTTTTTATCTTCATTTGTTCCGTTGTATCCACTCCCGTGGTATGTTCTTTGTGTGAGGAATAAAAGAATAGTCGGATTTGAGATAAAATAATTCCAGCTTTAGTTTTATTGGAGATCCTTTCTCATATAGTTTGGAGAATATTCACGGCAAAGATGTGCATATTTTTGTCAAAATTTGTTTCCGAATCTCTTTTTGAGTGATTTGAATTTCCTTCCTCTTTCTTTAGACCAAATATAAAAGTATCATCGTCTTTAGAACAAATTGATGCAACTAGCACTACAACAACTATATCAGTACTGTTCAAATTAAATGAATCAAAACCATTAAAAAGTATTATACTTTGATGACTTGACATATACAAGCAAAATTACGGAAGCAAAAAATGTCACGTTACAAATACTTTGAGATATACATTTTCTTCATACATAAAGGACCACTAAATTAAAATGACCTCAACCAAAAGTCAAAACCCTCTCCAAGTCTAGTAGTTGTTTTCCAGTTTAGGGGCCTCACACATGGGGGTGGTATAATAAAATGGTCCGACCACGTACTTGACCAGATCCTGGAATACCATGAACGGTCTAACTAGGTCCACTCCGGTTTGGCCATCACCAAAATTGGTCGGAATATCACATGACTGGTCAGGCGAAGACACGAGCCGGACTTTACAAAGTCGAGGTTTGAGTTCTTTGCCGCCGTAGAGGACGTTGTTGACGATTAGATCGAACTGGCCTCTCTCGTCGGTCTTGTCGCTACCATAGTATCTCACTCTTCTCCTCTCGTCCATACAAGTGATTGATACCACAGCCCCTGAAATATACAATTTGGAATGAATTTGGTAAATAAAATACGGTTTGAATATTTTTGAACGGGCTATAAGTCACCAGTTAACCAAACCGGATCCAATTTGTTTGTTGGCGGTAAATTTAGAAACAATAAGATATAACGGTAAGATATATGGCGATTACGCGCGTAAAACCTTATTGGTTCTAAATATAATAATAATCAAATTTACTGGAAGCAATTAGTACCTTTGATGGGTTCAGAGCCGTTGATCCACTTGTCGTAGTTAAGAGTGCAATCTTGGCACATCACTTTTCCGGCGACGTGAATCACATCTACGTCGTTATCCGCTGCGGTCGTGGCGATTTGACTCACATAACTTACAAGAAACAATGTCTCTAGGAGGAGAACCAATGTCGTGATCCTCTGCGCCATGACGACCACTCTCTCGAGTTTTTTGGGTTCTATGTTTTGGAGATTATGCTTGTTTCATGTAAGAAAGACTTGGTATATATATAATATTTATATATTTGGACTTTTTGACGAAGGAGGAGATTATATGTTATATGCGTGGAAGTGCACTACTCTAGACGTGCGGTCCATTTTCGTATTATGATTTCAATCATTTTTTTTTTTTCGTTTATCTTTTACGCCGTTCACAACTTCACATATGACATAACATTACTACAAAAATCTTTATTTTTTTGTTATAGATTTTTATTAATATGAATTAGTTATACTTTGATTAACTTTTTGGTATTAATGTTAAGAAAATTGATCGATAAACTTTTTTTATTAACTCATACGAGCTTAATTAATCGTATTTATACCATAAGTTGACCAAATCTTGGTCTTTTAAATCTCTTTTGGTGATTGTCACTATATAAAGGCAAAAAGACATTGTAAAGAAGGCTAGGAAAATATTAAAATTGTTAAATTCTGAAATATCTCTCCTACAAGTTATCCCTACCACATAAATACTTATTCTTCCTCCTCTTTTCTCTCCACGTTGTCTTTTAACACAACGACGCAAACACACACACACACACACACACAGAAGCCTTTTGGTCTGAATCTGATACCTCAGCAGTCAGCACACACACACGAAATGGAGTCTCACAAACTATTCATCTCTCTCTTTCTCTTCTCATTCTTAGGTAAATATACATTTAAAATCACATTATCTGTCATGCTCTTGATCACATAAATAGATTCCCTGAAACCCATTACTATATTGATTAATGTTTTGAAGGTGTTAAATCGGATCATCTTCAGCATAGTAACTTGAAGCGTTTGATGAAACCGAATAGGCTGTTCGTGTTCGGAGATTCCTACGCAGACACCGGAAACATAAGAAAGTCTCTTTCCGATTCTTGGAAACTTCCTTACGGCGTCACTTTTCCCAAAAAACCATCCGGTCGTTTCTCGGACGGTCGTGTCGCCACTGATTTTCTAGGTTTCCTCTCTCTCTCCCTCTCACTCCTAATTATGCGTATAATGTTACGTGTTAGCTATCCAAATGCTGACGTGGAATTTTCTGTTCGCTTGCATTAAAATTCATTCAACGGTCATATTTTTATATACCAACCTTTTGAGTGCAGCAAGATACTTGGGGATAAAGTCACCGATTCCGTACACGTGGAAGAATTACGCGGGAAAGCAACGGCTATTATACGGAATGAACTATGCGTACGGAGGGACAGGAGTGTTTAAGACTTTCAATAATCCATTGCCAAACATGACAACTCAGATTGATTATTTCCAAAAAGTCCTCGCCGCCGGCAACATCTACTCTACCTCCAACCTCCACTCTTCTCTTGCTTTCGTCAGCGTCGCCGGCAACGACTACGGCACTTTCATGCAACAAAAACGTCCCATGACCGTAAGAAATTAAAACATCGTAATTTTTTGCACTCTAGAACCGAATGTTATTTGCGTTTGTATTTACTATTCAAAACTAACACTATATTTATATATTTAAATTCAAAAAACATAATGCTCTAGTTATGTTAAAAATCATAAATGTAAAACATAAGGGAAAACATTGTATCTTGCAGGAGTTCCCGGGATTCATAAAGCAAGTTATTGATCAAACTGAGGTAAACTTAAGAAGAATCCACAAGTTGGGAGTGAAGAAGATTGCAATGGCTTCACTACAGCCGCTCGGATGCCTCCCTAGCAACACTGGCTTTACTTCATTCCAACGTTGCAACGCATCAGATAATGCGTACGTGATTCTTCACAACACTTTGTTGCATAAAGCCGTGGCCAAGCTCAATAATGAGACCAAGCCATCCACTTTCGTCATCCTTGATCTCTACAAAGCCTTCTTGACTGTCCTCGTGAGCAAAAGATTAGAGCCTGGTATTCAAAAATAAAAGTTGAATTCTTTTTTGGATTTTAACTTTGATGAACTATCTATCTTACGAGAGTTGTGAATCGCTCAGGGGTTACGAGGTTTGTGAACCCCATGAAACCGTGTTGTGTTGGGGTAACAAGCAATTACTCGTGCTCAAACGTGGACGAGAAGGGTGAGAAGAAGTATACAGTTTGCGAAAATCCAAAGGCTTCCTTCTTTTGGGACATCTTTCATCCAACCGATGAAGGATGGAGATCCGTTTACTCGGTTTTACGAGAGAACCTCAAAGTCGTTATGATTTAAGAGTGAGACTTTAGTCTTAATCTCCTTATTGCTGTTTCTATCTCTTCACTCCAGTTGTGTTTGTAACATTCTTCTCTCATTGTCTTTGAATTACAGAGAATTCTCAAGTCAAGCTCACTGGTTCAAGACTCAACATGAGCAGCTGGTCCATAACATAAGGGCCGCAAATCCAATAGCTGGTCAAATTTTATTTTGAGTTGATCTTGTTAATTCACTAGCTGTCTTTGAGTTGATAGCTCAAGACGTTAGATGCCTAACTAGAAATTTGACATTATCATGGTATTACAATTGTTACTCAAGGTGACTTAAATATAAAATTGACATTATCAGGGTATTAGAATTGTTAGTCAATGTGACTTAAAATCTACATATGTTACTATAATTTAAATCAGAATTTAGAAACGTTCGCCATAAAAATGTGTATACTATTTGGTTGGTATCAACGTAAATTCAAATATTTATTTAGTTAACCATACTTTTGCGTCTCTATATGGGCTTAATTATACAAACCGGCTGTCCTTTTGATGTTTCCTTTTGAGTATGCATAGGTCGAGAATTGATCAGATTATCTAAACAAATAAACAAAAAAATACGTCTGGAAAATGTCAATTCTTCATAGATAATGTGTGTCCGTGTTATTATGTAATAACTGAGTGTTTATTCACATCATAAGAAACAAATATCAAAATATTTACTTTACATATGTTTGTGTTAATGGATGTTGCTTCCACAATCATAGTGACAAGGACCAAGGCCTTATCTATAAAGGAAATACTCATTTTAGAGGGATCAAACTCGTTCACGGCCTTATCGGTTGGCTCTGAAACGAATTACAGCAGCATCATTCCTGATTGAAATTAGTTACATGTGGCTATAACAATGTTAGATTGTATAGTTTGAATTTAATCCCCCCACCCCCATGGCCATACCGCTTTATAGAGAGACATTAATACTCTATGTTGACGAAAAAAGAAATCGTAAACCAAACTTGTTTCTCAAAAATATCTCTATCTTGGTTCTTCCCCAATTCCAAGAACCATTGAAGAAACAAGCATGCCGTCGAAGAAACAAGGAAGCCATTGAAGTAAAGGTAAATAATTTTTTCTAGCTCCCATCGCTGCTGATTAGTAATTTTAAGAAAAGATGAGCTGAGAAATGGGCAAATGGCATTGCCTTTTCATATAACTCCCCCTTACCAGTGTTTGATTCACGGACAACTGATCTGTACTAGACAACATGTTCTTGGAGATTGCCACAGGAAAACACAACATCACAAGTACTAGTGTGAGAGACGACGACATTGTGCTTCAGATTCTAACAATCGACCTAAAAAAAAGGCACAGATCAGTTGTCCGTGAATCAAACACTGGTAAGGGGGGAGTTCGAGCTCGGGTTCTTTGCTCCCAACGAGAGTTGGTTTATACTCTATGTAAAAATTATTTACCCTTTTTTTTTTTTTTATAAATTATTTACCTTTACTTCAATGACTTACTTGTTTCTTCGAAGGCATCCTTTTTTCTTCAATGGTTCTTGGAATTGGGGAAGAACCAAGATAGAGATATTTTTGAGAAACAAGTTTGGTTTATGATTTCTTTTTTCGTCAACAGAGAGTATTAATGTCTCTCTATAAAGCGGTATGGGGGTGGGGGGGATTAAATTCAAACTATAGAATCTAACATTGTTATAGCCACATGTAACTAATTTCAATCAGGAATGATGCTGCTGTAATTCGTTTCAGGGCCAACCGATAAGGCCGTAAACGAGTTTGATCCCTCTAAAATGAGCAAGATCGATTCGTGGTGGAGATGCAGAAATGCGAAGATAATGACTTGAATGGACCTTCACCTTTATTTTGTTTTATTTCAACAACAACAACAAAATATTTATAAAAAGAAACAACAAAAAAAGACAATATAATACAATAAATATAACCACACTCAATTTCATTCGTGAAGATTTGGATGAAGGCTTTTAAATAATACCGTGCCAAGCAGTACTACCTAAATTTTATTGAGCTGAAGATTCATACAAAAACCATAGCCAAACATATCTAGAAAACATAAATAGTTTTAATGGAAGAATATGAGATATATCACTATAGATACATTAAAACCTTCTCATGATATTTCCTGTAGATTGATCTCCCAGTTTCTTCCATCCCCTCCAAGCTCTCGTGTCTCTACAGTCTCCGATAGAAAGAAGATCCAATGAAAGGAAACTACGAGTGATGAGGCCATATGAAAGTATCTATCGCCATAGCTCGCTTCTCACGGAGAGTGTTGACATGGAAGGCAAGAAGCCCGTAGTCCGAGAGAAGCAAATCCAACCTCCATTCTTCCATCTTCTCGTAATCATCTTTTGTGTATTTTGGGTAATGCAACGGCATCTTAAACCCACCGCTTGAGGCCTTCACGACACCGTTTTGGCCAAGATTCTCCATACCGTCTTGCTTGTTGGCATGGCTCAGAAAGTTAAGGAGCCATCTCATGGTGCCCATCTCTAATCTCTCTCTCTAGCTCTTTTTTTTTTTAATGATTGATTATTGTTGCTTGTGTGTTTATATAGATGTGGAAAGAGAGAGATGCGAGCTCACGTGAAGAAAAAGAAAGGACACGTTACGTGGAAGGGTTAATCATGTGATTCATAGCATTTAAATACATGCCACCTCACTAGTTTGATTAAGGAAGTAATAAGGCGAATGATTTGGGTCTCAATAATTGAAGAGATTAATGATTGTAAACATTTACAATACCGGAAATGGTAATTAAGAGCATATGAGATCTATATAACAGGGGAATTTGTAGATTAGTAACGAAGTAGTAGCGTTTGGTGAAGCGTCGCGTAAAATGAGCATATTGGTTTAGGAATGAATGGAATTGCGTGCCTAGTTGATTAAGGTAACTATGACTTCATACTTGCAAACAATTTTTTTGGCTGTATTTACGTACGTTGCCGTTTTAGTCAATTATACGGACCTTGTTACTTTCCGTACACAATTAAACTTTACAGTCGTAAAAAAAAAGAAAAAAAAAACTTTACGGTAAAAACAATGGAAAACGAAGAGAATCACAAAATTTATTGAATTTTGAGATATTTTGAGTATACTTTTGTACAACAAAAATTAAATACGGCAAGGAACTAAGACCCTATTTCTGTTAAACCTTGATCCAATAAGCAACTCTCCAACATTGGACAACACCTCAAGACTACCAACAGAAGGTTGTGTTCTTGCCACTCTAGCAATGGCCTTGTTCTCTTCCATAACTCCCCCTTCTAGAAACGCTCCCACAACTTTACCGTCTTTAACCCAATACGTCCCAAACTTTGGCTTTGGAGATTTCGGATCATTGTCTCCGAACAGTACGGATTGTCCCACATTGTCTCCGTAGAATTGCCACGACAGATCAAAGGCTCGAGAGTATAAGAAAGGGAAATAATCATACTCTTGGATCAACTTTCCTTCCTCAGCCGCCTTAATTGCCTGAATAAATTAGAGAGAAATGCGAATTATATATATGCTTAGCAAAATTAATTGGGCCTTTAAGTATTAATTCAGGCCCAATAGTAAAATCATATGGTTACGTACCTTGACTGCATGTTCAGCGGATTTGCGAGCATGATCAACGTGTTCTACGCGTCTCATATCGCCATAGCGTTTCATGGGGAATGTAGCGACATCTCCAATGGCGTATACATCGGAGATGCTCGTTTTGAAGAATCCATCAGTCTACAAATTACAATCAAATGGGAAGGCCAATGAGTAAAACAATGGTAATCCTAAAATAGACAAATCTTGAGAGAATGGCTGCATAAATCACAAACCTTTATTCCACCTTTATCTTCTTCGACTTGGCCTCTGAAGATCGATGTCATCGGTGTACCACCGATATCTACGATCACGATGTCAGCTTCTAGGGTTCTTCCATCGTCTAGTTTCACCTCCGTGACCTCTCCGTTTGAGTTGGTATTGAATCCAGTGGCTCTAGTACTCTTGATGATTTTGATTCCCTTGTCCTCATAATAACCTTGGTAGAAGGAAGCGATCTCAGCGGTGAAAATCTGATGCACTACAATAACAAAACAGAGGAAAACAGAGGATTTTAGTGTTCTGTAATGAGAAATAAACTTGCGTAAAGGTCAAGCTTTCTACTTACTTATCCAGGGTTCTGGAAAAATCATGGTGACATCGTAGTTGTTGACCCTTAGTGAAGCACTGATTTCAAACCCTATGTATCCGCCGCCAATCACCACGACCGTTCTCTTCTTCTTTGTTTCCATTGTTAATGCGAGCTGATCAAGATCCTTTGTGTCTCTTAGGTAGAATATATTCTTAGCATTTGCGTCTTGGACGCCAAATTCTGAAAATCTTGAACACTGCAAGAATTTGGTGGAATCTTGATATGAGTTTAAAGAATAATATTAAACAGCAAGAAGATGGACAGAGGAAGAGATCGAGCTTACGGTAGAGCCAGTTGCAACTATCAAATTTTGGTATTTGAAGATTTTCCCATGGCTACTGACAAGACTCTTCGCAGCAAGATCTGCTTTGACTATCTCTGTGCTTAAAATCATTTCGATACCTAGAAATTAAGGAGAATTTGTAACAATGTGAGGTGTGAAAACATCTGAGGACCACTAGCGTATTGAGTGAATATTGTGTAATGACCTTTGTCTTTGTACCATTGAGGGCACTGCCTCTGTTCTCCAGTTTCACCACAAACATAGTCCTTTGCAAGATTCGTATTGGCTGCAATTAACAAGAGAATTTGAGAACGATGCTCTTAAGAAGCCAGATTGAAGTTAACTAAAACCCGAGAGGGATTGAAAAATTATGTGACAGAAAATGTTGTAGAGGTAAAAGGTTTACTCTTGAATTCGATATATCCCTTGGTTAGCTCAGGACGCTCGTAAGGAGGCACCTGCCAACACACACAATTTTAGGCCAAACCAATTTCTGTGTTTGTGATTCCATGAAAATGTGAACAAATTTTTTTCTTCTTCAAATCACATTGTTTACAAAGTAATGTTTTTAATATTTTCATAAGCAATATTTGGAAAATGTGTTTATGAAAAATAAAAGATATTTGGATAATGTAAAGTTGTAAACTCATAAATTCTCTTTATCATTGAGTTTGGCATTGCATTTATAGTTACCAAAAAAAACGTTGGGGTTTCGTTTAAAATAAATTATTGAGATATAGACGACATACGAAAAGAAAAACATACTGGTTCATTGGAAATGATTGCTAGTTCACCATGCTTTAGGTCCGGAATGGCAAACTCTCTAGCTGCATAACCCTGTGTTTTCCAGTAGTTATAAATTGAAAGTTTCAAGGAATATTTGATATAAGAAGCAAAGTATACCAAATTCATATAATGTACATATGAACGACAATTTGAGAGGAGCGATCAAGAAAAGTCGAAGATAGAGAGGAAGTAGAGAGACTTACGGCAGAGACACCAGCTCCAACGATTACGTATTTGAAGCTCTTCTCTTCCGCCATTAATAAAAACTTGCTATTCAGTTTTTCTCTTCCCGAAGAGAGAGAGTGATTGAGCAGAGGGTTTATTATATAGAGGAGACAATAAAGCACGAGTTGAGTTTTCTTAATGGAGAAATCATGTTCATCATGAAAGGGTTGACCAAATCTGACCGTTGATCTTGCTTGTCCAATAAACAATTCAATTACACCGTGTCAATGATTTATTCTCGGTCCCCAATAGATTCTCTTTTTACAAAACTACTAGTAATTCATTGCATTATCTTTACACAATTTATAGTAGTAGTAAAAAAGATAAACAGTTGGTTACTATTACCTACAGTATACATTACACCAAACTGCTATTGTCGTATGCAAATATGCATATGTTTTTGGCAGTATTTTTCTCTTATATATTTTTTTCTGTATTTCTAAGAATAATGATACATTGCTCTCATAGTTAATGTTTTCATTATTAAAGGTCTTTTTAAAAAAGTGAAAGCTATAAATAAAAAATGGAAAAGGCATAGAGTTGTTGGTATTCGACTGTTCTGACTGGACTTGTTGAAATCGTGACGATATATTATATCCAATAATACAAAACTGACATAAGATATAGTATTAATCACGTCTTTAACGTTTACTAATCCAATAGTCACAGAAAGAAAATAGTACTACTATATTATTATTTAGATATTTTACGACAGTTGTAATGTTGCTATTATTGGATTACAGGTTGACCATTGGCTATATCGATAGAGCGCTTTGGAGTATGGATAAGACTATTAATTTGAGATTAGTTGATTGCTAATTTACTTCCACATGTAACGTGGTCCAACTCTTAAATGTTATCCATTCACGCATCGATATCTTTTTTTTGGGTTTAAATTCACGCATCGATATCGTGGGAGACGCTTGTTACTAATAGTAGTGAGTTAGGCCCATTAGTAATAGTAGCTATATCTCCAATGGCGTATACATCAGAGACGCTTGTTTTGAAGAACCCATCAGTCTACAATCAAATGAAGATCAATGAGAGTAAGAGGCAATCTTTAGAGAGTGGCTGCATAAGTCACAAACCTTTGAAGAGTGATGTCAATGGTTTACCACCAACACCAACGATAACAATGTCAGCTTCCAGTGTTCTTCCATCCTTGAGTTTCACCTCAGTGACCTGTGATGTTATCAAAGAAACCATGCATTAGTTATAGCAACATTCATGTTGAAGTTGGAGTTTCTCATGAGGTAGAAAAACTGATTATTGTTGACCTCTCCGTTTGAGTTGGTGTTGAATCCAGCAGCTACAGCGCCTTTGACGATTTTGATTCCAAAAGAGGAGTAAAAAAAGTTGGTAAACTCATGAGTCATGAAGAGTTTCTCTGTTTTGCAGAATGAAAGGTTTTTTATTTTATTTTAGAAAAGCTTCAAACGCTTTTGCAAATATTGAAAAGTGTTTGACGTTTCAAGAGTGTTAATTTTTGTTTCTTTCTAAAAATGCATATAAATGCAAACGCAGGAATTGCACGTTTAAAACAATGGAGTGCTATATAACTCAAAAATGGCTAGTCAAACGTTAAATCAAGAGAACAAACACGTACTAATTCTTTGGAAATGATCGAGAGTTCACCAGGCTTGACACCTTGCTTCACGAACTCTTTCGCCGCATATACCTGTTCAAATTCACTACTTCATAAATTACCGATTCGTCTCTGCAAACTGGAAACTTCTAAAACGTTTATAATGTTTTAAGAGCATTACAGATTAACATTGTTCAGAGAAGAATCGAACACATGTAGAGATACAAAACATATATATACAGAAGAGCCTAAATAAGTTAAAGATGTTTTGACCATACGATTCAAAGCTCAACACGTGGCATCTTTTTGACGGTTAGATGAAGCTCTTCTCACGGCTGACTTTTCACATTAAAAACAAAAAAAAACAAAAAAAACAGACTCCACACTGACACAAGCCACACGAGTGCATTATCATTTCAAGAGAAAAAAAAGACTAATGGCGCAAAAACCACCAACGGTGATCTGCGTCGGAGACATCCATGGATACATCTCAAAGCTCGAAACCCTCTGGTCTAATCTCCAATCCTCCCTCAACCCATCAGATTTCAACTCAGCTCTCGTCATCTTCCTCGGCGACTACTGCGATCGAGGACCCGAGACCCGAAAAGTCATCGACTTCTTAATCTCCCTCCCGGAGAAACACCCCGACCAGACCCACGTCTTTCTCGCCGGAAACCACGATTTCGCCTTCTCTGCCTTCTTGGGTCTGCTGCCTCGTCCTTCGGATGGGTCCGATTTGAAGGATACGTGGAAGGAGTACGAGGAATGCGAAGAGAGAGAAGGATGGTACAGTGGCGAAGGGTTCGAGGAGATGCATCTCCAAGGTAGGAGATGGGCTGGTAAAATCAAGGCTCAATTCAATTCCGTGAAAGGGATGGCTTATAAAGGATCGATTTACGACGCTGGCTCCACTTTTGAATCGTACGGTGTTCCTCATGGATCTTCTGGTAAAATTTCTTCATTTTCATGTCTTCTCATTACATAATTAGTCGTTTGCATTTGGTGGGAAACTGTAAATTACTTCAAGTGATGCTGTAAAAATTGAAACTTTCTTCGATTTGGAGTTTTCGTGATGAAAGTTGTGACATTTTTGAGGTATTGGTTTTGAAACTTGTTTGTGTTTTTTGACTTGGAAGATTTGATGAAGGCTGTTCCAGAGAGTCACAAAAAGTTCTTGACCAATATGGTATGGGTCCATGAAGAGGTAAGGGCTCTCTTTCTCCTACAATTTCATCCTGTGAATTGTTTGTAGGAACAGTAGTGTTTGGTGGTTACAGCCATGCTAATTACGATAAAAGATGTCTACTTTAGCTATCATGAGTCCATTTTTTGTTTGATTCTGTTGCAGGACGATGTTTGTATAGAAACGGAGGAAGGGCTAAAGCATTGTAAGTTGATTGCGGTACATGCTGGTCTTGAGAAAGGGGATAGCGTAGAAGAACAGCTCAAGCTTTTGAGAGATAAAGACACAAGCATCTCAAAAGTACCATATCTAAGTGGTCGGAAAAACGTTTGGGACATCCCACAGGTAATTAAAACATCCTAAGAAGTAATAACCAAACTTTGTGTTAAGATCTTGCTGAGTTTTGAAATCTCTTCGAATGTTTTTGTTATTATTCAGGAACTGGATGATATTCAGACTGTTGTAGTTAGCGGACACCATGGGAAACTTCACATCGATGGCCTGAGATTGATTATTGATGAAGGCGGTGGATATCCGGACAAACCAGTGGCTGCAATTGTTCTTCCTTCTATGAAGATCATCCGTGACACAGATCAGTTGTCTAGTTAAGTTTTTCTTTTACTTTTCATCAATTCATTGTATCACAGTAGAATTTCATTTCAGAAATATTTATACGAGAAAGTCTCACAGAACTCGCAAAGATTAGTAAGAAAGGAGTAAATGGGCTTTTGAATGGGCTTTTGAATATAAAAGCCCAGATTTTATAACTTATTTGTACGTGGGCCAGCACTTGTGGTCGAGCATCGGCTACAACCGACAGAAAGGAGACTAGAAGAGTAATAAATTAATATATTCTTTAGTCCGAAACTTCTTTGTCATAAGAGAAACTAGTAGAGTACCCGCACGTTTGTGCGGTGTGACGTTGTTGTTTTGTGTAGAAAATTTAAACCCTAAATCCGAACCCGACAAAAAACCCTAATCAAAAAATTTAAAAACCCAAACTTTTTTAATAGGTCTAAACATGAAAATCCGAAATCAAAAAAATCCCGAAAACCCTGACTGAACAAAAAAAATCTGGAAACTTTTTCACCCGGAACCCGACCCCAATACCTAATCAAAATTTTAAAATACTCAATTTTTTTAATATATCTAAACCCGAAAACCAGAAATCTAAAAAATCCGGAAAACCCTAAACTGAAAAAAAAAATTGAACCTAACCCGAACAGAAATTTTCAAAGAAACCCGAACAATTTCTATATCTCTATATATATCTCTATAAAATTATGTCTCAGATTTTCACCCAAACCCGAACTTGTCTATAAAAACCCGAAAATCCAAAAAGCATATTCTATTGATTTGGAATTATCGTTAGATTATGTTAAGTTTTTTTTTTGCAGATTTTTAAGAGATGGAAAACGGAAGTTTTCTAAACCATCGGTTTATTTTAAGTTATTATTCTTGTATCCAAACAATTTTTTCCATTTATTCTTCTATCCAAATAGATTTTTCTCTTATTCTTATATCCAAACAACTTTTGTTTCCATTTATTCTTCTATCCAAATAGATGTTTCTCTAATTCTTGTATCCAAACATTAGAATGTACTTCTCAATTAATAATATAAAGATTTAGGGATCTAAAAAGTTACCATTTAATCAGGAAGGTATAAACATAAAAGAATGAAATGGACCCAGTGAAAAAACAGAAAGACAGATAAGAAAAGGAGTTGTCAGAAATGTGCAAACACATGCTTACTTGATTTTCAGTATAATAACGACAGCTGTTTACTTCGGTTGGTTCACGTGAATCGAATTTTTCTATAGAAAAAAAACTCTAAGCGTACAACATAATTCGACTCATTTTTTCTTATATAAAATCAGTAATGGATGATCGCAGAATGCATCAGTGAAAACCTCGATTCCTTTAAAATCATGATTTGCAAGATCATGCGGAACCAGTCCATTATTCAACGAATTGCTAACTATATTCATTATCACTTCCTTTTGCCCAATTCAGTACAACCACCTTAAACCATTTTTTTTTATTGAAAGCAGATCAACAGTAATAACAAAAGAAGATCCAACCTGACCAAAAAGAAAACAACAGCAACAACAAATTGGCCATATCCAACATGACAAAATTAGGAATTCATTTTCTAGGGATTATAGAAAACTTTGTTATTATGTAACGTGAGAATTGGACAATTTTGCAGGTGTATAGCCCTGGGCATTACGGGTTTTGGGACGGGAATTGACGGGTTCAGGACGAGAATGAGAAATTCGGGAAACCAAATTTGATTCCCGAAGCATTCCTTTATTATAACGGGAAGGGAAATCACGGGAATGGGAAGGGAATGAGAAATTTGGGAATCAAAATATAATACCCGAAGTCTTAATAAATTGGGAAAATTGAAGATAATATGGGAAATTACGGGAAAATATGGAAAAATACGGGAAATTATGGGAAAATTTGGGAAATTATGGGAAAAATTGGGATATTTAAGAAAAAATGTCTAATTTTCAACTTTTTATTTTTTTAAACGGGAAAATCGGGAAAACCCTTACCTTTCCTGAACCCTTCCCTTACCCGTTTGAATAAAATAAATGTTTCCAAACGGGAAATTGCAAATTCCTATTCCCGAAAAGTTTGGGAAATTTTAAACGGATAAGGATGGGAACGGGATTCCCGTCTCGAAATGCCCAGGGCTAGGTGTATTTATAAAACTTCGGTTAAAATATGGTTGTTGGCGCAAAATATAGTAGTTCAGCTGAAGGAATGTGTTTGCGTGTACAGTATATCATTTTTTTATTTAACAAAATCATTTGCCACTAGCTTTCCCTAATCACGAGTTACGACTTACGAGTTACAACATACGACAGTTGACTGTATTCGTTTGCTACAAAACCAGGTATTTTTTAACTAGAGCCTCCTTTGCCTATTTTATACAGGCTACAAGTTACTAACTATCATGTCTCATGTAATTAGTACCTATGGCTTGTGAACGTAATATTTAATATTTTAATGGAACAAATGTAAATTACAAGGACAAGAATGGGTTCGTACGTCGTAGGGACCAGAATATTTGGGGATGTCAGTTGGACTAGCGTAAATTCCAAAACACAAAGATACTTCTCATATTTCTTCTTAGCTAGTCGATATGACTATGAGACATATCATTCCTTGGTTTATCTTTCTTAGTTAATTACGAATTTACGATGATTGTATGCAAAATTTTGATAATACATCGATGTTGTTAGGCCGTTAGGGCATACCCTCGTAAAATCTATGTCATATTTAATAAGGTTCAAACAATATCCCGTAACGATTGCAAACGTTTTCATTGATAATAAAGCAGCATTGCGTCGTACAGTAATTAATAAGATCCCGTAATAATTAAAATTAAGTAGAATATTTCGTAATGAGTTGATCTTGCTCAAAAAGACAAAAACAAAAGTATCGTTTGTTTTCAATAAATAAATAAAAATATATATGAGGTCGATCAGAGACATCAAATCATTTTTCGTTACACCATTAAATTCTAATTAGTTCCGATGCTGGCAATTAGGTCTAAAGTCGATATCGTCTCTTCCTCAATCAAAATTTTAATCATCACAATAAGGAGTATTAAGACTCAACATTTTGATTAAGAAAAAGGTAGCAATCAATAAAATTTTGCACAAATAGTGGTACGCTTACGACACTAATGTTACTATACTCGATTTAAGTAATGTTTCGCTGATTTGAACACACAGACACTGAGACACACACACAATGTTCTACACGAGTACCGTATTTTCTTACACAATCATATTCAATGAATTACTATGTCTAAAAAGAGAAACTATTTTTGCGACCTTCTAACTTGCAGAGAGTTACGTTAAGGTTACTAAATAAACACGTCAACTGCACTTGTTCCATATCGATCACGGCGTTTTCGCTGTTCTTTTAGCACAGCCTAAACGCTTATTACAGTACGTCGTTTTTACTTTTCGTTCAGCACAGCCTAAACGTTTATTACGTTGATGTTTAGAATGTTACATGCTTCTTGTTTTTCTTTAGATTACAAAACATGGACAAGTTGGAATCCATGATGTAGAATTAGGTATTCAACTGACTTGTTTATTCACGATCCCAAACTTGGGTATTTATACAACATGTCTTTGGAGCTATGTAACCCTAGACTCTTAAATACAAGGAAACTTAACTTTATCACAACATAATAAATTAGGAAACTTAACATAATGAATCCTTATACTTAACCGACGTAACTATCTGTAATACTCCCCCTCAAGTTGGAGCGTAAAGATTACGAACGCCCAACTTGGATAATAGATACTGAAATGGAGCACGCCCAAGTGCCTTTGTAAGTATGTCAGCCAACTGCTCCTCTGTTCTCACATGATCAGTCACAATAACTCCTTCTTGAACAGCATCCCTTACAGCGTGACAATAAGATTCAATATGTTTCGTTCTCTCATGAAAAACTGGATTGGAGGCAATGTGAATGGTCGCCTTATTGTCACAAAACAACTGTGTCGGCTTTGACTGATCAATACCAAGTCCGGCTAACACTCGCCGAAACCACTTAATCTCACGGAGAGCCACAACCATTGAACGATATTCTGATTCAGCGGAAGAATGAGAGACCATGTCTTGTTTCTTTGTTTTCCAAGCAACTGGGGAGCCACCAAGTAAAACCACGAACGCGCTAAGAGACCGGCGAGTTAACGGACACGAGTTATAATCAGCATCACAATAGACCGTGAGGGTAAGATCAGGATCAGACGACAAGAAAATACCTGGCCAGGAGATCCTTTTAAGAAACGAACAACACGCAAGGCTGCTTCCCAATGAGCCACTTTTGGTTCCTTCATGAATTGAGACAACAGGTGAACAGAGTAGCACAACTCTGGTCTTGTATTGAGTAGATATATGAGTCGGCCCATGAGCCGCCGATACTTCTTTGGATCATCAAGAAGAGGACTCTCGACCGTAGATAACTGATGTGTACTCTCAAGTGGTGTTGTGGCTGGCCGAGAACCAAGATTGCCAGTTTCGGCGATAATGTCTAACGCATACTTGCGTTGGGAAAGGAACATACCCTCGGGTCCTCTACTTATTTCGATGCCCAAAAAATACTTCAGTTTCCCCAAATCTTTCATGGAGAAACATTTACTCAAGTAATCTTTAAATTTCTGAATCATGTAGGAGTCATTACCACAAATAATGAGATCATCCACATAAACGAGAACCCGTAGCTCAATGTTCTTGCGCGAGTAAGAGAACAAAGAGTAATCATCATACGACTGATCAAAACCAAAACGAAGCAATGCATCAGAAAGCTTCTTGAACCAGCAACGCGGAGCCTGTTTGAGCCCGTACAATGACTTACGAAGACGGCAAACTTTGCCAGGATGAGAGTGACGAAACCCTGGAGGAAGTTTCATGTACACTTCCTCTTCTAAGTCACCGTGAAGGAAAGCGTTGTTGACGTCCATTTGGTAAACCTCCCAGTTTTTAGATGCGACAAGACGAAGAACAGAACGAACAGTATTCATCTTGACAACAGGAGCAAAAGTTTCATCGAAATCTTCTCCTTCAATCTGATGATTGCCCTGGACAACTAGCCGAGCCTTGTATCTCTCGATAGTACCATCAGAATTATACTTCGTCTTGTAAACCCAAAGACAACCAAGAGCTTCTTTGCCAGGAGGTAAATCACAAATATCCCACGTACGCTTTTGTTCAAGCGCATCCACCTCAGTTCCCATAGCATCGTTCCAGACCTTAATTTGAACAGCATCTTTGAAGTGTTTCGGTTCATCTCCCGCAGTAATGGCAGCAAAGAACGCACGTTGCCCTGGTGAAAAGCATTCATCCGAAATAAAATGAGACAGCGGGTATAGAGATGTACCTTGGACCGATGAGGACTGAGATGTGGGATCGGGAGGAGCGTGATGGGGGTCTTGATTGCACACGACGTTATAAGTGACGTAGTCTCGTAGCTTGACAGACGTGGACCGTTGCCGCTGACCACGACCTAAACTCGGAGCAGCCGCTTCCTCAACAGTTCTCTGTTCTTGTTCTGTTTCTGTGACATGATCTGAGCCAGGTTCTTGTGGATTGACTGTGAGAGGTTCTTGTGATTTTTCTGTCACAGGTTCTTGTGGAATATCTGACTCAGGTTCTTGTGTATTATCCGTCACAGGTGCAGTTTCAGGTAAGACGCTCCCCCTTACAGGAGAAGACATTGGAGAAATAAACCAATCCTCGTCGAGACACGCTGGAGACGAAGACTGTTGTGGCGGAGAAGAATTGTGTAAGGAAAAACTGATTCCTTAAAGATCACATCACGTGAAACAATGAACTCTTCCCGCTCGAGATCATAAACCTTCCAGCCCTTTTTACCAAAAGGGTACCCAAGAAACACACAACGACGACTTCGTTGAGCAAACTTATCTTTATCACGTGTGGCCCTGTGTGTGTAATATTCGCTCCCAAATACTCGTAACTGGTCATAGGAAGGTTTCTGACCGTGTAGTATTTCATAAGGAGAGCGGCCAAGATGAATAGCACAGGGTGTACGGTTAATCAGATATGCAGCAGTGAGGATCGCCTCTCCCCAAAACTTGATTGGTAAGTTACCTTGAAACAGCAAGGCACGAGCCACGTTGAGGATGTGTCTGTGCTTTCTATCAACACGTCCGTTCTGCTGAGGTGTAGCCACACAAGAAGTTTGATGAACTATGCCTTTCTCGCGGAAAAAAGAAGACAGACACATAAATTCTGTGCCATTATCACTACGCACCATCCTTACTGTTTTCCCAAATTGCTTCTCTGTATAAGCTAGAAAATTCTTCAAGACTTTACTAACTTCGGATTTCTCAAGTAGCAAGTACGTCCAAACTGCTCGAGAATAGTCATCAACGATAGTTAAAAAATAAACAGCTCCCGTAGAGGAAGGCACACGGTATGGACCCCATACGTCAACATGAATAAGGGAAAAACATTCCTTTGTTTTATTAAGACTCTCTGAAAACACCTCTCTAGTTTGTTTTGCTCGGAAACACACGTCACACTGACCCGAACAAACAGATTTCGAAGCACCAGAAAACAACGGTAAAGAAGAAAACACAGAAAAGGACGGATGTCCTAGCCGCTGGTGCCACAAAGCTAAATCTGAATCAGCAACAGCTCGATGAATCCTTGCAGCCATGACGTCCTTGAAGTAGTAAACCCCATCACGTTCCTCACCGGCTCCAATCAGAGTCCTCGAAAAATGGTCCTGTAACACACAAAGAGTATCAGTAAACATAGCCACTCCACCGGTTTGTTTTAGCAGTTTCGACACAGAAATCAATGTACAATTGAGATCTTGAACAAACAAAACGTTAGGCAATGTAAGAGTGGAAGACAGAGTCAAAACTCCTTTACGGAGTGAAACCGTTTTTCCTCCATCCGCGAAGCCGATAGAAATGGTAAAATCGTCTCAAGATTGTGTAATAATGAGAGATTCCCTGTCATGTGATGAGAGGCACCTGTATCAAGAATAACATCACCATAACCTTTCTTACCAGACAACTTGTCTGAACTAGCTTCACCCGATTTCTCTTGAATTAACTTGGAGAGAGCTTTCCATTGATCAGGAGTGAACTCGGGAAAAGAAGACGCATTAGAGCTTGTGGCATGCGCTGCATTAGCTTGACCGCGACCACGGCCAGAATTGTTGACACCAGCTCCACGTCCACCTCTTCCACGACCACCACCACGACCAAACCCGTTATTGCGTTCATTCCACCATTCAGGAAAGCCAACAAGCTGCCAGCAATCCTTCTTCTCATGACCAGAACGACCACAGTGAGCACACAAGACATTTTTGTCACGACGGATTGAGTTTGGTACGTCAGAACGCGAGTCAGAACTCTGACTCTGTTCTCGCCGGGACGAGAGTGACACTTCATCACGCCGTGTAGCAAAACCTAACGCCTCTTGGTTTTGATCACGGAGTCGTGCCGACGCCAATCTTTGCTCTTCGCGTACCACCTTAGAATAAATCTCACCGAGACTTGGCAACGGATCTGCTGCAATGATTCCCGTGTAGAGTCCACCAAATCTCGCATCATCGAGACCCATAACAAATTGATGGATCTTTTCTTCCTCCTTTTCTTTGGCAAAAACAGAGGCAGCTCCACAGGAGCATGAGATCGCTGGTTGATACATCTGTAACTCTTCCCACAAGGCAGAGAGACGACCATAGTACTCAAGAACAGATTGTCCATCCTGTCGACACGCAGCAAGCTGAGACTTAATCTGATGAGTACGCACTTTGTTTCCAACTGAGAAACGTTCCTTGAGCTCGGTCCACAACAAGTGAGCATCCGAGATATACGTTACAGTAGACCTAACTTTAGGTTCAATCGACGCCCGAATCCAACCCACAAGCATTGAATTCACCGTCAACCAATTCTCCATATCAGGGATCCCAACAGCTGGTTTCGGAAGGACTCCATGTATGAAACCTAGCTTTCGTTTGGCCTGAAGAGCATTAAGCAACTCCGATGCCCACTTATTATAGTTTTCTCCAGTCAACTGAACCGAAGTTATTAAGGCACCGGGATTGTCAAATGCCGCCAAAGTATATGGCGAAATCGCCTGAGCTCACCAAAAGGCAACACAGCACCACTGTGAACTTGTGTTCCACCGGAACCAACACCTGTATGGTTTCCATTGGAAGTCGACGCATCAACGGGCGGAATGTCATCATCTCCGGCAATATTAAACAAACGAGCAAGATCAAAAGAAATTTTGAGGTTTGAGGATCTTCTACTCTGATACCATGTAGAATTAGGTATTCAACTGACTTGTTTATTCATGATCCCAAACTTGGGTATTTATACAACATGTCTTTGAAGCTATATAACCCTAGACTCCTAAATACAAGGAAACTTAACTTTATCACAACATAATGAATTAGGAAACTTAACATAATGAATCCTTATACTTAACCGACGTAACTATCCGTAATACATGAGCCTATGAAAATAATTAAAAACTGTAAAGAAAAAGTATGGGTGCCAAATGATAATCTGATGCATGCGCTAACAAAAACACCGGTTTAGTGGGTCCTTCGTGGCAGAGAAGCACACGTCGAATAGGGATCAGCCTCTTTCTATGTCTTTGATCTACTCATCAATTCTCACCGTACATTTAATCTACGATTTCATTATGCTTTTATTATTTGATAATCAAGCTTTGGATTTGCTTCGAACAAGTTTATTCCGAAACTAAGTCACAAACGTATTTTGTCAAAAAAGAAAACAAAAAGAAGTCACAAATGAATTAAACCAAAACGAAATGGAAACACAAATGATGTCGTAGTGTTTGGTTGAGTATTGTGAAACATGTCGATGTAGATTACTAGTTTTTGTAACTAAATAAAAATTAACAACATTTGATTATGATATTAGAGGACTTAAAATATGTATGTGAAATAGTATATACGTATGGTTTTATGTCAATTAGTAGGTAACCTATCTTTCAAAATCCAAATAAAAACAGCAAAACATTGCAAAAGGTTATCCATTAATTCTTAATAATTGGAATATCTAGCTACTAACTAATATATCTTTTTCACATTCATTTGTGGGACAAACAAATTTCAATTTTTCTAATGAAGACAAGATTTAACCCCACCATTATATATTGAGTTGAGTTGATGGCTTAGAAGAATAGTGACTGATATGTAATATATAGACATATATATTGGAACAAAAGTAAATTCCATTAAGAAAAAAGAAAAAAAAAGTGAGAAAAAGAAATTAAAAAGAAGGATTCTTGCTTCGAAGGCCCGTAGTTGAAACCGTTGGCTGATGTGTGTCTACTGCCCTTTGCCTTCGTATTTACGTTTCCTCCTCTCTTTTTTTGAAAGAGAACAACAAATCAACTAGCATAGGTTTTATTAAGTCTATGTAATTGACCAACATAAGTTTCGATTTTTTTGTTTGTGTGTACAACAAACACTTCACTATTCATTTCATTTCATTTCAGAACTCTCATCAAAGTCTCGCACAAGACACTTGTCGTTCGCCAAGATGTTGTCAAGTCTTATCTCTCAATTGTGGCCGCAATCTCAGTCCGCCAAGCAACGGTCACTCTTAATGATAAAGCAGACAAAAATAAAAACACGATTATTTCATTAATTTGATATGGACTAATCGAAAACCAGAAATTGAGATACTGGTTTAGTTTGGTTCGGTATTTACGGTTCAGACGCGACAACTGAGTTGTAACGAGCTGTCTCCGGGTTCTACGGGTCACCCGTTTTGATTCCTTCATCGGATCAAAGATCCAACGGTCATCATATAAAGTCTGAAGATTAACGGTTACAAAATCAGATTCTCGTCGCTTTTAATTTTTGATTTTTCTTTTAAAGAACAAAATCGAGAATCCTTTCTGCATCTTTATCGGTTGTTGGTGGCAGTTAGGTCATTTCACCTAATATTTTCTTTTATTTGTGTGTGCCTCTTATCTCTTTTTCATTAGAGAAATACGTTTCAATATTATTAATTTTTAAAAAGTTCCCGTTACAATAAAATATCATTGCTTATTTATTCATTTCCCTGAAATATTTTTTTCTAATTATCTTTATATATGTTCATATCACACAGCACTATTTCTGGGTTCAAAAAGAAAAGCTCAGTTTCCATTTTCTCTACCACAGAAGAACCTAGAACCAGAGAGAGAGAAAGAGAGAGCTAGAGAGTAACAGAGAGAGAGAGACAGAGAACGAGAGAGAGAGAGAGAGAGATCGAGCTAAAGGGATTTGAGTTTAGAAAGAGCAGAGAGTGAAGATGAAGGAGATGCAAGCGATAGAGACGTCGCAGCCGACGGTGGCTCCGGCGGTGCATAGCCGACAGTTAGGGGCTCAGCTGTCGGGGAGTATGAGTTTCAGCAGCCAAATGTCGAAGGAAGACGAAGAGATGTCGAGGACGGCTTTGTCGGCTTTTAGAGCGAAAGAAGAGGAGATCGAGAAGAAGAAGATGGAGATTAGGGAAAGGGTTCAAGCTCAGCTTGGTCGTGTCGAAGAAGAGACTAAGCGTCTCGCTTTGATCCGTGAGGTATATATATTTATCATTTCATCATAATTCTGTTTTATATTTTGAGAATTGTGCTTGAATTTTGATTTGTTTTATAAGCAAAATAAATCGGGATGTCAAAATTGAACATTTGGGGGTTTTATAAAGTGATTTATGTGATTCTAATTCATGTTTAGAGGGAAATTGTAGGACCCAAGTGTTGGAAATTTCGAGATCTGACAATTGCATTGAACAAAAAAAACATTTGTTCTTTTGGTTTTTGTTTGATTTGTACCGTGAGGAGAGTAAATTTTGGGACTTTTGTGTTGGATTTAGGATTAAATTGATAAGTACCAAGCAAATCTGGATTTAATCTAGTACTTGGTCTCTTGGTAAAAGTTTTTGGATTTGTAGGTAAAATTGTAAACCCCATTTGCTAAAGATAAGCTCTTTGGATTAAGTTTATGTGAAAGGAACCATTTCCTTCTTATGGGTATGTTCAGGATCAAGAATCTTGGTTCTGTTTTTTTTTCTTTTCCAGTTTTGGGGTTACAAAACAGTGAAAGTTTCCACCTTTGTAGCACTAATTGAAGAACCCATTTGCTAAAGATGAGCTCTGTGGAGCAAAAAGCCTTTCCTTTTAATGACAAAGAACCATTTGCTTCCTCTGAGTGATGTTATGTTGATGACTAAGAAGCTTAATGGTTAAATTGGATATCAGGAACTTGAAGGTTTAGCTGATCCCATGAGGAAAGAAGTTGCTTTGGTCAGGAAGAAGATTGACTCTGTCAACAAAGAATTAAAGCCTCTGGGTCATACTGTTCAGAAAAAGGTAAGGCCATTACATAATTAAATCCACTAAACCCATAATCATCATATATCGGTTTAAGATTAAGATTAAGAATGCTCTGTTTTTTTCAATTGTATTAACGCAATGTGCAGGAACGAGAGTACAAAGAAGCTCTTGAAGCATTCAACGAAAAGAATAGGGAGAAGGTTCAGCTAATCACCAAGCTAATGGAGGTTAGTCAACAAAATCTCTTCTTTTTTTCTTTACGAAATATAGAAATCGCAGGCCACATTTGAATGCTTGGTTTAACTGTGATTGTTGTTGCTCTGCTTCTCTCTGATTTATGGTTCTGTGTTAGTTTTTTTTCACATTAACTTTGCCTGTGTAGATAAATTCACATAAAAAAACTGATAGTTTTAGGCAACCTATCAGTTGATTCTATCTTTAGCTCATTCCGTTCATTTGCTTGACGTATCTTGTCTGTAAACTGAACATATTCATCAAATTAGCTCATCAAATTAGCTCTGATCTTTGTTGATTATATTTTGGACTAAGGGGTTTTCGGAATGAATATTTTGTAGTTGGTGGGAGAAAGCGAGAAGATGAGAATGAAGAAGCTGGAAGAGTTAAGCAAGAACATAGATTCTATACACTGACTTTCAATCCAAGACGGAACAAATGAAACTTCTTTGGGGCCAGAGATCATTCTCCGAGTGTTTTAACACTACGTGTAGGTTTTGTGATGGTGAATGTAATTTATATTTTTATGATCGTCGTGTCTTGTGTTATATTACTACTCTTTTTTATCTTTCGTTAGGGTTTCTTTGAGAATTTATAATGTTTTTTTTAGAAAATGACTTCAAGAAATACTCAATCAAGACAGACAGGTTTGTAACTAAATACTACTTTTCCTATCTTTGTTGTGCCTTTTTACTTGATTTACATTTACCTCTTAAAAGCTTACGTTACAAAATAATATGTACATCGAAAATATTAGGTGTAGAAAAATGGAAGTTTCTCTCTGTCATGTGCATTTGAGAAAATTGATGAGAAAAGTACAAAAGATTAAGAGAATATTATGTAATTAAATAAATTAAATTACTATAAATGTGCGATCGGTACGTTAAGAAGATGGCATGATCAGATTCAGATGTGATTTACGTTGTCCTTTACCGAATTTGATTCATTCTCAAATGACCGTTAGAGAAAAAGGATCTATATACACTGTTGTAAAAATGTATATATATTTGTTTTATTAGAAAAGTCAAAGAAAATATCCAATAGATAAAGTGATAAACCACATTTTTTTAATTAGACGAAATTCGATCCTTAAGCGTGTATATATTTTCGATCCGAAACGTACATCATAAAGACGACAAAAACGTACAAATTATAGCCGTTTATCTGATATGAAACTATATATATTGTTCATATAAAATCTAATAATAAATTGGAATGTGATTGACCAAAAAATGAAATAGTGTAGTCTAAATTAACACTAGTAGCCACGTTTTGATGTTTTGCATATCAATATATATATATATAATCTTATAGGCGTTTATTTCATTATTTTAGGGAGGTGCATCAATGAGACATTAATGATCAATGATGATGTGGATACTAGAATGGGAGACAGAAAACATCATAAAAGAACAAATAAAGAATAATCATATTTTTCTGCAGCCTTTATTCATTTGATTACCATCCCCAATGATTATTCATGTGGCATAAATTCGAATTCCATTCCAAATATGTATCCCATGTTCATATACTTTTTTTTTGTTATAAAGGCAACTAGCAAGAGATCAGTTTCTTCCATGTAAAGTAATTAAATTAAAGGTACATTTTGTTCTCTATTCTCCAGAACTTAAAGTATATACAACCGTCCTGATGAGAAAGATTGCCTCAAACATTCGTCACTTACCAACCTTTACCAATTAGCCAAAGCCAGTCAGAAGTGACCCCAGCAAACATCCCTCCAGACAAAAATAGCACCAACAAGTTTCCTAGTGCATTTTGCTCCGGTGCCTAAACCATATTCCAAATTTTAGAATTACCATCATCGTTAATTATCATCTTCAGCATAAAAAGAAAAGAGAGTGATAATTGAAATACCATGTAACCCTTTGGTGCTGATGTTAGGATACAAACAGTCAAATATCCATTGGTTAATCCCAAAAACGACGTCAAGAAAATCATCCAGCCTTGTGTTCCATATTTTGCCGTGAAATAAAAAGCAGGAATCAATAAGAAACGTCCCACTGCTGTTATTGTGAGACCATTTCTCGACTCCATCTTCAACCTCTCGACCACCGGAATGTATCTTCCAACCAAATCCCACACGTTGAACATTGCTATCAACACTAGCGCATACCTATTTAAGTCATTTTGCTTGGTTATATCATTTTTCATTTTTATTTTGTGTGTTACAAACTGTCTCACAAGTGAAGTTTTAGTATTTACCAATCTCCCAAACTGTGTTTTCCCGTGTCCTCCGACAAAAATCCAGGGAAAATGCTTAGGGTTAGCAGATATACCAAGAACAAGTTGATGGCGTAATCTAAGTTCTTTGACAACAGCTGTTTGTTGCTTAACCGCTGATTTGACGTTGGACCTTCCTCGTCCTGCATTAATGTATACGTTTCCTATAACTCCCATAGTCATACGTACGTAGAAGAAAAGTTTAGAAACAAATTTTGATTTCCACTAACACTTTATTTTTTACGTTTGCGTTTTTTTTGATCAACACCATTAGTAGTGTACCTGTGTCATTGGTAACTCTTGGATGCCACCAGCTGCAAGATCGGCCGATACAGTTTTAGATCCTTGAGCGGCAGCTCGTGCACGGTAGTACTTCACAATTGGTAGTTTTGGAAACACATATGCGTACAAAAGGACGCAAAGCAACTCAAAGAATGCAGATATGGCAAAGAACAAAGCTGCCAATGTTGTCAAAACAGTGTAACAATTAGTACTTGGAGGATAAAAATTTGATGACATCTCTAACCAAAACTTACTAGCTCCCTTGCGAAGGCCATCCCTCGAGTTTTTGAATGCAGCTTTTGTGATCAGTCTCAATCCAGATGTTAATGTCCTGAGGCTGCTAAGCCACCTAGAAACGACTATGATTAATGGCCAAGAGATTAACAAAAGTCAGACACCAGCATTTTTAGTCACACACAAGGAAAAAAAAACGAAACAAAACAATCTTGATATCTAAATTATTTTAACATTTTTATGAGTTTTAGGGAAAATTGTAAATGTAGGAATCTCAACTGAGACCATATATATAAGCTACCTGAACAAACTCTGGTCTCATCAAAGAAAGATCTCCAATCATTCCACCTTGAACATTTGCATCAGCGAGACCAAATGTGGCACTAATGACACAAACTCCAAGGAAAGATCCAATCCCTCCTTTTCCCGAGGTAGCTAAATCGAGCTGCCTCACAGCAAGAATATAATTAATTATCAAGCTTATTATGATTGTATTGCAAATTCCAGAAGAAGAAAAAAACAACCACCAAAAAAATTATTTGAGAGAGTGTAACTCACTCACCACGAGAACAGCAAGAGAACTAAGGAAAAAAAGACTATATCCAAACAAATTCCGAAGTCTTGTGTTGAGTTTTGCCTCGTTGTAAGTAAGAACAGTAAGTGCTCCAATTGCGAATGACTGATATATTAGGGTAAGGATTCTCGATGGATGATATCGCTACCAAGTTAAAACAAAACAAGTCAAAAACAATCAAGACGACGAAGTAAGTGATCAACACAAAGAAAGACTAATTATATACGAGACATTTCCATAAAACAAAAACGTTTTTCACTCACAGGGAACAAATAACCGTAATAATCCACTATTGTGAGCATACTGCTCCACGCTAAAAGGCATCCATTTCCAAGAAGCCAACAAACAGTAAGAGCATAGTTTCTTCCCTGAATGACAAGGAAATGTTAAGAAATAAGGTTGTGATACTTTCTACAACAAAAAAATAGTTTTAGTCTTTTGTCCTCGTCAAAAGAAGGATGTAAACCTCAAGCTTGGTCGCTGGATTCCCAGTAGCCATATCTCAAACTGTGGAAAAAAGATCGCAATATGTTTTTAAAGTTTAGTAATTAAGAATCCTAGTGTTTTGAGTTCTTGTGTATTACACATATTAGCATGTTTGATGCTGCTAAAAAGGAAAAGTGGAAATAAATCATAAAAGAAAAATCTGAAGCTATTCATTAAACTTTAGGAAAAAAATCCCAGTTGGAGATTTTAACTAGCCTGATCTATTGATCCTAACCGCAGTTTAACCAAGTTAAACCATATAACGACGTCGTTTGCTGTATTAGAGAAGAGAAAAACCCCAAAACGCGATCGTTTGTGCGCCCACCGTTAAACGTCAATAATGAAAGACAATGTTTGTTTTGTGAGACGCTTACATAACTTCTTGACCAAAGCGTTTCCCGTTAGCGTCTAGTGTCTTGTTTTTGCGTCCCCTCAATTTTGTTGCCGTCTTGAGCGTTTAGAATCACGCCGCTTAGCTAATCCTTCCCTCTATTGTCGCCGTCGTTTCGGCTCTCTCTAAATCTCACATAGGCCATAGCTCTTCACCCTTGAACTTTACTGGAGATCTTTTGGGGATTAGCCGTTTATTCAAGAAAAAAAAGAATTTGATAATCTCTCGCGGCTTTGAGGGTTTGGAGTTTGGATTTTGGCGAACGTGAAGGAGAGACGGTTACGTTTTAGTGTTTACACGTGGTAAGCGTTTTAAACCTTATTACATAGTTTCCGACTTTGTCTTCACATGCATGATATACATCTATTAGTTTGTCCACTTATATAGGTCAGTCCAATATTATAGTACTATATTGATTAATCAACACTACACACAAAATCAGTTTCATTCTGAAGTTGTTTGACCCTTCAGTCTTTCGGATTCCATTAAACAAAAACTAAAAAAACCTGAGATAGCTAATTTGAAATTTTCGTGTTCCTGTATTTTTATCACTGTATGAGACTATGAGCTTGACTTTGATATAATCCGATTAATTGGATTACTCAGCTTCATCTTCTTTGATTTGATCAAGGACTAATAAGGATTTCCATATTTTATTGAATTTGCTTTACATTTTGCCTTCTTTTTTGTTCTGAAATCGAGATTCGTGGAGGATTATATGTGATGAAATATGGTTTGGTTGTGGGAAGCATAATGGCTGATTTGGATTAAACACTGAAATTTTTTTGTGAAGTTTTACCGATTCTGATTTGAAATTGCACTAGACTAAATTAGCTTGAGTTTGTGTTTCTATGAGCCACGTTTAGTTAGCGTTTGGCTATTGAAAATATTTTTCTTGGTATTGAAATGCCACACTGAATTAGTTTTGGACTTCATTGATGATATAAGCCAATTTAGGCATTATAAACCAAGCTTTTCGTTACCAAACAGATAATGTAAAGATGACTAAAAATTATAATATCTTCTGTGTTAACGACTAAAAGCAGAAACAATTGTGGCAATGACGAAAAGAAACTAACATGTTTTTTTCCTAAAAGAGTCCCATGAATTTGAAACCATTGGCAAGCTAGAGTCCTTGTTACGTTACCTAAAACCATGAAAATCAAAATACACTAATCTGTTAAAATGCAATCTTGATGGTTTTACTCATAGTCTGATTCCTTCTTTTTGCTGGGTGGTGAATGCAATCTTTTAACCAAAGCTTTTGATTTCCTGGTCTTGCGGTCAAATCCTCTTACACATACATAACCTGAACATATTACAATTGCAGTAAAAATGCAACCCCAAAAATTATATGAAATACAATATCATTGAATCTTCTTCATCAAGCAACTTAGTTTATCATCAGTACTTTTGCTGTAAACATCTTACTTGACCAAAAAAGAAAACATAAATCCAATCAAATTATTAGCCTCATGATTATCGGAGTTCCAAATTCAAAACGTTTGATACTACGTGCTTCTTATATACAAGTGTTTCAAGCTAAATATAGCATAAGTATTAATCAAAAAGCATACCTGTCCAGAAGCCATATTGAATCGCTTCCACAGATAAACCTACCAAATTAAAAAAGCATATTCAAGCAATGACTTTGGATTTGTACATATATGTATATACTCATTCACATGCATATATTGATAGTTCTTTTTGAAATTTTACCTCCAAAACATGCGCTTGCAGAAGATCCAAAGTACACGATTGCTCTTCTAAGGCTCCCTATTGATTCTCTTGGGACGTATATCGGCTTAACACTAGAGCCGTGGTCGGCAAACACCTGCATATGCAACTCTAATTTAGCTTTCAATAGAGTAGTTTCTCAAATGGACTTCAATATAGCAACAATTTACCTCGTTAGTTTGGAAGTAGGTGCCATTCAGAGGAAATCTCCCTCCCATCGCTGTTCTGCAAGGAATCTGTACACAACCGAAGTAGTCATCTTAATTACTTCCTCGTATTTCTTCTACTTAGAAATATTCTCTTGAAAAGAATTTCAACAATAATCTTACCAATATGGTTCCTCGGACTGTTTGTGAATTCACTTCACGTCTATTATTGCATGGAAAACAGTTTTTCTCATGACATAATATATCGCCTTCTTGAGAAACGCATCTTTGCTTGGGTAGTTGAATGGAATTGGCTGTTTCCCCTGTATAAAATATTGTACAATCATAGGTTAGAAAAAATTATGTATATGGATCTAAAGTTGTGTTATTCTTAAAAACATAATTTGTATTGTGTTGTCTTCTGACCTGGACTCCAAATAGCGAATAGGTAGCTAAACATATCATCGGGGTCTCGCCGCTTAAACTGTAAAATATCAAAGATATTTGTTAACACATGGATAAACATAAATAATCTTGCTCAATCATTTGCAAATAGTACTAACCCCTCGCAGAATGGGATGAGAGTCTGGGAGCTCATAGCTGTGACATTGTTGAAACAAAAAAAGGGTTGAATTGTTAGTATCAGACAAATAGCTGAATAAGAAATGGTTTAGGATATACAAGAAATTCTGAAAGTGGTAACTCACACAAGGTGCTCTGTTCGCAGCTTTTCCTTGTTCTTTAGTTTGTGTCTTGGTATTGATGCTGTTTGGGTGTTTAGTACCACCAAATCCTTTGATGTTCCAACTTCAAATATTGTAGAGATTCCATTCTTTTTGTTCCCAAGGATGATTGTAGGAATTACATCCTTATTTTCCCAAGGATCCCTAGAAATTTCATTTTCATTGTTCCAATGACAATCCTCAATATCAGGACACTCTGGTGGTTCTGGTGTTGTTGGCTCTTCAATGATTGGTTCACAGCCTTGGGAGCTCTGTCCTTCTTCTTGCTCTTTGCCCCGAGTAAGAAATAAAGACTGTTGAAAATTGACAACAACAGACTCGTGCTTAGGTCTTCTCTTATGAATTGTAACCTCTTCTTCTGCCTCTGGTAGAGCAAGTTGCGCACTGCCATATAACACAAACATAAAAGAAAACTAACCATGAAAATGACTATCCTGAGCAGCTCGTTGTTCTCAAAAATATGTTCAGACAGAGCAACTGATAGATTTGTAAATATGTATGAATATAACCTTGTACGTGCACTAGCATAATGACGGCACTCCGCTTTCATTGGACATGCTTTGCAATTTGGTTTCTTCTTTGTGCAAAAGACCTGAAGAATTCTCAAACATACAAATATTTTCAGCCACTTTAATTTAAGGTGTATTTTTTTGTGAAAAGTGAATGAATCACATGAGATTTGTCAGATATACCTTTCCAAATGTAATCATATGGTAATGTAACTCATACCTAGATATTGTAATATTACAATGATTAACTGAATTTTCAAAGAAAATATTAGGATTTTTGGTGCATAAAAGCATTGTTATTTTCTTACAAAGTTTTTTGGTCAAGTTTGCATAGCCGTGGCCAAAGATACTTTTGAACAGATTCCAATACTGGATACCTGAATCATATTAACAGTTCAGATTTTGATAATTTTCAAATGTTTTTTTTTAATCATTATTCAAAGAGGGATCTTGCTTACAAATCTAGAAGATGCATTTGTAGCTCGTCAGGCAATGGCTGTAAAGGAACCCATCCGAGCCTTACAGCTATGCGTCCAACATTGGTGTCAACCTGCATTTTCAGATAGGTAACATTTTATTTAATCTCTCGATTTGCATATTCATTAAGGTAAAGAATATTTTTTTCATTGAACTTACAGGGAATGCAGTCTGGTGTAGTGACAAAAGTCTAACACACTCCACACTTTTCAATCCTAATCCATTTATGCGTAGTAGATATTCCCTGCAACAATTAGTAACTCTCTTTCACGTCTGAATGCTTTGGAAGTATAGGTTATATGTAGCCTCAAAGTTTTAGTATTCTTACTTGGCTTTGTCAGGAGGGACATCTCTTAGCCACTCTAGATTTATCTCTCCATGGTCTTGAACCATTCTGTTTAAGAAATCCTGTTCCAAATTTAAGTTCATTTTGTTAGATTTTGTTTTCTTTTTCCTATGAGTGTAATGTTTTTGTAAAGTAGTCATACCTTGATTCTATGAGAAAGCATGTCGTGCATTCCACGTTTTCTGATTAGATCAGCGATCTTTTTTACGTCTGTACATCGTAGTGCGTCCCAGTCAACCGCGTCCATAGTTCTTTCTGTTCTCTCTCTCTTTCGGCCACTACTTTCTGCTTCTCGTCTCAAACTGTCCCAGTCAAAGCTATCCTTTGGTTTGCTTTTCTTTGCCTTGTTCTTTGTTTTGCTTTTCTTTGCAGGTTTCTTCTTGTTCAAGTTTGTATGCTGGTCTGTTCTTGTCTTCGGTTCCTCGTGTTGTGACTGAATTATAGTTTTCTTCTGTTCTTGTTGTTGAATCTGACTTCCTTCATCAACATTGTTTCTGAATTCATCACAGCTCTCTACCTCGATGGGCACTTCGTTTAGGTTCATTGAATTCCCTTGCTGAAAATGTGCTTCAAAGCTGTTCGTAGGAGGATCCAGCAGCATCTTTTTCGATTGGTTTGTTGAACAGATGGAGCTATCGCTGCTTTTAGATGATTCTTGACTACAAACAGCATCAACGCCGTCATCATCAATCTCATCTATGACGAAGCAAGTTTGGTTATGTGTTCTTGGAGTTGCAGCTGCATTTCCAGAGTCCAAGTTTTCATCAGTTACTGAACTTCCCAAATCTTCATGGCAGGATCCCTTGATGGAGTTGAAGATTACTGGAAACTCTGCAGCTATGTCCATAAACGCAGAGCTGCAAAAGTAAAGAAGTGGATAATTTACAAATTGCGCATACATCCTCTGTTTCTCAGGATTCCGTTGAAGCCGTTTACCTTGATGTATGGTCTGCCACATTCTGAGTCAAGAAAACACCAACAACTGAATCCACCACAGAGCCTTTCCAAGGTGAGAATCTTCTGTCACCTACAATAACAACACGCTTGCTTCTTTTAGACTATTTTTCTTTGTGTGCAAAAAGCAAGAAACAAGAAACAATACCTTGTACAAGACGCATGCGAGAGATAAATGTGTTTGCATGTTCATGGAACATTTTCCTCTCCTCTTCCCACCATTTTTGTTTATCCTCATCTGTTCCATCAACACCTTCACTGTCGATACTCACCATCAGGAGTTTCCACACTCTTGTTGATTCCTCATCCAATTCTACTTTCGTCTGATAGTTTTTCTCATCAGGATATGGAATGATTGAGCCATCTTTCATGTACAGTGCCTTTTGTTTCTTACATGTCTCTTGATGTAGAACTAGTGCAGTTTCTTTACTATGTGGAAGGCAAGAACTGTCTCTCGTGATGTCTAGCTCATTGAATAACTCTGTGACATTATCGATTGAGATTTTTCGTTCCCATAGTTCCTCATCAGATGGACCTGTATTAATATTGTGAAAGTATAATTGATTCAGATATCAAAAGTTACGCCAAATAATTGAAATGGAAAAGTGCATATCTGACTAACCTGTTGCACTGTGGCGTCTCCACTTCAGGTGTAACACTCTTGCGTTGAGCTTGCTTGCTATAGCGTCTCTGTTACTTCTTTTCTTTCTAAACACACTCGGTTTCATCTCTGACAGGAGGTTATGTGGTTCTGTAACTATACTAGATCTCCGTTTCCTTTGAATGTTTTGAAATTGTATCAAGAACTTTTTTTCTGACATGCTTAAGCTTTCGCTGCCGGTGACAGATTGATCATTAGTTGTTTCTGATCGAGTCCAGCTTTGGAGTCTTCTCTCTGGGATGTCATCAAGTACTTGTAGTATTTTACCACCTGAAGAGATACCTATGCGACCATCTGAAGTGAAAGTGAGCCCACTGTATTCTTCTTCTTCTTCCTCTTCTTCTTCTTCAACATCAGTGTTAAATGTTAGAATTCTTTTGCATGATCTCTTTGGACGAACATGGATGCCGTTAGCTTCAGGATTAGTTTCAGCAGATGCAGGAGGAGTTGGAGTAGGAGTAGCAGAGGCTTTTTTGACAGCTGGTTTAGATGCAGATTTGTTTGTGTAGCCATCACCAGCAACCTTTCCTCTGATCTTCTTTCTCTTCTGTGTCTGTTGTGGTGTTTTCAGTTTAGTCTTGTCATCATCATCTCTTGCTCTCTTTCTTTCCTTTTCCTCTGCTGCAGGAGATCCAGTTTCAGGCAGAGACTTCTTGGTAGTGGCGTGAGGAGGTTCAGGCAATCTTTTCCCTGGCGTGTCTAGTGTTATTGGAGACAGCTCAGGTTTGTTTTTCTGCGATCTGGTTCTCACCATCTCTTCAGGTGTGTGATTAAGGTCGCAAATGAACTTCTGTGGAGTTAACAACACATCACCTGTGGTTTACAAAGAAGAAAAACAATAGACATCAGGTAATAGAGAATTCATGATTTGAATACCTCACTGAGACAACTTATTAAGACTCTTTTGAAAATTTAATCATCTAGTAAAGGTCCAATCTGTATTTATTTATCACCAGTATGTAAATTCACAAACCAAACCATATTAGCTCTTCAAGTTACTATGCAACAAGACAATTTGAAAACCCTATATAGAGGAAAGAAATTGTAGGCTCAAGATTTTACTCACATTGTGGTTTTTCCATTGTTCCTTCTCCAACAATGTCTTTTATTGTCCCAGGGGAGGATTCAGGGCTCAAAGTCCACAGATTGGACTCCATCTTGCTACTATTGACCCAAGAATCCATTGACATTTGAGAATCTGCGGCATAGCTTGGGATTGATGTTGCACCAACTGATGAACTTGTGCCGAATGTATCAACCTGAGCCAATAGTTGCGTACATGACAGCCCAAGTGAGTTTCCAAGACTAAGCCTCCTCCTGCTTGATCAATCATATTCCGATTCACATCTCTCCTTATAAAGTTGAAAATAACAATGAAGTAGTTGAAAAGAAACAAAAAAAAGTAATTGCAGAGACTCTAAAGATTCTCAAGAACCAGAAACCACTTTCACCAAAATTGCTGTTGTTGTTTCAGTTTTTAGCATTTACTCTTGCTGCTAAGTTCCAACTACTTGTGTGAAAGAGAAAAAAATATCTGATTTATTCTTCTTCCCTTTTGCAGAGTTTTTTACTTGTAAGTAAACAAAAACAGGATCACAAGAGAGAGATATGAAAAAGAAGTGTGAGCCACAAAAACCTGTCTGAATCAGGCTGGTGATTGTATTGCATGTCGTGGAAGATGGATTGTTCTTGTGGCAGACAAGGAACGAAGTGTATCTCTGGTCTCACTTGAACCCTATCGTCTCTCTCTCTCACTTCACTTTCCATATCTTCAAAAATCAGATCACTTCCTCCTCTCTGTTTTCAGTCTAACAATTTGCCTGTGTGAAACAAAAAATGAATTACAGATCAAGACAAAATGATTAAGGAAATAAATCGTCTCTTTGTATGGTCAATGAAAGAGACCATATATGTCTTTGGATAAGCAAACCTCCTCAAAGTTCTACTATTAATGTCAATTTCCATTTAGACAGAGAGAAATCAACAAGTTCTTCACTGAAAATAACAGATTCGACCCCCCCCCCCCCAAAAAAAAACATCTGAAAATGAGAGCTTGCAATTGCACGAAAGATTACCAGAAAATGTAGAGCTGAAGTCAAGTCCTTGGAGTTTCAGAAATGACACAAAATACTGAGAAATTTTTTACAGAGAAGAGCTGAAGTCAAGTCTTTGTAAACTGTTTTCTTATTTTTCAAAGCTTATTCTAAAACAAAAAATCCCTATATTTTCTCTCACGAGCCCCTTTCAGCTCACACTTCCACAACTCCAACAAACCCACAAACTAAAATAAACTATTTTAATTATTTTTTTTTGTTACAAATATTGTAGACGGCCAAATAACTGCAGAATGCATGTGTGTTGCAAACTTTCACTGCATCGCAACAATTCGTAAAAGTAACTGTTGCCAAGTGGCGGCTTATATTCGTCACAAAATTAATCAGTACTAATATGATCACCTTTAAAAAGAACACGAGTTTGTGAAAGTGGATTACCGATAGATATATTGTTAATCTAATTGTAGGCGAGATATATATATTAAGTCATTAAGTGATAGTGAATAATTATTTACTTGCTAACAAAACCTTTATTTACTATTTACTCAGTTGTATACTTGTATGCGATCTATTGAGTTTTTCACTGCACGTAATGAAGCTGTATATGATCGTACTTGTACTTACTTTACTTGGGGACCACTTACTTACTTTTTTCAATGAGTTCTGTAAGAGAATCTTACCTCTCTCATATACTTTTGCAGTTTTAGGTTAACAACACTAATGTCGTTTAAGCTCATCTGTTTTCAGAAAAATTAACGTAATCTACCAAAAATAGGAAAACAGAAGAAAAAAGTAAAGAGACGTGCTAAGATGAAGGGGGTACAATGGTCATTTTAGAGAATAAATGCTGAATTCTGCTGTCGGGGCCACACTATTGCTAAAAAAAAAAGAGTGAATTTGGTGCAGAGCAATAACAGACTCTTTAATCAACAAATCAACAAATCGTTTCTTTGTTAGAAGGAATTAACAAAAAGGTACCTGATATATCAGTAATTTTGATTGGTATTGGATCATGGCGTGTGAGTGGGGAGGAAAAGGTCAGGAGAGAGAATATGTAAAAGTACGTATTTAATGTTGTGTTTATAACTTTATACTAATGAGTTTTACATTTTTTTTTCTCTCTCACGGTCTTCTTATTATTTATCCCTTTTTTACAATATTTTTTTTTATTATTTTCACAATCAACAAATAATCATCTAAGTACATACTCACTCACAAACACTATTAACCATGTTTGAATTGAATCTAATAGTATCAGTTTCAAATATAACTGCTTCAGAAAATTTATGGATAAAATTGGTGTTACACATATATATATAATAGCAAGTTATTTATATTTATAACACACTATTAAAATAAATAACATGTAAAAGTAAACAAATAATTTGTAGCATGTTATTAAACTAGATAACTTGTTATATACATTTATAACACACTACAATAAAAAAAAAATTATAAAAATGAAACAAAATTTTGTAAGTATGATATTATAAATATTTTAGCATGCTATAAATATATATAACTTGTTATAAGTATGATATAGTAAATATTTTAACATGCTATAAAAACAGATTACTTGGTTTATAACACATTAAAAATATATTTATAAAAAGTCGAAAATTGTATATATAATATAATAATTATAACATGCTACAACATATAACTCGTTATCTTAAATATATATACATATATAAGTTTCTATATTTATACATATCGAGTAATAGCAGGTTATAATAGTGAATATATTTGGGCCCTCTTTTTTTTGTGACAAAATCACTATTCAAAACCGTGTTAATACAATTTTAACACCACACCATAAAGAACTCATTTTAGTTTAGTCAAGTCTCTAGAGTCTAGACTGACAAAAAACCCGACAAACAACCTGGAAAATCTGTTTAGAATGCATATACAGGGAAATTAATCTGCAACATAAATGCAACTACAGTATTATTCTCTTCCTGGCAGTGACCATATCGCGTGGGGTTATAGTGGTCAAGTTTGGTGGTAAAATAATATCTTTGTCTGGACCCCGCAGTGGGCCTTGTTGAAAATTTAAGGTGGTGATTGGTTCTCCCGCTACCACCCGCAAACGCAGCGTTTGCGGTTCGTAGCGGTTCTTAGCGTTTTATAACAATCACGACAACCGCTTTCAACCGCTCTATACCACTCTGTACCGCTCTATATCGCTGAAAATCAAAAGCTCCTTTCCGCAAGCGTTTGCGGTTGCGGGCGGTTGCGGTTTGAAAAAAAAAAAAAAAAACATAATATCTCCAAATTTGGAATAAGGGTATATTTTTTTGAAAAATACCATAATTATGTTTAAAAATTTCGAAAATACCCTAAATTTTTTCTGTTTTGAAAAATACACTTTTAAAATGTAAAAAGTATGTTTTGACGTGATTTAAACAAAAAAATAATAAATAATTACAAATTATAAACGAAAATTTAAAAAAATAATAAACTAATAAGTTTTTTTTCAAATAAATATAGTATATGTTAAACTGAAACAAATTTTAATATTTTGGATCTTTATATAAACAACTTAACCTCATACACATTCAAACCAAATGAAACTTTAAATAAATTAAAACTTTACATATATTTAAAGTTTATAAATTATTAAAAATTTAAAAGTGGAGAAATATATCTTTCATTTTTAATGTTTATCTTTTGAAAAATTTAAATATTTTTGAAACTTTGCATAAACAACTTTAATCTCACCCCATTTAAACTTTATATAAACAATCTTATATTTTTATTAAATTGTTTAAAAAAAAACTAAACAGGTAATTAGGATGTTAAAATGATACAAAATTATTATCAAATATTAATATTTTATATTTCTTATTTGAATTTCGTTTTTATTAAATTAGGAATAATCATTTTACATATAAAAAGTGTATTTTTCAAAACCAAAAAAAAGGGTAGTTTTCAAATTAAAAATTCATCAAAAAATATATTTCAAAAAAAAAATTATTAATATGGTTATAAATGTTTTGAATAATTATATATTATTTTTATTTTAGTAACTTTTGGTTAAACCGCTCTTGCACCCGCTGGCTAACCAGTCAAAAATATCCCGCAAACGCAACCGCTATGAATTGCTATACCAGTCGTACAAACAGCTTTTAATCGCAAACTCCCGCTTCCGCAAACTCCCGCAGCCGCAAACTCCCGCAACCGCAACCGCAGCGGTTAAACCAGTCAGACCCTAAATAGCCTGAACAGTCTTGCCATTCAGTGCAATTGTTCAAAAAAAAATGTCATTGAGTGGTGTCTGTGCGCAAGTGGAAGAAACGCATGACCAAACGGGAAACAAATAATTCACGTGAACAAACTCCGTTCAGAACCGTTTTTAACGCCGTCAATAAATCCCGTTAAAGCTGCATTCGTAGACTAGTGAACGCGATTGCCTTAGATGAAATCAATATCTATGGCCCATTCGAAATATCTAAGCAGAAGTCATTGGAATCAGGAGGAACACACTAAGGTCTAAGGCTGTTTCGTTTAACTTTTGTTTATATACCCTCAGAGTCAGAGATTAACAAATATGAAGACATGTGAATGTCTAGTGTCAGAAGTTGAAAACGCTGCAATTATGTGAACTTCATATCCTCTTAATTAGTGACAAGGAAAAAAAAAGTAAAAAACTTTAGATTCTTATGTAATTGGGCCTATATGTTTCAGTGTGCGTGGGCCGAAATACCCCACTGTTTCGAGACCACCAAACATTAAAGTTTATAAATAATCTAATGAAGACTATAACACAAGTGCAGGTTTGCCCGAGAGGTTAAGGGGGAAGACTTAAGTTCTTCTGCACATAAGTGCGCGTGGGTTCGAACCCCACAGCCTGCAGTTTTGTTCCAGAATTTTTCCAATTTTGTTTTTTCCTTTATTCTTGTGTGAGTTTATAGTAGTAATATTTTGTTCAGATCCCATATAATGTAGATCTATGCTCAAGTGCTTGGGAACTTGTCTCGTAAATGAGAGTACTCATCTATAAATCAATAAATAAGTTAGTAAAATGATGACATTTGGCATGTATTCATATTCTTCAGGAGTATTTAATACAAACTTCAAACCTAACTTTTGTTTTCTCACTTTCGAACCTAACTTACTGTGGTCTCGTAGTCAACTAATAGAGATCGGCTACGATGATGAGTTGGATAATGCCATAACGGAACATTGTGAGGGAGTGGCATTTAATTATCTAAACATCACATCAAGAACTTCAAATCCCCACTTAAGCTTTTCTCTCGTTCATTTTCTTCCAGACATTAATATACAACACTCATACTCAGGGGCGGAGCCAATAAGGCACTTAGGTGGTCAAATGATCCCCATTAATTCTTACATTTTATTGAATTTAGGTATATAATTATAATTTAAAATGATTATTTGGTTAGTTTTTAATGATTTTGACCCTTATTAGTTATAAGTTTCCAAATTTTGACCCTGTTATATATTTTTTCTAGATTCGCCCCTGCTCACACTAGATAACAAAGTTTAGTTTAAGGTGGATGATGAAAAAAAAATAAAAAGATCACATTCTCAAGTCAAACGTAAGGGATAAGTTCAATTATTATTTTTACACAAATAGCGTTCCACGTCGATACATTGAAACATCACAAACTCGAAGTTAAAAATCTAAACCCCCACATTTTCCGCTTTTCTCACATTCGCCCCACCACTTTCATCCTTCCCCAAGAAATCCAAAAACACAAAAACCAGTTTAAGGAGTGATCAAGCGAGGATCAACCTCAATCCTCGCCACACCCGCCGGCGCCTCCTTCGCCACTTCGACCTCTCCTTTCACAAGATCCACCGCCACGTCATCACCGAGCGTCTTCTTCGTCTGGTCCTCGTCGTAGTTGGGATCTCCTTCGTCCATCGCCGGCGGATCTGGCTGCATCTCGTAATCCTCCACCCGATCAGCACCTTCCCACGTGTACTTCCCACCGTGGCCGGACTTAGACGGCGGCCGCTTGAGCGGAATCCCATCGGAAGAATGCCTATCCATCCGCTGGACGCCTTTTCCCATCAGCTTCCGCTCCACTTGCTTGATCGTCTCCGGATTGCGAGTCTTTAGCTCGAACTTATCAACAGCTTTCCGACCTTCCTCGTCCTGGTGCTTCGCCTGTAGCACCACCGTGTTTTTGTTCTCGTTGACTGACACCGCCTGCATCTTCTAATCGCTCTTTCTGGAATACAAAATAACACTCTGCTTTGCGTTTGCGTTTGCGTTTGCGTTTCTATGTTTCTAGATCAGACAAGACAAGAGTATATATAGGGAGTGAAGTGAGGATAAGAAGGGAGGGGACAAATATCTGACGAAGATTCTAGCATGTCCCTTGTCTTTTCTCGTATATTACAGAAACGTCCCATTGTTTTTCTTCTTATTTATATTTTTGCTTTAATTCTCTTACGAATGTCGTGATTATCCATACTCAGTTGCTGTCAAAAAAAAGAAAAAATCCATCCGTTCCAAGCGGTTACATTAGTTGGGCCTTTGTGTGCTTTTATTCGACCCTACAAAGAACGAAACCAGTTTTTTTTTTTTTTTTGGTTATAAGATGATATACTAAGAATATACAAGTGCAGATTAACTCAGCTCAGATGTCATAAGCAATACAAAAGATTAGAAAGATGTAAAAAAACTTGGTGGATGGAGAGAGCAACTCCAAGAAAAGAGCTAAAGAGACTCTCAACTCCACTTTTTTGACAACTCATCTATAAAACATAATTTACTTAAAACAGAGAGTAAATAAAGTTACAGTCTTATGGTTGTAGTAGTAGGCACATGCTAACTCACACCCCTTCCTGCTCTATCGATCAAAGTACCAACTTGTTCTCCGCATAACGCCTTTGTGATGTTCCCAGCTTCCAGAAAGTTAAATACCACAACTGTTTATTTTTGTACACACCCAGAGGAGAAGAATCAGTTATTACATTCAGAAGGTTTCATTTGATGATTCTATTATCATGTGTTAAGCAATCATCACAGGCTAAGTGACAGTGTAATGCAGCAAATGGAAAGGTAGAGAAAGAGTTGTTGACCTGGAATGCTGTTCTCATCGCAGAAGTTAAGGGCCATTGCATCCATTGACGTAAGACCTCTTGAAGCCAGATCTTGAAATGTTATGTGTTCGAATGTGACGTTATTATCTTGTGAATGGCAGTCGTAAACACCATCCACATTTGTTCCTTTCACCATTGCCTCTGCATTAACTGTACGAGAGATCTTAAGTTAGGACCGGTTAGTTCAAGTCATTGCACGAGGGAACAACTAAGATGGTGTAAGAAAGGAGGTATACTATCTATAGCTCGCAGGGCTGCAGATGCATCAGATGATAAAAGTGGGTTTCCAAGCGTTGCACCAATGCCACCGAATATCACCACTCTTCCCTTCTCTAAATGCCGGGTGGCTCGTTGACGATTGTAAGGCTCCCCGACCCCCTCAACCGCAATTGAAGTTTGTAACCGTGCTTGAACTCCCATTTTCTCCAGTGATGATTGAAGTAAAACAGAATTCATCACAGACGCCATCATACTGTTACACAATAGAGACTTGGTGAGCAGAACGTCCATCTCCAAGATGTATATAGGACTATAAAACTCCATTGCTAAGTACTAAATATTTAGGTAATGATTATATGTTAGACCGTTTGTATTGTTGATAACTTTGGAGCACAATGAACCTATATAGATGCATTATGCATAAGCCATCATGATAGCATATCAAATTGTCGTACAGTATTTACGGAAGCTAACTAGTAACTTGATTATCAACCTGATGTGATATGCAGTGGTTCTATCCAAGCCAGTAGCAGTTATCCAAGTGCCACCGCAAAAAAAGTTCCGACTCCCAACAACAATTGCTACCTGGAAGAAAGAAACTTTGAATATCATCAAGCTAACAAAAAGGCAATGAAGAAACAGTAAAACAATCTAGAACTCCGTGTTTACCTCTACACCAAGACGACAAGCCATTGCAACTTCTCTAGCAATCAAATTGACGACCTAACAAATCAAGAAGAGAGTTTAACTCCTGTCCCGGATAGTGCAAATTCACACCGATAAAAGATTATGAAGAATTCTGTAAAAGAACCTTGGGATCAATGTTATTAGGACCCGTGCAGGCAAGAGCTGCGCCACTGATTTTCAGAACCACTCTTCGCCATCTAGGGTTTGATGTAACCTTGGATTTGACATTACTTATCTGAACTCCAGGGCTATATGTAACCAGGGGAAACCTGAAACGATCACACAAAGCCAGAAACTTTAACTCCGCAACAAGAGCAATGCAACAGGGCTAGTGATTGCTACTAATGCATTACCTCCTAGCTGGCTTCACAGCATTCCCCAATGAGCTACCACTTCTATCTTCATCAGAGGCACCTTTAGTGGCTAAGGAATTGCCCACAATATCTTCCATCTTCTTGAACCAAGGCCAATGGCTAGCTGATAAGCTACCGTTGCTCATCCTGTGCCTTTCAAGCTTATACCTCTTTTTCAGATTATCGATCTTGTTCTTGCACTGCTCTACACTCTTAATCAGCTTCTCGCACCTCTCGCTCACCGTCGAAGCAACCTCTTCCCAATCCCTTCCCCGGAGATTCCCTCGATTGAGCTGTGTGAACTTGTCAGAGTAGGCATCTAGCAAACACCCGATCGCCGCGTCGCTCCACTCTTCCCTGTCCTTTCTGTACTCACCGGCGGAGGAAGACGATGTCCTGGGCCTCTTGAAGCTACCGTACGGCGTGGTCTCGCCGCCGTTCGTTGTTCCTCCGTCACTCAGCTCCTCCTGATTCTGCCTCTTCTCCACACGAACGCCCCCGATTCTGGATCTGTTCGCATCGAGATCCTCGTCTCCATCGACAGCTGCGTTGTTGTCGTACGGATTCGAATTCTCGTCCGCCGAGAAGGGATTCACACCGTGGAAGGCAGAAGTCGCCTCGACGGCGACATCGTTATCATCGTCCTCGTCGCCGTTCCTCTGGTGATGCGGCACGTGGATCTGGTTCGAGGGCTTCGTGGTGAATCGCCCAGGAGCGTAGGGTTGGTGGTGAAGAACCGGGTGGTGGTGATGATGTTGATTAGGGTTTGAGTGATCGTCGCCTAGGAGGGAGAAGTCGTCATCACACGACGCCATTAAAGATGCCGTTAGGGTTACGTTCACGGCGCCTAAAGGCGGCGGCAGAACCAGAGACGGCGTTAATTAGCGGGGAGAGGACGAAGAAACGGAAGGAGAAGGCGTCAAGGCGTGAACTAGCGCAAAGGGGATGGCCGTCACAACGGCTCCGTTAGCAATGGTAAGGGTGGAATTGAAATAATAAAAAACCAAAAAAAAAGATTCATTGGAAAAACAAAACAGAATCAAATCAAACCGAGAAAATCAAAATCAAAAGCAAAACCAAACCATAAACCACTCACTCCTAGTACTAGCCAATGGGTAAGTTGGAAATGACACGTGAGATAAGGGACACACGCACGTGACGGGCGTTGCGTTATCTATGTGCCGATGGCCGAGTATCGGTTCCGTTACAGTCAAATAGACTCAACAACACCAACGTTACTGTCCTCTTATGTTTGGAAATGAATTAATGTACTTTTAAATAGATTCAACACCAGTAACAGTATATGTTGGAAAAAGGTGTTAAACCAATTGAATTTGTAAACCATTTTGGTTCAGTAAAAAGTTTTCCTCTCACCCTTAGATGTAAAAGAGGCTTTTTGAAGCTTCAGCCTATTGTTTAATGACGTCATAAAGAGTCTTTACACGAAACATGTAAAAACACACAATATATGCTCTCAAACGACTAGATGGTAACCGAATATAGTGATATAATGTTTTGGATCCTATCTTCTCAAATCTTTTTTACATCATTGACATCGAGTACTTTTCTTTCAACCTGTTTAAACTTTCACTTAAGTATGTCTACCATAAAGGCATTCTTTTACAAGTATCGAAATTCCTGAGTTTTCATCTTTGAGAAGAAAAAAAGCACCTGATTACGTTGTGAAAGCAGAATGATAAATAGCAGTTACTTTGTTAGTTTAAATAATTTTGCTTTACAAAAACAATCAACTGCACCCGTGGCCTAATGGATAAGGCGTTTGACTTCTAATCAAGCGATTGTGGGTTCGAGTCCCACCGGGTGTGCATATATTTTCAATTTTCTTTTGGAATCCTTTACAGTTTAGTTTAAGTTATTTTGTTACCATACCAACAAGAGCACCCGTGGCCTAATGGATAAGGCGTTTGACTTCTAATCAAGCGATTGTGGGTTCGAGTCCCACCGGGTGTGCATATTTTGTTTTTTTATATCGTTCCAAATCTTAGAGATGATGAGTACAAGTGTTCGAAACAAGTCAAACGAGTTTTTCGTTTATACGATTGATGAAATTACTCTTTCAAAGTTTTCAACTACAACATCCTCCAAATCCTAACACTAATCATCACATCACCCGGTGGCTGACCTCGGGTCAACCCGTTTACCCGACGGCTGTAACTCCGTCAACTCAATCTCCCTCCGCCGGAGAATTAGAACCATCCTCTCCGTCTCTAGCCTCCGTCGCTGGTTCTCGAGCATAGCCTTCTCCATTTCTCTCTCCTTCTTGCTCCGATATCTCATCCACTTCACTTTCTGTTTCTCCATCTCCACAGCCTCCCACTCGTACCCAACCTTCCTCTCCTCAAGCTCCAACGACTTTCTCTTGATCCATTCCTTCTTCTCCCACGCGCTCTTCCCCGCGTCCTCCAATACACGCGCTGCCTCCTCCCTCATCCGCTTCACCGCCGCCGATACTCCTTCTCCTTTCCTCCTCTTCTTCCTCGTCTCTATTTCTTCCTCCTCCGAATCTTCCATCTCCGACTCCGAATCCTCCGCCATATCCGAATCTCCATCTCCCTCGCTCTCCGCGATTCTCGCCATTTTCCCTGATTCCGCCGCGTGAAAACACTTCTGCTGCTCCGGACGATGCTGAATCAAATTCTGATTCTGATGCGGTTGCGTCTGCGTTTGCGGTTGAGATTGCGGTTGGTCGTGACCACCGAGATGGCCGCAGCTGTTGTGATAAGCGCACATCTCTCTGAAGAAGAGATGCTTAGAATTGAGCAATTTCTTGACCTCGTCTTTCAATTTCGGCGTCAGATGATCCATCGTCTCGAGCAATCCCTGATTCTCGACGACGCTACACGCGATCCCTTTCCCGAGAATGTCGTTCACTCTCTTGTACCTCTTGTTCAGATCGTTGAACTTGTCCTCGCACTGCTGCGGCGACACAGAGAATCCTTTCTCCACCATAGCTCTCGACACCGATTTCCATTTCCCTTTCTTCTGCAACATCGCTCCGCCGCCGCCTCCGCCGCTTTTTTTCTTTGCGTCGATTTGATCGCCTAACCCAGCTTCGTCGCCGATGTAGAAGACTGCCATGATCAGAAGCCGAACCATCGTGTCCGTCCATTTCATCCTATGCCACTGAGAGAATTTCCGCTTCCCGTCGGTTCCCGCGCTGTCTTCAGGGTGACACCCGGATCCGGAACCCGACCCGCGGTCGTCGTCGTCGCCGCCGCTAATAGGTGATAGTTGTTTGGGTTTAGAGGAAGAAGCGGGAGCTGCGGCGTAAGGGTACAAGAGTTTCGTCGGCGGTTGAGTCTGCTGATCGCCGGTTGATGGATTTCCGGCGGCGGCGTAAGGATGCGGATGCTGGAATGGCACCGAACTTGGGGGATTTTGTTGATTCTGCGGCATTTCTAAGCTTAACATTCTCGGACTAAACCCAGAAAACATCACACTCGACGACATCCCGTTCGATTCCATCGAACTCGAGCCCTAATTGAAGAAAATTGAGAAATCCGAAACACTCCCGGCGAAGCAAAAGAAATTGGTTTCTACTTTCTACTTTCTACTTTGGATTTGCTTAGCCGTGTGTCGAAGAAAATTGATGAAGCGGTTTCTGGATTAGAGTCAAAGGATGAGAGAGAGAGGAGTAATATACAGAGAAGAAGAGCAGCTGGTTTTGGGGGCGTCAAAGGGATAAACTGAAAACTGCCCATGGTTTTGTTTTAACTTTGTTTCCTTTTTGGGAATTGTTGTCAAAGAATTCTTGGTATATAAATCAGCTTAAACCAAGGGGCTGGTTTTTAGAAAACAATGGAGCTGTTTTTTTATTTATATTTTGTAAAAAAAACAAATTCCATTCCAATCCTGAAATTTTCATCAGATTTCTTTTTGTTTTAACATGATTCACAACATAAGAATCTAATTGCCAAGTATCATACCTTTCCAATCCAAAAAATTTCATCAGATTTCTTTTTGTTTTAACATAATATCTTTTAGTTTCTTACCGACGTTTCAATTTGAAATGTAGTGTCCACTATCGATGAAAGCAACTAGACCATCTAATCTTTTACTAATACGGTACACTCAGAGCTTACTTAAGCTTAAAACCACCTCAAAACAACGGTGAAAGGATCACAGTAACCAAATTATTAAAGGAGTGTATTTAAAATCTTTTTACATATTAGAAAAACTATTTTTTGTATTTATATATAGAAATAAAGTTACAAAATCGAAAGTTTAACCGGAGGTGAGCCTCGAATTATTTGCTGAAACCAAAAGGTGTCCCAAAGTCTACAAATTACGTCTACAAGACTACTACAACATAAGCGATGAGAGCGAGCTCTTGTGGCAAATAAAGGTTACTCATTGGGCTAGCGTCACAGGTCCGTCACCGAAAAGCCCATCGGACAGACCCGGGATAAAACACAACACGAGACGCAAGGAAGACTCTGATGGGCTGGTTCTTCTTCTTCCTCGGATCACAACTTAAAAACTCAACGCATCAGAAGCTTGAAAATGTTGTCTTCACTCTCCATGAAGTACTCATATCCAAGAACTTGAGCTCGGTTTCGAAACTCCTCCATTTCTAGCTCTGGCACTTGGATCCCGACCAGCACGTTCGCGCCCGTCTCACCCTTTTTTGAGCAAAGAAGAGAAGATTGTATAGTAAGAAGGAGCTTCAAAGCTACTTCAAAGCTTTTCTTATAACGGTGAAATAATGTGCAATGGGAAACAAACCTGTGCACGGTAATGGAAAAGGCTAATGTTCCACCTTGGACTAAAAGAGTCTAAGAAGTTCATTAGAGCACCAGGTCTCTCCGGGAAGGTGAATCGGCAAAGAATCTCGTCTTCAACACTTGTTCTTCCACCCATCTGATATATAAATTGTCATATACTTTTCAAGTTTGCATCAACCAATGAGAAGAAATTGGAAAGTGCATTAATCCTCAAGGAGAAGTAAGCACTGTGAGATATCGGTTTTATAAGGACGTACCAAGTAACGAAGATGATCTTTCACTAAGTCACTGGTTGTGAGATTGAGAGTTTTGAGTTGAGATGATTCCATTCTCTTCTGTAATTCTTTGAGCTCTCCGCCTGTATGCATTCCAACACTAAACAAACAATACACAAGATTGTGTTGATTAGAAAAACTTAACAACCACTTGTGAAAGAAGGGATATGATACTTTACCTATATAGTACAACAGCTTCTTTCTCCGAGCCACATCTATATTTGAACTCGGTTATGTTCATTGGTCCAACCTGCATCCATCAATGTATTGTTGTTAGATGCTCTGTGTAAAGGGTTTAACTTCTACATGCTATAATACCAAAAACACACACACACCAGTTCGCAGAATTGCTTAAAGCTTCCAGCTTTTTCCGGCAAGCAAGTAGCGAAAATAGCCTCCTGTTGCCTACCAACATTAGCGAGTTCTGTGACAATCCTTAGCTTGTCAAAGTCCATGTTTGCTCCACTAGCTATGGCTACAACATTCACATCCTTTAGGCCATAATATTTACAGTATGCTTCAGCTCCAGCGATCGCAAGAGCCCCTGCTGGTTCTAATATGCTCCGTTTCTCCTCATGCATATCCTGCAGAGACCAAAAAAAAAGTATATGACTATCTTACAATGCGTTCTGCAGATTGCTACAAAACCTCATCACAAGCGATACCTTCATTGATCCACAGATAGCATCACGAGTGACAAGGACAACACCATCCATCAGCCTTCTGCATATACGGAAAGTCTCTTCGCCAACTTCTTTGACCGCTACACCATCTGCAAAACCACCAACCCGGTCTAATATCACCCTCTCACCGTGATGCAGCGACAATGCCATCGCATTTGCATCAGCTGGTTCTACACCAATGATCTTCACCTGTCACAATAAGGCAACAAAAGCCACAGAATCTCGATAAAACAAGAAATGCATTCTCATGAAAAAAGGAAGACTTTGTCACAAGTTCAACAACACATGTACCTCTGGAGAAACCCTCTTGACATAAGCGGCAATGCCAGCTATTAAACCGCCACCACCAACAGGCACAAATATAGCATGTATAGGACCTTTAGCTTGACGTGTGATCTCCATTCCAACAGTCCCTTGTCCAGCAATAACATCAGGGTGATCAAAAGGCGGTATAAAGGTCAGACCTTCTTCTTCAGCTCGTTTCTTTGCATACGCTTGTGCTTCATCATACGAATCCCCAACAAGAACAACCGTACCACCCAATTTCTTCACAGCTTGCCACTGTTTTTTATTCATCCCACAAAACTATCAGATACTCAACTTCAAAACAAGGATTCAAGAGATAAGCTAATGCAATACCTTGATTTCAGGGGTTGTTTTAGGCATAACAATCACGGCCGTGCAGCCGAGTTTCCTAGCAGATAAAGCAACTCCCTGAGCATGGTTTCCAGCTGAGGAGCAGATAACCCCTTTTGCCAATTGCTCTGCTGGGAGTTTCACCATCATATTGTAAGCTCCACGAAGCTTAAACGAGAATACCTGAAATATTTTCAAGTGACAAACCGTTATCACTCAGGACATCGAAGTCTAACACAAACACACACACACACACAAATGTAGCTTCGATTTCATAAAGGACTCCGCAGCAAAAAAGTCAACATTTTTAAGTGTTTCAGAAATGCCAATGAAATTGGGTAAATAAATGGAATCAGAAATGGGGGAGTGAAGAAGGAGAATAAGCTCACAGGTTGCAAGTCTTCTCTTTTGAGAAACATCCGAACACCTAACCTCTCCGATAGCTTTACGGCCAATTGCAGCGGCGACTCAATCGCGATGTCGTAAACCTTAGTGGACAGTATATTCGTCAAATACTCCATTGCCTCCGCGATGCTTCCGTTCTCGGGATCGCTCGTTCTCTCTGGCACCGCGCCGAGGTAACCGGCCGGGTATTGCAGCGAATTCGGAGAGACAATGAGGCGTGGCAAGGGAGAAGCCGTCGGAAGCGGCGGAGCCATAGACGTTTCGTCTCTGGATATAACGGCCACGGGAGACACGTGATTCCGAGATCGGGAGGAGCGAGTGATTCCGATAAACGGTTTTGATCGGAGGTTGCGGTCATCGTAGTGGCGATTGCGAGGAGGTAGTGGAATGTGGTGATGATGTACGGGTTGGCCTAACATTTGGGTACGGAGAGAAGACGGAGCCGTTGGAAGCCGGACGGAATCCATGGCGGCTCTGGTTTAGAGAGAGGGGAGAGAGGGAGAGAGAGAGAGAGGAGGAAGTTGATGGTGGCGGCGACAAAACTATCTGTGAGCTGTTGATTTTAAAAGGAGAATCTGTGGAGCTGAGTTGGTAGCCGTGTGTAAAAGTAACATGTTGTTCAGTCCTATGATTTTTTTTTTTTTTTTTTTTTTTTATTTTATAAATAATTTATGTGTGTAGATTGATTCTAATAAAATCTCAAAAATATATGTTAGATTTTGTTTATAATTTAATAATTTACTCGTGAAAATCTACTGGAATTCATTTCAGATGATTTAATATGCAAATGTTTTTTTGAACAATACCAAATTCTAATAGAGTATTTAAAAATAACATCAAAATTTATAAAAATCTTTTAAGCATGAATAGATCAAGTAATACATTAGCTAATAACAATGAACTGTGGTTGGATTTAAATTTTATTAAAATATATAATTTGAATAACAGCATTTAGAAGATAAATTAATTGTATTACTTGTAGTTTGTACCAAAAGGAAAAATACAATTTTGCTTTTAAATGTCGGCGATTCGTTGTCAAAAATAAAAATGTGGGTGATTGACTGTTGTGAATCAAAACATGTATCGTTGGCTTCTTCGACTTTAAAGCAACTTTATCGTTGACATACGAGTTCTTAAAAAGTATCATTAGTTTACATAAGTTACATTTTACAATAAAATTTATTTTTTAAAAATAAAATAAAAAACGATTAAGAGAGTGACAAGTGTGATTTGAAGTTTTCATGGTATTACTTGTACTAAAAAGATAAATATAATTTTGCTTTTAAATGTCGGCGATTCATTGTTAAAAAGGAATAAAAATGTCGGCGATTGACTGTTGTGAATCAAAATCTGTGTCGGCTTTTCCGCCTTTAAAGCATCTTTATCGTTGATATACGAGTTCTTAATAAATATATCATTATTTAATGTAAGTTATATTTTACAATAAAATTTTCTATTTTAAATAAAATATTAGACAACTAAGAGAGCGACAACTGACGAGAGTGATTTGGGGGTTTTCATGGTATCTCAAAGGTTTTAATTTGAAAATCCCAAATCCTTCGCGGAAACAACTAAAACCACCATCTTGCTCGGGGTCGCTAAGGAATGGGAGTGAGCATTCGCTCACTCTATCTCCTACTTTTAAAAAAAAAATCTAATTTTTATTTTATTTATTTATGAGAACATTTGTTGAGAACCCCTCAATGAAATTGTTTTTACATTGTCAAATACTAATTCAATAGCTATATCTCATCATTTGTTGTTTGAAAGTAATTAAAACAATTTTACGAAGGCTTTGAAAGAAGTTTAAAGACATTTCACAGTTCACCAAAAGAGTTGAGCTGATATTTTTCTTTCTTTCAAATAGACAAACTTTTCAAATTAAGTAATTGTTTACTATATGGCATTTTCTATGTGAAGATGCGTTTTCTAAGGGGCATCACATGTGAATTGTGATGAGGGAGAAATCACAAGTACGATGATACTTGTAACGTAAACTCATATAGAAAGAAAAAAAAAAGAAATAAAAACGTAAACTCATATATAAGAACCCATCTTTAGTACTGTATACTCTTTGTGAATTGATTATAGAAAAGCATGTTTGTACTTATATTTGTTCGTGTCCGTTTAGGTACAGAAGAGGGCAAAGAATTGAGGTTGGGGAAGCACATGTATTCATAAAGTATCATCATTTCCTTTTAAAAACAATTCCATTTTATTCATCTTCTTTGGGCATCGGTTACTAACACGATTTTAAAGTTCCTGAAAATGAGAAAAGTTACAAAAGAAAGCTGATACAACAACATAAAGGAAGCTATAACCATGAAACACATGCATGTGAAGTATGGCTTTTTCCATTTTTTTTTTGTTTTAAACTTGATTTATTATACTGTTACAAATTAAGAAAACTGCTACAACAATGATTGATTATGCAACAAACAATTTCGTTTTCTGAGATACTGCGATCGACCATACCAAATATCCAGCAAACACGTCTTCATAAATATGCATAAATGATAATAAAGAACCGATCTTTGTGATTATAGAAAAGCATGTTTGTGCTTATGTTTGTTTATGTCTGTTAGGTAGAAGAGCTGACAAAGAGATGAGAAGGAGAGCACATGTATTCATAAGATATCATATATTCCATTTCCAAATTAAGAAAACACGTGTGTTAACTGTTAATTTAATAAAACAATCAGATTTCAAGATTCGGTAGAGCCGTAGAGAAGACTCTTGAAAGTGAAAAGCAAAAACAAAACAAGAATGGTTGATAGTGAGCATGAACTCTACAAGACTACAATACACACTATCTTGGATTAAAGCCTTTTGTCCAAATATTAGTTTGATCGATGGCAAAGAGTCAATTAGCTAAAAAATCTAAAACTATATCGATAGTAGGAAGAATGACCAAACACAGTCATCATCACAACATTAATTATTGGATGTTACGGTTAACCCGAAACATAATTAGCTACGACGAAGAAAAAACTGTATAAAAAAGTCTACATCACTTGTAAACTTTAATTCATTAATTCATTAATAATTTCCTCATCATTGATGTAATTTGTCGCATAAACAAAAAGACAATGGATGTGGTGGAACATTAATAAATACGTTATACATACCAATACCATTAACGTATAGTGGAACACTGAAACTTGTTAAGTAGTCTTTAGGTTGGAAAGAAATCCCACTTAGTAATTAATTTAAACACTAAAGAAGTTGTATTTGTTGTTTTGTCTTGTTTTAAAGGTCTGTCTAAACGACGTCAAGTGTGGGTGTAACGTAACGGACTTAACGGTAAGAGAATCTGCAACTCCTTGAACTTGTGGATGAGAATTCCAATTTTATCCCTTTCTTTCTTCCTCTCCCTCACACACAAAATTGAGCTCAAACCCAGAAAAAAAAAAACACAAGAACCAGAATTATCTTCGAATTAGACACAAAAATTTCTTAAGCTAGCACAAAAACATCAAAAGAATGATCTTACCAGTGAAACTTCTTCAGCCTCTCCATCAATCTCTCTCTTCCTCCATTCCTTTTCCATCAGGTACACTCTGTTTCACTCATAAGCGTATTAGCATTTGCACGTTTTGAACTAGAAATCAATCGATGCATTGCTATTTTCTCCTAAATCCGCAGGAAGAAGGCAATCCAAACCGTTCCGGTGCTCGTTACCGTCTCTCGGCGACGAAATGGTCATCAGTTCAGAGATTGTCGTTTCTCCGGCGCCTGTGAGCTACGAAGGAAGAAGGGCTTTACTTGGATATCTCCTCTCCGTCGGTTAGATTCGTTTCCTTCACCAACTCATCAGTTCTTTGCATTTTCAATCAGTCTATCAAAATACTCAAAAAAGTTGTTGTCTGAATCAATGACAGGTACTGGAATTCTGTTAACTGATTCAGCTGAAGCCGTAAGCACCAGCAGAAGAGCTGTAAGCATATATATATATATATATATCTTATACTTACATTGACTATGCAGCGCTTGTTCTTGACTCAAATCACTCTCTCTTACATTACATACAACTCTGTGCAGCTACGAGCATCTAAGATACCAGACAGCGAATTCACGACTCTCCCCAATGGTCTCAAGTTCGTACATTTCCCCATTACTATACACCAAACCAAGATCATGATGCGTTTATACAACAGTTCAAAATTGCGTTTCTAAGACATTTCGAAATGTATTTTAAACCCATTGCATCAAATTTTGTTTGAATTCAACCCAAAAGAGTAATCTTATCGCATAAAGGATTGGAAGATAGAGTCTTTATATGGCAAAAATCATAATTTTGGTTTTGCATTGTGTTTCATGTTGTTGCAGGTACTATGATATAAAAGTTGGGAATGGAGCAGAGGCTGTGAAAGGATCTCGGGTCGCAGTACGGTTGTGAATACGTTTCCTGATTTAACTTTCCACATGTCAAAAGCTAACAAGCTTTTGATGCTCAACCTAAAAGGGATTGCGTTGCAGGTTCACTACGTTGCAAAATGGAAAGGGATTACGTTCATGACAAGTCGTCAAGGACTTGGCGTTGGAGGTGGAACGGTCAGTATAACAAGTCCATCACACAAAATCCATTATTGTACTTGAATATTGATAACATTGTTTTTTTGCAGCCTTATGGGTTTGATGTTGGGCAGTCAGAGAAAGGGAATGTTTTGAAAGGACTTGATCTTGGCGTAGAGATTCCTCCAAATGCAACAATTGAGGTAATCAAACTAACTATGTCGTTAACAATTGAATATGTTCCGAGTTTTGTTGGCTCCTGAAATGGTGTTCATGTTTCTGATGGTACCTTTCTTTTGCAGCTTGACATTGAGCTGTTATCAATCAAACAGAGTCCTTTCGGGTATGTGAGATCAATTGTCTAAATCCCGGTTAACTCTGATCACCAAAACATGCCTTCATAGTAATATTTTCCGGTTTTATTCTGCAGGACGGCAGTCAAAATCGTTGAAGGCTAAGAGAAACAAAAAATGGAACCAAAGATTGTATCTGTACTAGATTCAACTATATCGGAAGAGTGTGTTTGTTGAATTGTCTAAATCCCGGTTAACTCTGATCACCAAAACATGCCTTCATAGTAATATTTTCCGGTTTTATTCTGCAGGACGGCAGTCAAAATCGTTGAAGGCTAAGAGAAACAAAAAATGGAACCAAAGATTGTATCTGTACTAGATTCAACTATATCGGAAGAGTGTGTTTGTTGAATAATACCGGCTAGACCGGATTCATAACCGCTTCTTATCACTCAGTGCTCTAATCGTTCAATTTGTGAACAACAAATCAATTCAATCCCATTTACTTATGGTTAAGATTAAGATTTAGGCAGGTACCTCCATGTTTGTAGTTATCTTGGGGACTGTGAGATCTAGATAAAGTTACAAAATGGGTGTTACAAAATTCGTAACCTTTCAAATTGGAAAATTCCTACCAAAAGCGTATGGTTGCAGGGTTAATCTAAAACATCAGTGATGAAAGGGATTAGCAGGCGTCTTTGCTTGACCTCCTCTTGCATTAGCCGTCCCGTGCCCAAACGGATTCCTCGCGTTTGCTGCTTCTGTCACCGCGACTGACTTCTTTATCTAAAAAAACCCAATACCAAATCAACAAAGAAACACTTCGATATATAAAAGTCTTATACTAGTTGCTAGATAAGTTTTAAACTCATGTGTGCTCTTTTACTTAAGAACTTACAGCGGCAAGTCTCTCTTTATGAATATCTGTTGTCAGCTGCAAAACAATATCAAACAAGTTAGAACCTATCTTGGAGAATGATAGGACAAATTGATTACACAACGTATATGTAAATGATACTTACTGGCTTTCGAAATGTCTTGATCTCATCACTGCTAAAACCAGGAGGCCTGATATTCCAGTTTCTTTCTACATATAAAGGAAAAGAGATACCAAAACGAAATTAAACATTGTAACTGGAAATAGAAATCAAAAGAAAAGGGCACACAGTGTCTCTCAGAACGAACCAACGTGGAGCAAGATGTCCTTAGCCTCTAGAGTATCTGACTTTCTATGCTTGGCTAAAGAACATCCAAAAGTTGTGATCTACATAAAAAAAAAAACACAACGAGCTCAAGTTAGAGGAACAAACCATCAGACGACAGAAATATTTAACTCCGCGATATTCACATAAAACGTATTGGAAAACAAAGTGGTGGGGACAACTTACTGATTCCACAAAGTCTTCAGCAATATCAGCAAGGATGTCTTCAACCTCTGGATCCAATTTCTCTGACGGATCAATCTGTTGATAGGCAATCCATATTAAATTCAGAGAAAAATATCAACTGATATGATGCAGAGAGCTTTAGTGCAGAACAAGCCGTGAGAGTGAGAATACTCATCTATTCCATGGTCAATATGCAAAATGGATTACTTAAAGTTGAGAATATAAAGAGAGGTCAGTGGATACCTGCTGAAGTAGCTCATGGATGCTTCTTTTTCCCAGTATACGATCATCAGACTCCTCATTCTCTGCTGAAACCGTTTTAGCTTGGTTTCCTGGTTGAGGCACAGGAGGCTGCTGGTTCGGCATTGCCAGAGAAGTAGCTTTCTGATTCACCAACCCTTGGACCCGATTCTGTTGATGTGGGTGAGGTAAAGGCTGCTGCGGATTTCTCAGCTGTTGAAGTTGCTCTTGAGGCTGATGTTGCTGTTGTTGTTGAGATTGTGGTTGCTGAGGCTGTGAAGTTGCTGCTGACGTGGAAAGATGTTGCTGAGGAATATGAGATCTCTGTTGCAAGGAGGGATTATTTACTGGCGGTCTATACGAAGGTTGAGGTGGCAAAGGCGGTTTTCCTTGGGGAGAAGGTGATAACCACGGTTGATTAATGGCTTGCAAGCTTTGTTGTGCTGCACCAGTAGTAGATTGGACACCAGGAGAACCAATAGGTGAAGGTCTCATAAGGCTTTGCCCTTGAAAGTTCTGCCAAAAGACAAATTGTAAAGGAATTAACACTTGAGCAGTCAATAAACCAAAGAAAAAGGTGAAAAAAAAGAAACTTTTGCTAGTGAGAGTCTCTTAATCATTCTCAACTAGTGAGGCAAGGTTTGATTTTCACAGATGAGCCACAAAACTGGAATTGATACAAATCGCAAGAACGGTTAAAAAACACCTACTTGGTGAACGGGAGGAGACTGGCTAGTTGGGGAGGAAGCTGGTCTTAGAGACGATTGAGTCGGTCTCTGCTGGTGCTGAGGCATCCCACTTGGCCGCATTTGGGAGCCTGAGCCAAGCGTTCCCATCATCCCAATTCCCTGCGTTCCTTGCATCATCCTAACCTGAACACAGCACACAACACACACCACACAAAAAGTTGGTATTTTATTGTATCCTCTGAATCGTACTTAGCTACAGCAAACACAATTAACTGAAACATGGCACATATGAGCGGAGAAATTCACCTGCGGAGAGCTTGAATTGGACGTCGCTTCTGACATTCCGACTGTTCCACGGCCCAATCCGCCGTATTGCTGCCCAAACGAGCCCGGGAAACCAGAAGGTGAAGGCTGAGAAGTTGTAGGAGAGCGACTCGGAATTGGGGAAGCTGGAACGCCAATCGCCATGCCGCCTCTTTGCTGTCCAGTAATAGGTAACGAAGAAGAAGAAGAAGCCGGAGCGGATGAGGAAGATAGCAATGGCGACGATGCGGAGGAGAAGTGAGTGTACGGGGAGTGTTGTTGCCATGGTCTCGAGTACGTCGGCTGAGGAGGTCGCCCCAGAGGCTGGGAGAGGTGTTGCTGCTGTTGCGTCGCCGGAGATGTCACCGGGCGCGCGTATTGAGGGGGATTAGGGTTCGGGTTGAGCGATGGTGTTGGCGGGGCTGGAGAGGAGGGAATAGAGGGAACGGGGGAGGAGCTCGTATTGGTGGAAGGGGGTTGTTGAATCTGTGATAAAACAGACGGTCTCGAAGCCGTATCGGACGCCTGGGGAGGTGTTTCCGGTGGCTGAGACGCCGTCGTGCTTTGCCGTGGCTGATCCATGTCAGGTAGTGAATGTGGAGGGAAGGGATATTTGGGTTTATAGAAAAAGAAGATCTATCGAACCGGAAATCCCGGTACGAAATGATACCGCTAAACCGTATTTAAAATTAACCGCCTGAGAAATCTTTATTATATTATTAATTGAGAAGTATTGTTTTTGGATACAAGAATTAGAGAAACATCTATTTGGATATTTGGATAGAAGAATAAATGGAAAAAATTGTTTGGATACAAGAATAATAACTTAAAATAAACCGATGGTTTAGAAAACTTCCGTTTTCATCTCTTAAAAATCTGCAAAAAAAAAACTTAACATAATCTAACGATAATTCCAAATCAATAGAATATGCTTTTTGGATTTTCGGGTTTTTATAGACAAGTTCGGGTTTGGTGAAAATCTGAGACATAATTTTATAGAGATATAGTAATTGTTCGGGTTTCTTTGAAAATTTTGTTCGGGTTAGGTTCAATTTTTTTTCAGTTTAGGGTTTTCCGGATTTTTTAGATTTCTGGTTTTCGGGTTTAGATATATTAAAAAAATTGAGTATTTTAAAATTTTGATTACGTATTGGGGTCGGGTTCCAGGTGAAAAAGTTTCCATATTTTTTTTGTTCAGTCAGGGTTTTCGGGATTTTTTTGATTTCGGATTTTCATGTTTAGACCTATTAAAAAAGTTTGGGTTTTTAAATTTTTTGATTAGGGTTTTTTGTCGTGTTCAGATTTAGAGTTTAGATTTTCTACACAAAACAACAACATCACACCGCACAAACGTGCGGTACTACAGTATTACTACCAAACCGCATTTAAGATAACCAATACGTAGATAACCACTACAAATGCGCCAATTAATGATTTGTAGCATAACTAAAAAGATTAGTGTTAATATATAGTTAACATCGAAGATCCCCTCCGAATTAGTAACGGTTTGGAGTTAATGAGAATTACCTCTAAGTTTTCTGATTTATGAGAAGATTTCACCAGTTATCTAGGTTGAGATTGAATCGTATGTTACCATAGCTTAAAAGAACTCTAGTGGATATAATGTGATCTCGGATTAAGTTTATAAAATCGTCATGTTGAGCCCAAATGAAAGAATGAAAACTAGATTAATGCTAGAAATCTCTTTGGATATATTTTATTTTTAGTTGACTTTATATTAAATGTATGGTGCAATTTTGTACATGTATAAACAAATATTAACACTACAAAATGACCACGGAATTTTTGTAAGTTGAAACAGAATATCAAGACCAGTTGATATTTCATCCATGAACAACGTCTTTCTTGGCCCTACGGTCATCTCTCCTGTTGTTACTCTTTTTCTTTGACCTCCAGAGACACCTCTCATCATATTCATTACCAACCATTGTATCAGAACATACATCAAGATTCAAGACCAAGCACTCGCAGCACGTAATCTGTGGAAACACTATGCTTTTCACCACTGACAGAAGCAGCCTATATATACACCGAGGACATCGGTGATTTTCGTGGGCCATAACAAACCCTTTTGTCTCTTTGCCAGCGACTATCCTGGTCTCAAACCCAACTCCCTCTACTTTGCTGGTCACTGCTCGGGTTTCGGCGTCTGTGATCTCGCTTCTCGCACCATCCGCTCTCTCTCTGACTTGTTAACACTGATACAACAAAACCGAACAATGCAGTGGGCCGACAATTGAAGCCCAAGCCCAAGACTACTCCAGAGTTCTCATTGTACGACAAAGACAGCTCATACACTTCTCCTTACGAACAGGTTTGGACCACTTAGTGAAGTGTATTGAGTTGCCAGCTGGACAGGTTCTTGGTTCTTCTTCTTCTTCTGTGTATAAATATCAATCTCAATGTAACCCAGAAACCCTAAGAAATGAGAATGATGTTTTGAGATCTTTCATGTTCAAAGTCTCTTTCTAGAGCCGTTTACTCTGTTTTCTGTTTTACTCACATGACTCACCTCACCATCGCCTCTTTTGGCTTCCTCCCACAACATCCACATACCACTAGCTTGTACCAGGAGGGGTTAGAGATTCTCGTTTTAGATTGTTTATTTTATGGCCACTACTCTTATCATATCCTTTGAACTCTCTTATGCTGTCTGATTTGATTCTCTCTAAGGTGCATGTTTTTCTTGTTTGTTGCTTTGAACAAGTCTCTGTGTCTCAGTTTGAGAGTCTGTAGGGATTCGCCGGCTAGACAAGTTGTTTCCTACTTTGTAGCTGTTTCTCTTGTTTTCTAAGGCGCAATCAATCTTATTTACTCCCTCACGTAACGTGCGTGGTCCAATCGCGCCCATCGATCTCATGGGATTTATACTTTCTAAGATTTTAGTTCCACTTCTTTACATCCCTTTTTAAAAAATATTTTACAATCCATATATGCGCTGTAGATTTAAGAAATAACAAATATATCAATCAGACAATCACATCCCTAAGATCTAAGAAAAGAGAAACCAAATTTAAGAAGAAGAAAACTATAGTACCAAATCTACAATGTGCGCTGTAGATTTTATATCGACACTATGGTTTTGATCCAGAATCTTAGATCACTACAAAAAAAGTTAAACCGGTTTATCTAATTTTTGTAAATTACCTTAAACCTAGATCTTGATTGCGGAACACGTACGTGTGCACTTGTAATTAAAAAAAAAATGACAAAATAGTGATGAATAGATTGAAAGAAAGTAACTTGTAAAGTTTTTCGAACATGAGTCAGACCCAATTTGGGAAACATTTTGTTTTTAACATATTTTAGTTGACTTAATATCAAATGTATGGTGCAATTTCTACATGTACAAACAAATACTAACACAAAAAAATGACCAAGGAATTTTTGAATGTTGAAATATAATATAGGACTTTGAAACACGAGAACATGGTAAAATTAATCAGGTCATATTTATTTATATCAGTAACTGTAACCTATTTTCATACATATACATTTTAAATCATGGACTCCGATAAGCCAGCTCATCATTAAAACCATCGTAGAGTTTATGGCATTCAACGGCCTGGATATACAATTTATTGTTAGGAACATCGAAACCTATGTTGCGACCTTGAAATATCGGTATCCCAATGAGATTCTCTTCTAAAGGTGACTCATGCACGGATAGACAAAAGGTTTCTTCATCGATATCATCTGTGTTGTCCTGGACGAAAAGTGTGGTAGTCTCCATATCAAGTGTTACCGTGCCAAAATGGAGGCTAAATTGTATTTTCTTGTCTTCCGGTATCTCCCCCTCGTAACATATCATTTTGTGCTCCTCGTATACGTATGACTCATAAAAACCCGCATCACTCATTATCTTTTTGATTTTACCCACGACAACCTGATATGCTTCTCGCACCAAAACTAATAGTAGAAGTTCCTGTGTCTATTATTGACTTTGTTTTGGACAGAACATTTTCTAAACCTAGATTTTCTCCTTCTATGATTATTGAAGTCAGACTGATTCTATAAGCGGCATCTTTTGTATCTAAGGGTACTTCCCATCCACCAAAGATTGCATCATCTCCTAAGGCTAGAAAATGCTTTTCCCGCCTTATGTAATTAAAATTTCCTAGGCATATGGAGAATTTCAAACCAAATGATTTCGTTATGGAAAGTACACCCAAGTTTAGTCCTAAAGTGCCCGACCCAACTCGCCTCCCCCCAACGGTTTTTCCAAAGCCATACACTACGTTTTTTAGAATTCCTGATTCCCCATCGCCGGTTTCAAAAGCAAATGTTTCAGTTCCAAGAGTACCTTCATATACTACCTTGTCCTCGAGCTCTTGTCTGTATGTGCACTGTCCCCTTGTCTTACTTGGAGTGACATAGGTCGATTTTAATAACCCGTCACAACTTCTGTAACTGAAAGTGGACGATCTTTGTGGTTCATAACCATACGGCGGGAGTATCCAAGTTAAGTCGCTGCCAGTGTCAATGTGTAACCACCTTCTCACCGGGGGATCTCCAACTAACATGCGCACCAAAGCCGCAGGTGGAAAATGTTCAAGACTGAGGTGGATAATCTGTTTCGTATTGCCTCCAAAACTGAACATTTTCCTTGGAGGGGGCCTGCTTGACATGAGAGGCAAAAGAAAGGTGCAAAGGAAAAAGAAGAAGAAAAGGTAAGTTTGGTTAATATTGGCCATTTAAGAGAAATTTGATATGTTAATAAGATAGGATTTGGAATGGATTTGTATATGATTAGCACTTCTTGAAATGTTGTCAAAGCAAGACTTGTTGAGAATGTGATCTTTACTAATCTACAATAGATCATATATATATATATATATATGTAGCATGTCCACGGAAGTCAAATCCTCAAGAGAGCACGATATATATGACTCTCAACAAGAACAACTACGAGTCATTTAGGTTTTGGTAATCAGTTTGAGACTCGTGTACCACCTACATAATCATACTACTTCAAGAAAAGAGAATGAAACTCTTTATAAATAATAAATATACATAAACTATAACAACATGCACTTGGAGCTAGCATACAATGTGAACATGCACTTTAAACAAAATGTATTGTTTAAACAAACTAGTTGGTCATGAGAACCAAGTGCTAGGCAAAAATGTGCACATGTACTTTAGACAAATTCTTTTTTAAAAAACAATGTCTCACAACACAGAGAAAAGAAACAAAGCTAGATTCGACGATGTGGATTTGTGCTTAGCCTTAGTTTGTGGTGGTAAATCGACAACACTCACTCTGTTCATGCGCCGCGTATTCTCATCCACCAAATCAGTCCCTTGTTGTGTACCTTCAGCACCAACAGTGCTCAATAGGATTTCAGATTTGCTCCATATCCACCATAATTTCCATGGCCCTTCAATGTCGTGATTCTTCAAGCAGTTGAAGATTGTGACATTCGCCGAGTAGCTATCACGGGTTTTATTCATTATGTCCCACCTTATCTCCACATGCACGTCTTGAAACCCATCTACATATACGCCGAGGGAAACCAAAAACAAACATGTCAATTCATGGAAATTGGAATGCCTTTTTTTTTCTTACCACAGGATTTAGCTATGTTTAATTAAGGATCAAAACTACTATTAATTATCAAACATACTCTGAAAAAATCCACGACCCAATGAAGCCTCCACCAAAAGCAATAGAAAGAACAGTTTCGCTGTTAAGTATGTACTCCACATTGTTAGGCCCTAGCTAAATAACAAACAATCTCCAGGTTTTCTAATTATCTTTAGTTGTATATATATAGAAGAACAAGTTCTCGCTTTTCTTCGTTTACGCTTGGCATTAGGTTTTGACGACCTTTTCCTGACATGATTGAACAAAATATTCGGCATATTATTTAACTAAAAAATATTCGATCGGGATTATATCAAACGTTTTTCAAATATATATCTTTTAAATTAATTCTTAAGTTCTCACTCTCAACTTTTTTGTCGAAAATAGAATTTTCTAGGTCGAAAATATATGTTCTGATAATCTGCTTCCGGAAGCAACAGGAATAGTACATACCCGTTGGTATTTTTTTTTTTTTTTAATTACAAGAAACTGTTGATCTAGTTGACTGTTTTTAGTCAGAACACATCCAAAAGATAGCATATCTCTAGTAGTTACGATTTTTATTGTAAAGAGTCCGCATGTAAATTATCTCCCTATAATTTTTTTGTTTGTAAACAACGTTAAATTATCATTATTATTTTTAATTTTTAAGTAACAGAATCTCGGCTGCAAATAATATCGGCTTAATTGAGGACAGGAAAAAAAGATATCATTATCGTTATCCTCTACTATATACAGTGCCACTTAATTTTGAGTACTAACTATAACTATATTCGTCTTAATAAATGGAGAGTTATTTTATTTATCTATAGCATGATTGTTGTACGTATATATATATATATATATATATATATATATATAAATATATATCATGTCAAACTTGAAATTCGTATTAACATATGGATAATATCAATGCACCGGATATTCATCATATTTTACAGAAAAATATTAAATTTCCACAAAATTTCTGCCGCCTCCACTAAGAAAGAGTGCACTCGATGCCCTGCACTGTTAGAAAAGAAAAAAAAAATAATGGTTTATCAATAGTTATTTATTTTACCTTTTGTTAGAGTACCATTCACCCAAAGACAAAACCCTAAAGTATGTATTTGTTACTATTTTTTGTATAGTTTTTTTTTTAATTGCTAAATTTATCTGAATATTTTTTTTTAAAATAAGCAATCACTTGCCAAAATTTATACTTGTCACAACGAGTAAAAAATACACGAAATTATATCGATAAAATTTAATGCAGTTGCTAAAATTTAGCGACTATGAAACGAACATATGCAATTAAAAAAAAAAGGTCGTTAATATGCAATTAGCATTTTATTAATCGTTACCGTGGATCGTTTCTGCTAATTGCTATCGCTAACAGCTATTGAACGAACATGGCTTAGTTTCTTACATTTATCTTTAAGTAACCCCAAATCAACGGTCAACGAACAAACTAAAATTCACACTCAGTAAGTAAAAGTATTATTTTCTTTGGATATGAAGACAAAAATTCTGCCGACCAAAGTAGAAGGAAAGTAAAAAATCTGAATCCACTTAGGTCAATCGGGTGAAAGAATCCTAGAAGTGGTCAGGGATTATTTGTATCGGATTAATTTTATTTCTGCTCAATTCAATATGGCTCACTTGTTAAAAATATCGTATGTATCGGGATAAATGTGAATGATCATACTTAAAGTTCCTCGTTGCCAGGGGAAAATATACTAAATTTGATGAAACATGCTTAATGGGTGGAACCTATTCGAACCCACTTATCAACGTAAGCACTTTAAGCGTAGTTGATGAAATGGACCACACTACACAAAAATATCAACTTTGCATAAGCTTACGTTATCAAGAGGGAAAATAGGCATATATGTACAAATATGTATATGTGAGATAGAAAAGATAGTGATGGGTTCACAGAGTTTGGTAAAGTCATATCAAGTGTTCGGTTTTCTTGTTATATAGACTAGATCATTAGGCTAAAATTTAGCCGCTAAATAAATGCACTAACGGTCCATTTTTCCTCTACGCCATGACATTATATGACGACGAATTTATTTTAGGCAGACCTGAATGCAACTTCGTTGGGTGGACACAAGAAATCAAGTTTCCTGAATAACCAAATTCAAACGTACAAGGGACTGATTTGTTTTTGCATAGTTTTCTTGTTGGAAGTACCGAGTACGTATACCCACGATATCAAACTAAATTTTGGTTGAGTTTTACTTGTGAATCTTTTTCGTTTGGTTTTACTCATTGTAAGCTAGATTCTTACATCAAATGGTATTTGATTCAACATGTTAACGATCCGACATTACGGAAGAAAGAACTTTAAGTTAAGGGATCTAGAAATGAGAGCTCTTAAAATACCAAAATATTTTATAGACGCAAGCATGGATTTAAAGTGGCATGTTGTTTCTGATCAATTAATTAAGTTGATATCAGCTTCGACCAACAATATTCAAAACTAGCAAAATCAGAAAACTTAATTGAGTGCACAAAAAGTAAGGTTATTGTAATGCAACGATATTGGCAGTGCTGTGCATATTTATAAGATAATGCGTTTTTACTATTTTCAAACGGGTGGAAAATGTAACAATGAAATGGGGTTTTTGTGAATTTCCAACTAACGAAACATCAGTAATATAGGAAAGCGAGACTTGCGGTGTATGTTAGCAATGAAGAGAAACTGAGAAAGGGTAAAGTATTCAATGTAAGAATGATTATAGAAATCAACTTGTGCTTCGAATTTGGAATGTGACATCCACTCATCAAAACTCATTTGGACTCCTTTTGTGGTCCTCCTAGTGGCTCCACCTTTGGATATAGCCATATAGGCAAGCCTCCGCTAAAACTCTATTCTTTTTGGTCAATAGCTTTTTTAGTATTTATAAAATTATTTGATTGTTAATGGTTGTAAGAGTTGAAACAAGTGTAATTATATGTTTACTAAAGTATAACTATGGCTAGTGAAAGGAAATCACACTGAAAATGATTAATACAACAAAAGGACATATCCAAGACAAATGAAGTTATCCATTCTTATTTTGTTTGTATTTAAAATAATCCAAACAAGTTTTTTAACCATGGATAAATTGTTAAAATCACTCATATATACCTAGACTACTAATATAACTTTATCTATTTAGCTCTAAGTTGATGAGGAAAATTAAAGCCCGCATAAAAAGAAACTTCAATTTGAATATTCGAAATCAAATCATTTTAATCTTGACAAAAGGAACCAATCGCGAAAAGTGTTAGACATGTTATATAACCTCCATACTTATTATTGATATAGCTGAAATCTTCAAGAGATCAACAGTATGTATATCTTCACACAAGAACATCCGGGAGTTGTTGAACAATATATTATTGAAGGTTTTGGTGATTAATTTATCTTTAGATCTAATCAATTTGATGATCTTGTAGCACTTCCACATAGACAATCCACTTAAAATGGTAGCAAATTATGTATTTGTACAATTCAAAAAGGTTAAAGTGTTTCCAAAAACACGAACAATAGTCGATACCCCAAGGAAAATACATTGGAGGCACCGGTTATTAAAGACATCAAGACATGTACTTGAGGAGATCATATCTGTGTGACATTCAGCCAAACTATAGTTGTCCTAAACAAAATGAGGTGTAATTAGGTAACTTTTCCTACCATTTGTAATTACTATCTATTAAATCTTTTAGCCTCATATTTTGATCGCACAAATACACAACCAATTCCACTATTCCGAGGTCTTTATGTGAAAAAATCGAAATTCGTTTTCTTGTTTCTGTGAAAGGAAAAAATCGAAATGGGTTTAGCCGTTTAGGAGACCCAATTAAAGAAAAATATAATTAGGAGAGCACCGCCCTAGCAAACCCCACCACTATATATAATTTTTATATTATAAAAGTGAGATAAAGATCGATTAGGGCCCGACCTGAGCTAATGGCAGTCCTCGTAATACTCTCAAAAAGGCAAGGGTATTTTCATAACCTAAACTCTATAAATTATACAAACACAAATCTCCAAACTCAAACATGAGAAAAAAAATCTCCAAACACATTTACACATAAGAAATCACTAACCTAAACTACTAAAGTAAGGGAAAAAAAACTCCAAAAACTCAAACAAAAAAAGATGGGGAATTGTATAGTAATGGAGAAGAAAGTGATAAAGATAATGAGAAATGATGGAAAAGTAGTTGAATACAGAGGACCCAAGAAGGTTCATCACATCCTGACACAATTCTCAAATCACTACTCTCTCTTCGACTCCCTCTCCAACAACTGTCATCTTCATCCACAATCCAAGCTTCTCTGTGGTCGTCTCTACTATCTCATGCCCAAGGAGATGGCCACAATCAAGAAGAAGAAGACGACGATCAAGAAAGTCAGGTTTGCAAATCCAGAGGTGGAGAAGAAAGTAGAAGAAGAAGAAGACAGATTTACAGATTGTGATGACAACACCAAGGAGAAGAGTGCTAGTGTTGTGAGGGTGAAGATGGTTGTGAGTAAGCAAGAGCTTGAAAAGCTGCTTCAAGGAGGATCAGTTCAAGAGATTGTTTATAAGAGTCTTGCTAAGCAACATATGTATGATGAGGATGAGGATGATGATGATGATGATGATGATGAGTGTACCAGAGGCTGGAGGCCTTTGTTAGATAGCATTCCTGAATCTGATTAGCCTATAGCATGTCCATATCTACACATATTATATGACACATACATATGTATATACATAGATAACAGAGACTCAAAGCTTGTTCAAGAAAGCATGTAAAATTCCCAGAAATACTGTTCCAAGTGGTAATAGATGTAATCCTTTTTTCAGAAAGCTCAAAATTTGTATTAAAATCCAAAAAAGTGTGTATATTTTGTTAAGATGGAGTTTTCCAAAAAGGTAAAAAGTGTGAGTGCTTGTTTGGGCTAATTTCAAAGCGTATATGCCTATAATAGCCATCTATAGTGGCCTATAAGCGAAGTAAAGATCCATAATGGTGGGTGAAGAAGAATTAATAATTTACTACTCACATTCCAACTATTCAAGTAAACGCGTTTTGTCTATAGCACAACAACTATTCAACTGTATACAACTGTGTGTATGTGTATATTATACGTATGTATTAGTGTATGTTCCTGTGAAGGTGCTAATCTTCTTTGCTTTCCACTTCGAGAGAAACCTCATTGCGGCGGGTAAACGGAAGAGTGAATGGTGGATTGTACTGCAAGTAATGAATTTGCATCGTGTTAAGTAGAGAGTCTAAAGAAACAAAATTAGATTTTAATCTATTTAGCCATGATTTGTTGATGAACCTGTGCAACTTCAACTGAAACTCCATATTTCACTCGAAACATCTTGTCATTTTGAAGAGATCTCCTTAGTTCTTGCTCACGTTTCTCAATCTCTTCATCGGTAACGTACCCTGAAAATAAAGTTTTGATTTTTGTTCGTAGTTAAACAAAAAGTTTTTGAATTTATGATAGATGCTTAAAACATGTGCCTACATGTCAAGGGTATGTCATGTGGAAGTGAAATCGAGTATATTATTTACCTGAGAAGGCAACAACAGCAACAATCTTTCGTGGCACCTCCTGAATCTTGACTGAAGCATCTTTTGGCAATGGCAAATTTGAACCATACTTGGAAGGCATGACAAAAGACATTTGCCATTGGGTTTGTTCTTTTGCCTAAAGCAAGAGTACACATGCAAAACATTAAGATTATAATGGACTAGGAACAAGTGAAAGGTCCATGTGCAAACTGATAAGCTGGAATGTGATGCTCTCAATAGATATTTACCTTCCTAGTTATTACTGGAGTGGTGATTTCCATCTTTTTACCAACAGATTGGACTTTACGAGTAACAACAGGGGTCGTCATCTCCATTTTCTCATTGACTGTGTTCTGTTGAAAACACAAGTATTCGAATCAAAACAGAGGTGCAGCAACATTCATAAATCATAAGGAATGTTTCATACTACCTTACCAAACAGGTACTCAGCTAACACATTGAACGACCTTGAAGCACCATAGAAGTCGAATCCATTTTCCCCTGGCATTGTAGTCTCGGCCACAAAATAAGGCTGTTTCCAAAATTCAAACTTCTTTAAAGTGAGAGAGATCATATTTCAAACAGACAAGTGTGAGTGAAAGCACAACAACCTCGACTTCTCTAATCTCGTATTTGTCTGTCCTGCTTAGAACTCTGAAATTCATTGTCTCCAGATCCGGAACTACAGAGAAATAACACAAAATGAAAAGAAAAAAACAGATGAATTAGATGAAGAACCCAAATCATGAATAATCATAAGCTAACAAACTAACCAGACATCAACGCTTCTTCCAGATTTGAGCTATTGAATCTCTTGGGAAACACGTATTTCGCAGTCTCCACCGCCAAATCAGCCAAAACTGATAGAAATCAGAATCCAAACACAGAGTGAAATTCAGTTACCAAATTGCGGCAGTGAAGAAGTTGGAGTTTACGGAAGACGGAACATTTACGGCGTTGAGAGGCAGAGGAAGCCTGAGAGGCGAGAGCGAGAACGAGAGAAACCCTAGCTTCAGTGGCCGACAAGTCTCGACTCTGCCGCCGCCGCGTAGCTCTGCCCATTCTGACGCCGGAGCAAACGATCGGGCATCGCCGGTCAGGATTTCGATACGAGTAGAGATCGACGGAGAATTTCTGATGAGGCGAAGAGAGAAGAGAAAGGGATGATGCAACAGTGGAGACGGAGCTGATCATTTCTCGTCGCAGCCGAATTTTCGCTCACTTTCTTTGCCGGAAACAATAAATATTTATTAAATAAATTATCAATTCTTTTATGAAATATCAACGACCGCTCGATTTTTCTGATTGTAAAGACCGTTTTCCGTCCTTGTACCGTACCGGTACATTTCTAGCCGTGAACCGATCGGTTTAATACATTTTTCGATTTGCTGTCTCCAGTCCACTTTGGGGTTATATTTGTGTATGGAGTTTTCAAGTTAATTAATTAAATTATAGATATATATCGAGAAAAAAATGGTTAGTTAGTCTTATCCCGAATACTTTGCTCAGTCTTATTAGGAACAGGTCGTTAAACTTTTTTTTTTGTTTTTTTGGTTTTAACAGGTCGTTAAACTTCTATAAATAAAAACTAAACAAGAGATCTTTTATGCGTGAAGCATAAGAGTAAGAGCATAATCTAGGGTATAACGATGTAGGGTGCACATTCAGTATCTAAGCTGCTCTTTCTCTTGGTTTTGGTTTTGGTTCTGGTAGAGGCTTCATTGGGTCAATCTTTGGAGAAAGAAGATTTTTCACCCAAGATTCTAGGCCCTTTCACAAACAAAACGGAGATTGAGATGCTGCAACAGCAACATCCACCAGTGCGTGGTTGTTATCATGAACCTCGAGGTAATTTTCGTTATTCATAATTATAGCTAGCTTTCATGGATCGTGTTAGGTATGGTATAGTATTAGTAGAGAAGCAATATTCCAGTGCATGCCATGATTTTGGTTTTGGTTTTGGTTTACTCTCAGAGGCGGGACCATACGGGAATGTGACGATAAGGTGGGACTCTATGGAATTTAGTAATAAGACTAATGTCACAGTCTACAACTACTTGAAGATTTACGATAGTGAAGGGCCATTGGAATTAGATTGGACATGGGGCGAAAAGAAAATCGAAATGAGAACTGGACGTGGTGCAAAAGGAACACTAAAACATTTTAATGGCACGGCCTTACATGACAAGCCTAGCAAAGGCGGTACCGGTGTGATTACGTCGTGGTATAAAGAAGCCGACCTTGCCAAAAGCTCTTGTTCATTCCACATGTCTAGTGTTACTAGAGTACCGGGAGTTATTCCATCTTTTACCACACCAGAATGGGAATACCGGTGTAGTACATTGATTAAAGTAACTAATCCTCCGGGTTATAATATGAGTAAGTATACACATTTCTCTGTTTCATATTATAAGCAGTTTGGCAAAATGTATCTGTAAAAAAAGTGGATGTATCTTAATGTAATAATGTCCAAATACATCCGTTTTTTTACATATACATTTTGCTAAACTGCTTATAATATAGGACAGAGGGAATATTATTTATCTTATAGTATTAGTTAAGATTTTACAATCACTTCACTTTCCTTTTTTTGTATTTTTCAGGGTCGTGGAAGACGAAATGCACTCCCTTCAACAGTACGAGATATGAAGAAGAGCTGGAAAACGTTGAAACAAGTGTGGTACTAAAGTATAAACATATGGTAGGTGTAATGCAATCAAAATGTTAGTAAGTAAACATAAAATATCGTCTAGTATAACTTCTATATATAGACGTAATTTAATAAGATATATATTAAAAGTGTAAACTATATAGAGAAAGAAAAAAATTGTTAGTTGTAGACTTATAGTCTTATTTCGAATACTTTTGCTCAATCTTATTATGAAGAGGTCGTTAAATCTCTATCAATAAAACTAAACAACGTAAAAGATCTTTTGTGCGTGAAGCGTAAGAGTAAGAGCATCATAATCTAGGGTATAACGATGTGGAGTGCACATTCAGTATCTAAACTGATTTTTCTCTTGCTTTTGGTGGAGGCTTCATTGGCTCGATCCTTGGAGAAAGAAGATTCTTCTTCTAAAGAGATCGAGATTCAGAAATATCCATCGCAGCGTGATTTTGATTATAAATCTCGAGGTAATTGTCGATATTCATAATTATAGCTAGCTCTCACATGAATCGTATCCAGTGCCATGACTTTGGTTTTGCATTCCTCTCATGTATCAGCGGATTTATACGGGAATGTGACGATAAGGGCTGACTTTATGATGGATGAGAGAAATGGTAGTTACTCGACTAATGTCACACTCTACAACTACTTGAATATTAACGATACTAAAGGGCCATTGGAATTAAAGTACGCATGGCACGGAAGAAGAACTATCGGATTGAGAAGTGTGGGTGCAAGTGCAAAAGGCAAGATCTCTTGTTCGTCTAGCCAGGGTGTGATTCCGTCGTGGTTTAGAGAAGCCGACCTTGCCAAGAGCTCTTGTTCATTCCACATTTCTGATGATACTAGAATCCATTCAATTCGTGATCCAGTTGTTAGTCATTCCACAGAAGAATGGAGATACCGGTGTGGTCCATTGATGAAAGTTACTAATCCTCCGGGTTATAATCTGAGTAAGTATATCTTATTATTTATCGTACAGTATTAAACTATTAATTAAGATTTTACATTCACAAAAAAAAAATAAATAAATAAATAAATAAATTACATTCACTTCACGGTCCTTTTTTTTATTTTGCAGAGTCGTGGAGGATAATTTGCATTCCCTTTAACCGTACGGAATATGAATATGTGCTCAACTACGAACAAGAGTTTTTTTTTTGGGGGCCGTTTTCTTCTTCTTATAAGTTTAGTGTTTTTTATTTTCTTGAAATCCTACTTTTCAATGAATGCTAATCTGAGTAATTTTCTCTTTTTTTTTTTCTATGTTTCAATCATTATCTATCACAATCTATAAAACTAACTAGATTGATAATTTTGTTAAATACAATTCTGTTTGACGTACCTACGAAGTTATGATAGAAACTTCAATCTACTTTTGATGTTGAGGACCAATTTATGCTCAAGAAAGAGTTATTGGGTCACTTTTTGGAAATTCGAATATTACAGGATAAAAAAAAAACAAAATATAAACAAATCAAATCAAAATTAGAACTTTGTCGCCGGAAGCGAGTTAAAATCGCTCCGACCAAGAGGAAGAGGAGTAGCCGCCGCGTCTGTTGGAACTCGGGCCGCCGGAAGAAGAAACGGGGCATGGCTCGACTCTCATTGACCACTCCGATTCAGAGATTCCGTTTCTTCTCCTACTTATCTCAGGTCCTTTTCTTTTTTCTCTCTCTCTCTCTCTTCCTCTCTAATGTTGGCTCGCTCTGTTCTCAACAACGGTTAAGCTCTGTAGTTTCTGCCCTAATGCCCCCAACTTTTTGAGCAATTCAACATTTTCTTATACTCTACGATACAAAAAGATTTGATTTTTCACCTTTTTAGCTGCTCAAATAGAGTTTGTATACATTACTGATTTGCTTAAGCTTCTGAATTAACGATACAGCACTTATGGGATCTTTTATCTGTAGCAGAAGAACAGAAGAGGAGGCATTTTGGCTTCCTCTAGCTATGAAAGTCGTCATCTTTCGTCTCTAGGTAATGCCACCAGTGACTTCCCTTTTACAGATGTGGTTTCCATGAATGAATATTTTCTTTCTTATGGTTTAGTCTCTTAACGAGAGTGCTTCCATTTGGTTTAGTTGAAGCTTCAGACTTTGAGCTTGATGAAGGCCCAGACGACAGCAAAGTAGCGGAGAAAGACACTAATCTGCGCTCAGCGTTATCAGAGCTTTCGTCTTCAGGTGTTTTTGATCAAGACTCTAAGTTGTGGTTGCAGCGGTTTTCAAGATCAAGGAGAGTCTCTGTGATACCTACTGGTTCACTCAACCTTGATCTAGCTCTAGGTGTTGGAGGATTGCCAAAGGTTAGTATTGTTTGGTTTCACTCAGTGAGGTCTCTAAATGTGTGTTTAACTAGAGAACATTTTGTAGGGAAGAATGGTTGAGGTTTACGGAAAAGAAGCTTCTGGGAAGACAACTCTAGCTCTTCATATCATCAAAGAAGCTCAAAAGCTTGGAGGTAACTACTGTTCTTGAATCTTTCATCCTCAATACATTTCTTTCTTGTTTCAACAGCCATAAGTTAGCTACGGTTCTGATTCTTGTATGTGGCAGGTTATTGCGCTTATCTTGATGTGGAGAATGCAATGGATCCTTCTCTAGCGGAGTCAATAGGTGTGAACACGGAAGAGCTTCTGATCTCACGGCCTGATTCTGCTGAAAATATGCTAAGTATTGTGGATGTGTTAACCAAGAGTGGATCACTAGACGTAATTGTGGTTGACAGTGTGAGCTCTCTCTCAATCTTTCATCTCAAATATGTTAGTAATGTAATCTTTCTGAGAAGTTGAATCTACAATTACAGGTTGCTGCTCTTATCCCTCAATGTGAGCTTGATCTTCCTCTAGGAGATGTCTACAGAGACAGACAGTCAATAATAATGACGCAGGCCCTCAGGAAAATCCACTACTCTGTTGCCAATTCTCGGACACTGATCGTCTTTCTTAATCAGGTACGAGTATCATCTTCTGCTTCCTTAAGTTGGATCATATTGATGTCTCTGCTAATCATTTGTTCTCTGATACAGGTCAGATCACATGCCAAATCTAGCATGCGTTTCCCTCACGCTGAAGAAGTGACTTGTGGGGGAAACGCATTGCGGTTTCAAGCAGCTATACGTCTCAAAATGATTAGAACCGGTCTGATAAAGACTGACGATAAGGTAATCACAAGCACATTGTTTGTCAATCTCCATTCATCTTTAAAACACTGCTTGATCTTTAATCTACAACACTTTGCTCTCAGATAAGTGGTCTCAATGTGTGCGTTCAAGTGGTGAAAAACAAACTGACGCAAGGAAAGAAGAAATCTGAACTAGGGATTCACTTTGGCCGTGGCTTCTACGTGGAGCGTGAGGTTTTAGAATTGGCTTGTGAGCATGGAGTTATAGTAAGAGAAGGAAGTAGCCATCTCATTGAAGGCGAGGTCCTGAATGGGAAAGACGCAGCTGAGAAGTATTTGCTTGAAAACAAGGATGTTCTTGATACAGTCATCAATACCCTGAGGAACCAGCTCTTCTAGATGTGTGTGTGTTTATTCATTCTCCAACTTCACTTTATTTGGAAACTCTTCTATAGATTTATTTCTTACAAAGTTTACTATAAGTGTGACTAAGCACGAGATAAATTAACTTCACTGTGGACGAATCCATCTTCCATCCTAATCCATGACTTGATTCCCAAAGGCGTTTCAGTAATCTCCACAATCCTTGCTCCTCTGTCCCAAAATCCATACCCACCATAACCCGTGTGTCTTGCAAAGCAGAGCCAGAGATTCTTCTCCCCCGGACAGCACCAGTCTAGTCCATGGTTGTGCCCTACAAACACAGCCTTAACTGAAGATCTGTTCTCAAGAACTGCCATCATACCATTCTCAGCATCTTGAGTAGCAACTTTGCCATCAAAGGTGATTGACCCGACGCAAGGTTTCGATATCTCATCATCAGTTGGAGGAGCTACTTTCTCGTATGCTTTACTCGGTATATGCCAGAAGATCAGCTCCGGGATCCTGACACAAATTCACATCTCTTCTTGTTAAAAAGAATAAAAAAGCTTTGATCATGTTATCATTATATACGTACCTTAAATCGGGATTACGAGCGTTGGACACGGTTTTAAACCATTCGACTTGAGCATTTGAGATAACACTAGGGTAAGAGCCACCGCCGGAATCAAGAAAGTAAAGCAAAGCCACGGCTGGTTTCGAAGGATCAGATGATTTCAAGGGAAGGACGTAGTTGGACACGCTTGGCAGTAGCTGGTTAGGACCCATCATTGTGCGTGAGAGTCCTTTAACGGATGCTTTGATCTCTCCTTGGACCAGTTCCACTCGCGTTGTGCCTCTAGATGGACATCCACTTGTTGTCCCAGGGCAGCGAGTGGGAGGGACGCCGGAGGGAGAGAGCCAAGCCTTGGGCCATTCAAACTTGGCGTCGTCGTGGTTGCCAAAGACAGTGGCCCACGGAATGTTTCTGTCTCTTGCTGGTGAGATTGCTTTGTCCCAATACAAGCTTGCGTTGTGGGTTGCTAAGTTGTTTGCCGTTATTACATCTCCCAAGTACACCACTAAACCTGTTCTCATTTCCTACCATTATGTTAATCTCACATTAACGTAGGAACTAGATAATTAACACACAGAAAAAACATTATACTCCCTCCATTTCATATTAGTTATTTTCTAATGATATATTTAATTCTAAACACATCCATATACATTTCAATATGAAAGAGAGGGAGTAACACAACAACTTGCAAGCCAATCAAACTGAACCAACAAAGCGATCCAAAACTAAACCAAAATCTTATAATGTTTAAGTGATTAATCTCACTCTTTTGTACACTAAATAGGTCAAATCAAAATGGAAACAAAAGCTAAAAAAATCGGCCAAGATCAAAATTACCAAAAACTTGCTTTAACAACATAACTGTAACAGAACAAGGGAGTGAAATGATTGACCTGGAGTTTCAGCGTCGAGAACGGAGGACATAACCTTGAGAGAGTTAACATCTTGACGTGGAGCCCAATCAGTCCACGGGTCTTCACCGAAGTGGAGGTCTGCAAAGATTGCGATCTTGAACGGTGTTCCTTTCCTCACCTGAAGATTATTACTGTTCCCCACGGCCTGGAGGAGCCTCGGCACCGTCGGTATGCTTCGCTCCCTGCCTATTCCTGCGGCTGAGATTAATAAAAGAGATAATAGAACGGTGAAGATCTGAAATGTCGGCGGTTTTTTCATCTCGGGTATAATATTATTATCAGACGGATTAAATCGTTAAGTGAACCACACACACAAAAAAAGGATTTTGTCTTTAGATCTTTTATTTTTTCACAAGTTCGTGAAAATAAGGTGTTCTTTTAAGACTTCGACATAGCGTAAGGTTATGTTTAAGTCAACGACGTAGAGATAAGAGTCGTCTAAGTCTTCGACATCGAGTAGGTTCCTCATTAATTAAGTCGACGACGTAGAGAGAAGGTTGTGTTTTACGTGTGGGACATAGAGATAAAGGTCGTATTAAGTCTGCGACATAGAGCACTAAGCATTTCCATCGGAATTATCGCATTGTTATCTCATGAATAAAACAAAAATAATGAAAAAAAAATAGAGAATCTATACTCCTGAAAACTCCATATCACACTTATCAACATTTCATTAGTATTTTTTAATAATTAAATTTTAATTTTTAAAAAGAACTGATTTGCTTTGGTATGCGTTAGTTTCAAGTTTGCTTTGTATTTGAAGATTGAAAACACTCAAACTACAATCCCAAAATCAATGATAAAGAACAACATGTCTTGGTTGAAATGATAAAGATCCATACATAATATGGCTTCGAATATTCGTCATTTGCGTCAAGTGGAGCATATTCAAAGAATATTTCAACCACTCTTTATTTTGTCTTAATTCAAAGAGGAATCTTCTACAAAAAAAATTCATCATGTGACGTCTCGTTTTATATATCTATAAAAAAAATTGTTTTTAGTTCACCACCATGCTAGGACGAGCCACTAATATTGTATTCTGAAATTATATCAAATGTTACATTTCTTCCAATTTTTTTTTGGTTTCTGAAGAAAATATGTTTTATCATTTTTTGTCTAGTTAGTTAATTGGTCAGCTCATGCTCGAAATGAATCGTTTTTCCACAGAAAAAGAAAAAAATAAAATTGGAAGAAAGAATCATTTTTCTTTAACACGACTGGTTTTCTCTGGAGACAAATGAGAAAGAATCATTTTTCCGTCGCCAACGCCGCAATCGATCCCGTTTCTGTCGCTGCCCAACGATTTGCTGTTAAACTGCGTGGCACGCGTCTCAAGGTTGTACTATCCGACTCTCTCCCTCGTCTGCAAGAGCTTTCGACCTCTCCTTGCTTCACCGGAGCTTTACAAAGCCCGGTCACTCTTGGGCAACACGGAGAAATGTCTCTATGTGTGCATACGGCACGGTACTGTTAGTCGATGGTACACCCTCTGCTGGAAACCTGATAAAACCCTAACTAACGAAGACACAAAGTCAATGGGGTTTGCTTTGGCCAGAGTTCCAGTTCCCGATTCTCCTCGTATTCAGTATATGCGTCTCTAAGGGGTTGGTTCTAGTATCTACCAATTTGCTCAATGGGGAGACCCTAGCGTCTCGGTTCTGGATTGCCGGTATCACACGTGGCGCGAGGCCCCAAGCTTCCCGGTGAAGCTATTGACACGTCATGCTACCGTCGTCGACAAAAAGATATATGTAGCAGGACGCTACCAACATGGCAATTCCCTTTCCAACTTGTCCTACGTGTTGGACACAGAAACTCAAATTTGGGATCCTCTGCCTCCCGTCCCTTGCACCGCCGATAATAATGACGTCTTCGGAACCGCATGTATTGACGGAAAGTTCCACGCGGTGGCTAGCTCAGGACTGGACGCTGCTTACAATTCCAAGCAAGTCAAATGGGACCGGCTTAGATCAGAGATGGGAAAATATGTGTACGGTAATTCTTATTGCGTGATAGGGAATGTTTTGTGTTCTGCTTGCCGTGGAAACTTCAGATGGTATGACTATGAGGCACACGTGTGGAGAGATTTGAACGGTTTGGTTGGGCTACCAGAATTGAGTCATGAGCATGAGATTAGATTGGCTGATTATGGTGGAAACATGGTGGTCTTTTGGAAGCAGTATCTACACAGTATGACCAAGATTTGGTGTGCCGAGGTTTCGCTTGAAAGACGACGCCAAAGCTGTGAAATTTGGGGGAAAGTTGAGTGGTTAGATCATGTGCTCACACTCCCTGTGAAAGCTGATCTCATCAAGGTTCTTGCTCTTACTGTCTAATACTCAACACGTCACCAAGGCTTGTACCTCTTTCCCCGTTTTGGTCTTCTTCTCTTCTGGTCTATGTATGCTGCTATGATGCCTGAGTAGTAAGCTTTATTTTGTTTGGCCAAAATAAATGTCTTTGAAACAAACGTGAGCAACGCAATCCATCAGCCAGAGATGCCTTGCAATATAAGATGCAACTTTGAAACGGATTAAGACAACATATCAATAATTTTTTGGAAGTGTAACATAAAAATACAACTTAAGAGGGTTCCCATGTCAAGTAAATGGACCAAAGAATCAAATGGTAATTATGAAAGAGAAGAAAAATGTCAAGTAGGAAACAGTTGAAGCCTCTGTAAGATTACTCATAAGGTGTGGTTAAAAATAATCATCTCTTTAGCAATCTGAGCACATCACCAACAAGATGTAGCGATCCTGTGACCAGAACCTGTTGAATAAGACACACAAGAAACCCAAAGTAAGATAAGAAAAAGACTTGACACCAGAGAAATGTCTGAAAACAAAATTTACTTTTTGATTCTTGGCTTTGAAGTAGATAATTAATAAACATAGCTTTGACTTTTACCTCTAGTTTCAGCGAAGGGTTTCGGCGTACGCAGTCTCGTAGCCAGTTTATAGTCAAAGGAAGGGAAGGCATCACGGCGCTGGAAGTAACATGTGTCCCTGGAGGTCCACCATAAGGAGGTGCATCTCCACACAGGAAATCATGAGGTGGTAAGTCGGTTATTCCATCCGGTTTCGGTGTATGGTCAATCGCAGCATCTGATGAGTCACCAGTCACCACCATACATTTGATCAAAGGTTTGGAGGGACATGACTAGTTACAAAGAAGTAAAACTTAAAGCTTACCTGTTCCTCGGATTGATCTCTCCCAGAGCTTTTGTAGTCTGAATTGCCAAGTTAAGTCCTTTCTACGTGTATCTGAAGGAATTGCTGATGCGCCAGAGATGACCTTGTTGTAAGTTGACATGCTCGGGGAAAAAAGCGCTCTTGAGAAATGAGTGCCTGAGCGTGGTTTCATTCACCAAAATGCAGATAAGTAGCAAGAAACTATATGAACAGTATAAAGTGTTCAGATTACCCGAGGAAGCGCAGGTTGTGACGAGCTTTGGAAGTAAAACTTGAGGGTCTCTCACTTCCATGCAGTTGAATAGAAGAATCTATCAACACATAAGAAGTCAGATCAAAGTATGAAACACAAAAGTCAATTTGAAAATACCATGAGATTGAGAAGAAAGTTCAAAAGAGTTGTGTTATAAAAGTAATTGCATTGATCAGTGTTGGTCTTGAGTACCTGTTTGGAGACTCTACCGAGCTCCTCATGTCTCCGGTAACCATTGACAGCAGGAGATATGTTTTTGTTTCCTCTGACTGCAGTAGAGAACCATCGGCCACAAGCCTCCATGCTCTCTGGACTGTGAGCTCCATCCAAGTAGAAGATCAGATCACCGCATGGAGTCTTCATCGACCCCGACGAGTCCTGCGGATCTGAAACTACATCATGAACAACTTGAGCTCTCCCATGAAGACGTGCTGTTGCAAGACCGCGACAAAAAGCCTCAGGAATCTCAGTATCCTTGCGTCCCTGTTAATGAAAATCCACAAACAAGATTCACCAAATAAAGTACTTGGAAGTTCTTTGAGAAAGGATTAATGGCCAAGAGCAAAACCAACGTCTGGAAACATCTTCTCCCAGTTCCCAGTTCTTTGAAGCCAGCATCTCGAAAGAGAAACAGCAAGACCTGCATTTACAAGCTGATGATCCCCAGACAAGCCAAGCGTAACTCCATCCAACTTCTTAAGATCAAGAGGCGCTACTACTTCCAGAGGAACCTGTAACACCCGCAAGACAATATGCAGCATTTATTCCTTGTTGTTCAGTTCTTTATAACAGTTTATAAGCCACAACAGACACAGAAATGATTATAATACGGTTTGAAAACATGAACTATTTTCTTGCCAAACAGAGAATCAAAGGCACGAAGCATAGAACACTGGTGGCGAATTCTAGAACTCCCCCAAACACTACACCCCTTCCCAAACGTCAAATCTCTATAATTTATATAGATCTCTCTCAGTAATACATATGCTGGTATGGCATGGGAAATTCGATAAACTCTTAGTACAACCTTTACTTATCGAATTTACTGTAAGTAAGTGGAAGAAACGTAAAATATATAGCTATTAGTTACCTTAAGATTCTTAGCTGTGTCCTGAAGAACCCCCATTGCTTCAGAGAGTTGTGGTACTGTGAAGGCGGGGATTTGAGGCTTTCATTAGCACAGAAGGAAACAAAGCAAATCAGAAAATATATAACATGAAGCTGAAAAAGGGAACTATATTGAAACAATTTGTATTGCATTCACAAACTTCTGCGTAAAAAAAAAAAAACCTTCTGAAAAGTAGCCAATAAAGTCAGAAGGTTTGTACCTTGAAAATCCCAGCCTTATGAAAAGCAATGTCAGCTAGCGTATTTCCTGCGAAGAAATAGTTAATTAAAGCATGAGAGCGAGTGATGGAGCGGCATCAGCGAGTGAGTACATTTGCCTGATGTGCTGAGAATAAATAGTATGGCATATACCCAATATATCCATATGATCCATCCCAAGAGAAGCAATGCCACAGACAACAGGTTTTTGAATCTGTAATTTACATTTTTCCAATTCAATGAATAGAGATGCTATATGACAGGAAACTCAGGGGCCATAAGACTCTCAAAAGATGCTAACCACGTTTGTCGAGTCAAGTTTTCCCCCAAGTCCAACTTCAATGACAGCAACATCAACCTATCAGGAACAACAGTAGTCAGGACCCAGTTTTAGACAAATACATAACGTTTCAATGTAATGGGAGCTCAGTGAAAGTAGCCTATGAGGGGGCAAATACTGTAAAGAAGTGTGAAAATGAAAACTATACCTTTTCACAAACAAATATCTTAAATGCCAATACTGTGAGGAACTGAAAGAGAGGAGGCATGGTAAGACCATCTACAGCTTTCTCCTGCAAAGAAGAAGTTCACGAGTAGATAAATACACAGTTTGCTAGTAGCCTACACCAAGTATTCTTCATGGTAAACTGTCTTTTTATACACAGCATTTAAAAGTGAGCAAGGAATACTGAAAGCCTATATCAAATCATACATCTCAAATAGGAACCAAGAGCACTGCTTATCGAGAAGGGTTTTTTACCTTCAGTAATTTCCAACATTCCCAGAAATACTGTAGAAACTTTTCTTCAGATAGATCTAAGCTGGAAAAGCGAAACAGCATTCAAAACAGTCTCTTGTGTGTGTTCATGTAACAATGATAATTAATATACTGATGAACGTACCCATCTATGCGGAATCTTTCCCTCACATCAATCAGGTGAGGAGATGTAAACATTCCGGTTCTTAGACCACAGTTACGTAAAATTGCTTCACAGAAGACACATGTTGAACCCTGAAGCACACAAATCCAAAGTCAAACACCAAGAAAATGAGCATAAATATCCTACTCATGAACATTACGTTCAGACAGCATTAGCGAATCAGTATAGATAGTTATTTCACTGAATGGCCTGACTTTTTCTGATAAGTGTTAATTATTGAAAACTGGAAACAAAATCATCTCACATAAAATATAGTGCCAAACATTCCTTCTACGGACTTATTTTTCAAACTAAATTCAAATCACAAGACCTGCATTTAGCAGCCAAATGGAAACAGTCACTTACCTTTCCTTTCGTTCCCGCAACATGAATAACTTTTAGTTCTTTTATTTTGTCCTCCAGGTCCAAAATCTGTATTTGCCAAACCAAAACAGCAGATAGAACTCCCAGTATTCAGTACCAACAGTTTATTTGACTTGAAAATCACAACTCTCCAAATTCTCAACGGCCAGAGGCTCACTTGAGACAGTTCAGAATGAGTTATTTAACAATCCTTTTCAAACTAATGTGCTGAAAATATTCACAACAGTCTTTGTATGCTTTCAAATTTCATTTCTCTTGAGATTACGCATACACTAGAAAGTCCCACCCAAAAGAATGATGAATGTAAAATGGCTTCATCACCTTGAGATATGCGACGACTTGTTCAAGCTTATCACGACTTCCACTGGTAGATGAGCGGTCCCCACGGTTTCGACGAGAAATAAGAGTAGACAGCGCTTCCATGGCATCATCATATGAAGAAGATAAAGCTGAATTATCTGCCTTGTCTTCCTCCTTCAACCCCATGTCAACAGAAACTTTCTCCACAGCTTCTATTGATTTGCTTGAGTACCTAAGACCTAGAGACGCCCACAGAGCAATAAGAACACATTCCCAGAGGGAAGAAAGAAGTGTGTTACACTACACTTACTTTTGTTGATATAAGCGAGATTCCCAGGGCCCCAAGGTAAACTGTGGAAGCCCCACGTTACTAGAGTGTGGAACGGTTCTGTTTTGTCACAAAAGAATGGAACTCTTGGTGCTCCGCCCTTGAGAAGAATCCCGTTCACATGAATGAGCATCAGGGAATGTCAAATCTGCAGCCAAAATATGCTTTAATAAGTTGGTCAAAAGTGTTCAGTTAAGAAAATGGGCAGAGCTCACACCGGTAATCAAATCCAATTAAGAACTCAAGTCACCAGAAATCACTTGGATTGCATCAGAAGCACTGAAAGTTCTCTGTTTTAAAGCATTCTCAGAGTCTTTAAAATGTGGATGCTAAGATTCGAGGAACCCATAAGACTGAAGCAATAAAGAGAAACACTCGTATCTATTCAACCTCATCCCATTTTCAAAGCAAGCAAGTAGCATCGATTGATGAATACTCGTAAATTCAATCTAACCATTTTCTACAGACAGTATAAGGAGATGGTCGCAAGTGAAGGGGAGAGAGACCAACCATGGGAAGCTTCAATTGGTAAAACCGATTTCGTTCAAGGCTCAGATTGTGTGGCTCTTCTTATTGCGACGTCTATCAATCACTTGCAGTATTTGTGGGAAGGGAGCAGGAATCGGAGGGGAACTCTAGGGTTTGTGGGGTTACAATGTGTCTCAGCACTCAGCAGCCATTGATCCGAAGATGAAGAAGACCCTCCACTCTCCACCACCTTGATTTTGGAATCTCATCCTAAATTAAAAGCCATACAATAATAAAAATTAATCTTGTCTATCTATAAGAGTTTAAATACCAACTCACCAAAAAAAAAAAGAGTTTAAAAATCAGACGGTTAAAAATGATAAATTTAATAATTTGATCATTTCAAAATATTCTCTAGTTGTTTATTTATTTATTTACAGTTTGTAGATTCAAAGTCTCTAGTTTTTTTTTTTTTTTTGGTGTCAAATGATAAATCTAACAATTTGATCACTTCAAAAAATTCTCTAGTTTTTTTTAGTTTACAGTTTATAAATATGAAAATTTAACAATTTGAAGTCCACAGGAGAAAAAAAGAATATTGTTTGCTCCTAAAGCAAGCTAGTCATGAAAACCAGGGAGAGAGGCATTGGTGCAATGATCTCTGCTGTTGCTACCAAACAAATGCCGTACCCTTGCAGCCTCATTTGAGATGGTTCATTGTTGGAGAGATGTTGGCATGCGAATTGTATGTTTCTTGCGACACAATTGATACTTGGTGTATTCGTCACCACCAGCTTACATAAAGGAGAAAGAGTAGAATCTCATTTCACAGAAGTTAAATTAAAGAAGAGAACGAGCAGAGCTAAAGCTCATAAGTCTATGTGATGTGGTGGAAGATGTTTCTAAACCATCATGGAAAGTTACTTTTAGAGAATGTGTGCTAATTAGTGAACACACAAAAAGAGACCCTCTTCTTTAGCCCAACGTCTTTCTTAACTCTTAAGAGAAATATGTTAAGAGTTCTTCTTCTCAATTCAACGTCATGGTGTTATGTTAGATTCGTTTCACCAGGAATCAAAGTAACTTAAATCATCATAAATTATACACCTTAAATCACAGACGATGAGAAGTCATAAATTATCTTTAACCATAAATAAATTAATTGGCACCTACTTCAGAAGAAGGCTTTTGGTAGAGTCCATTAGCACCCCATAGAATATGTGTTGGCATCTCACTCCTCAAAAAGAACCCACATCGATTTAACGCTTGCAACACAACTATATCACCTTGCATTTCCAGCTGCTCGGGATTAGCAGGTTTAGTCGTTTGCCATCCCAGAAGATACCGGCGAATCATTTTACCAGCAGTATTCAGACGAAACTTCACGACTTTCTCCCTCAAATCACATTAGTTTTATCCAATAGTTTGACTTAGAACATCAATTTAGGAAGAGACATTTTTACCTCTTTTGCCTCCAAGAATCCATACGTGTTGACCATTTCAAGTTGGATGTTGCCTATGCTTTGCCTTTTGCCAATAACATCATGAATATATTGATCAATTTTGCACAATGTTTCCACACCTTCGCAATTTCTTTTTTTTTCTCCATTGTCTTTTCATTCATCCAAAGTTGTAAATCGTGTTTATCAACCTTGAGATATCCAAATTACAAAGAAAAAAAACAAACTTGGAAACATACAAATTATTGAAGATATATATATATATATATATATTTTTTTTTTTTTTTTTTTTTGCTACCCTCCTCCCTACCAATAAATTTCTCTGAGTTATATACCATTTTAATTTTTAAACCCACTAAATCTAAAGAACAAGCTTTTTGTATCTTAAAGCATTGGTATAAGGATGAGTGATCTATTCTCTCATCTGCAAAAACCTTGCTAATTTCTTTGAGTCCATGCATCTCGAAAATAATTTTATTTCTTATTAGTCCATCCACCAATAATTTGTCACTAATTTTTGGTGGCGAAACGGTATCCCATTTAGCCATTATTTCTCAGTGGTTTTGTTATGGTCAATTTTAGCCATTATTTCTCAGTAGTTATTTTGCGGAAATTTCGTCATTATGCAATCCGTAATTAGCCAAATGCGTGCATATATTTCCAGTGTCAAATATGTGGTCATTTTTGTCTACGAAATTAGTTTGACCAAGACCGTTTAGCCACAACAAAATTAAATTTGGTGACCATCTGACATTCTGACTAAAACAAAAATCGTCACAAATTGAAGGTTTTGTCGTGGAAATCTATATAGCTAAAATCTTATATATCTTCTAGCTGGAAAATTTTGGGTGCTTCATACATGAGTTGGAAAATTTGTTGGGATAATCTCACAACAAGTTTGTTTAACGTTAAAAACCCGTCTTTAAAGTATACAAATTTCTTTTAATGCAAACAAATCAACCATGTCGTTTTAAGAGCTTTCCAAGTTTATTATGCTTTCGGATCATTACATACATTTACGGCATTTATGGTTTGACAGAAAACATGATTCATGTTAGAGCATCTCCAACCCCATGCTAAATATGACATATATGCTATTTTGCCATAATTTTTGCTCCAACCCAATTGCATATGCTATTGCAAAATAGCATCATGCTATTTTTGCTTCTATATTTGGCATGAGATTATGCAATATGCTATTTTGCCATTGAACTTTTTTATTTATAAAATAGTCCTTCAATTTGTAATTACTTTTAATTTAACAGTTTAATTATATTGATTATGATTTATTTAAATAAATAAACAATACTCATAACTTTTTCAAAATATAAATAATATTTATTTCATAGAAATATAAAAACATAACCATAATAAACTTAAAATTTTATTTTTAAAAATACTGAAATTCAAAAAACATAAAACAATAGGTTAAAATCTTTGTTTTCTATAATTTTTATGTAATATGATGTATTTTGTTTTAATATTATAATAAAAAAATATATAATTCTGGTTGTTTTTGCAAAAAAAGAAAAACAAATGATTCACTTTGTAAAATTTGAAGAAATCAAGTAGTTTTAACAATTAATAATAAGTTGGAAAAAAATTATAGCATGATATATGGCATGAGGGGTTGGAGAGAAACCCAATGCTATTGCTATATTTTTGCCATTTGCAATAACATATGGCATGAGGGGTTGGAGATGGTCTTATAGGTGATGCTCCAAGCAAAAGCTACTTGTGTCATTTGTTTTTAATATATGATTAAAAGAAGAAAAACTATTAATGAAAAGAAAATGAAGATACAGTGACCTGAATCCGCAACACCAGTGGGTAAAAAAGATTATATGTTACCTGACTATGTGAATGGAATTAGATATGTTCCCAAATTTTAAATAACTTTTATGGGTCTAACTAAGTGATGGCCGTATATTTCAGAAAAGTCAAGCCAAATTAATGGTAAAATTATGGCCAAGTTTTTGTGATTTGGTGAAATGTTATATACCATTAAGCACCCATAAGAGGGTATAATTTAAAGTTTGGAACTGGTATCAGAGTTTAAATATCAGAGGGAAAAAAATGATAAATTTAATAATTTGATCACTTCAAAATACTCTCTATTTTTTTTTTAATTTAATGTTTGTAGATTCAAAGTCTCTAGTTTTTTTAAAAAACCATTTACAGTTGATTCAAAGTCAAATATAAAATCGAGAGAAAAAAAAGAATATTATTGGTGATATTATATCGTATCAAGGTTTATTAAAGTGGGATATGGCAGAGAGATACATTATACAATATAAACTCTATAAATTAATACTCGAGAAATTAATACTCGAGAAATTAATAAAATTGTATGGTCCCAAATTAAGTTTTTATCCAATAATCTCTCGATAAATTAATATTTCATTAAATTAATAAAATATCTTATGCCCGACATTATTAATTTATTGAGTTTCTACTGTATATATATAAACTTTATAAAATAATAATTTTGTAATCACAAATATTTTATTATTTTATCGAGATATGAATTTATTGAATACTAATTTGTTCAAACACTTAATTTGGAACTGGAAAATTCTATTAATTTATCGACCATTTCGCTTTTTGGAAATAGTATGAGTCCCATGACCTGTTGGTGGGAACTTATGCATGTGGGATGAAGCAATATATAGACAACTTTGTGTAACGTTTTCTTGTTGTTTTGTGTCGTCCGCCTCTGGCTATATTGCTATGATGATAGTAAATGACTTATTGAATCTAAGAGATTCATAGCAAATGATTTATCGGGGGCCAGGAAATTCGTGATGAAGACTTAGGATCATATATCCCAAACTCGAGGGAATTGAGCCTTCATTGTTAATTTCCTCGCCTCAGTAAATCATTTGATAAATATTTCTTCTTTGTGATCTCTCTAAGTTAGTCTCCTCTCTATTATATATCATTTAGAGACTCTTTGCATATTACTCCACTTTTCAAGATATGGCAAACGGTGAGAACATGTAATTTGACTAAGAGTGTAAATGGTAATTGTTTAATCTCGCTGAATGCAGAATTTGATGAAATTAAATGATAATTGTTGTGGAATTTGACTGATTAGTTAATAATACTAGGTTTGAAGCCCCGCGCAAGCGCGGGGTTGTTTGCAATGGTTTTCTATTTAGTTTTGTTTATGTTTTATCTCACATCGCGCGTCCTTTTATTTTATTTTATTAGGATGTTAACACCCCACTTTATCTCGAATTTTCTATTTCTAACATTTTAGCATATTATAAATATTATGTTTGTTTACTTTTGTTAGACTATAAACATGCATATGTATAATTTGACTAGCGTTAAAATTTGTAAGTATATTGTAAAATCGCATTTGCACCGAAATAGGATGAAAAAATAATATATATACTTTTATACATATCTACTTTGTTGTGGTAGCATATGAGCCTCATGACCATTGATTATTTTCTATTATGTTAGTTTTGTAATTGAATATATTTGGAAACAAACATATCACAATCCTTAAAATTTTCATGTTTTTCACTGCAATTAAATTTACATATAAAAACTTGACTTCTATTTGTTTAAAAAGCAAACTCTAACTCTAATTTCTCATTGGTTTTTTATTATCTTAATTAATTTATATTCAACTTTTTAACTTGTGAACACATTATAACATTTTGAAGTAGGATAAATCCTTTTAATAAAAAGGTAAATATATACCATTTCAAGATAAATATATTTTTACTTATATCCAAACTTTTTGATAACTTTTAACATCAAGTTATCACATACTTTATATTAATTAAGTAATTTAGTTGTGTATTTTTCTTAGTTTTATTTATATTTAAAAATATAAATATAGGTAAAGAAATATGAATAGTCATGTATTAAATATCTTAAAAACAATTTAATGAATTTTTTTGCTGATGTGGATAGCCTATATGGAGAGAGCAAACTCTCCTATTATATATAAGATGAATGGTAAGTTGGTACTGCCGGTTGAATATGATAATAACTAACAAATTATTTGCATAACAAATTATTTAAAATAATCTAATTGATAAAAATAAATAAAAGATATAACATTTGGCATCCTCCACGCTCCACCGATGGGTTTAGTGAAGTGTAATGTCAATGCAAACTGGCGTAACAACCATCTACGTAGCGGTGGAGCTTGGATTGCACGGGATCGCAATACCAATACTCAATGTGGATTTGAGGTCAAACGTAATTGTAACTGGACGTGATCCAATTAGTAAAACCGAACCAAAGGGAAGATATAAGATTCACAAATTTCGGTATTAATTACCGGAAAACAATCTAGCAATAAAGAAAACTTAGGCCCATTTGAAAAAGAGACCACAGTTTCCCATTTTCAAGGAGAAATCAGAAATAAGAAACATAGAGCGAACCCTAGTTTCCGATCATGCCTGGGAATAATCTGAGATCAGTGATCCAACAGGTAAATCAAATATTTGATCATGAGTTATCCTCCTCTCTCCTTTCTTTTCTTGTGTGTTATCTATTGACTCGGTACAAAACTTAAACTTTTGCAGTGCTCCGTTGTGTCTCGACGCCGCTTCTTCTCTACAACCTCTAGCGAAGTGAAAAAAGATGATCTTTGGATTGTAGGTTTGAGACGTTTGATGGTAGCAGGGATGGTTTTAGGCCCGATATTAAAACGAGGTGCATTGATCGGTGTGGGATATGGCATAGGTATGGAGTTTGATACATTGATCGATATAGATATAGAGAGAGATGTTGAGTCGAATGAATCAGGCTTCTGATTTTTTTTCATTTTTCTTTTTTTGCATCAAGCTTCTCTTCTCTATGGAGCAAGTTACGCACAACATTTGGACAATAATGAGAAGGTTAGAAAAAAAACTGAGATCAAGAAGCAATTCTGATTTCTGAGTTGACATAATGACCATTGCTATTATTTCATTTTCATTCTATCCGTGTGTTTTATTTTATTTTCTTACAGCTTTACAAGGTGCTTTCGAAACTTCCAGGCCCGAGATAAGAAGTCCGTTGAAAATTGATGTGTTTATGAAATATTAGGCTTTCTCATGTGTTAATGTGTGGGATGACTTTGTATACTTGATATAATTCATTTCAACTTGGGTTTAGATTCTTAAAATCTTGCTAAGTCATTTGTTAGTTCTTCTACGTACTTTGGAGATCATATCAGTTAAATTATGAAATTATGTTTTCAAGCCTAAAATCAAGAACCAATGAGATTTCTTAGCTTGAAAATGCGTAGCCATACTCCTGGATCATTTGCTGATGTCAATTTGAGCGATTACGATATCCCAAACACGACATCAATCATCGTAGTAACTGGATTAAAAGAGTGATCGAAGCCGACGAGTTTGCTCCGTCTAGGGCTCAAGAATCATGTAAATTATGCATCCTTATCTATATGTTCATTTAGTTTCTGTTTTTAAAAAGATGAGAGATTAATGTTTTCGTTTGCTCTCAAAACTTGTATAGATGGTACAAAATATGAAATCGAAAGAAGGCACGTTCTTTGTTCAAGAACATGAAATGGACTAAAGTTAGTATTATATACAGAATTTTGTAAATTATGAATTATTTTTCTAATCTACATAAAATCTTTAGAATATCAAATCAAATCTCCCATAAAACTAAATGGGGAGGATTCACAAAGACCACATTTTCCCCTTTTTAAAAGGAAGAAACGAAAGTCCATTGATCGAACCCTAGTTTATCATAATGCCGGCGAATAATCTGAGATCCGTGATTGCGCAGGTAAATCGAAAGATCTGATCGTGAGTTATCCCCTTCTTCTTTCTGCCATCTATTATTGATTATGTACAAAAAAAAAAATCAGTGCTCTGTTGTGTCTGGCCGCCGCTGTTTCTCTTCATCCCCTAATATGAGTGAGTCGTAAGCAACCATCCTAAGAGTTCTTGATAGGATGGAGAAAGTTGTAGCTAACATTAAATGGGTTACTTTTGGATTTTCTGGGTGGTTATTGTTAGGTTTTTTAATAATATTCATTTTTTTAATAGAGATGATATTAATTGTTTTTTTAATAGAGATGATAACCATGTCATAATGTGTTAGGTTAGTTTTATGAATATTCATCTGGCCCATAATGTTGTAAGTTTTCTATTGATTCAGCGCAAAACCTGAACTTTCTGCAGTGTTCTTTCCTGTCTCGCCGCCGATTCTCTTCTTCCCCCGAGCCCTCCAAGCCAGCCATTGTTATTTCTCTTGACAGCTTGGAGAAAGCTGTAACCAACGCTAAGTGGATGTCGTTTGGATTTTTCGTGTGGTCACTGCTAGGTTAGTTCATTGTTCATTCTTTTAACAGATACTATTGTATAAAACAAAATCAACCCCTGTAACTGATTCAATTCTTTTTTTTTCTTTTTTTTTTCAAATTCTCAGCAAGTCGGAGGATGGATCAGAGCAATGAAGAGTTGAGAGATCTTGCTGATGAGAAGCTGGGTTAATAGGGAGGGAGTTGCTGCGATAGAACCATTTTTCAAAAGTTTACAGCTTTAGAACATGTACTAGCCGTGAGACTTGCTTACAATTTAAGACTTGTGCTGGTTAAATTACTACATCACAGTGTTCTTGAAGAGGCAGAGAGCTGCTTCTTAAGGTCGAGGACTTCGAGTGCTTTTGATGCTAACTTGTCCTTTAGCTTTGCAGATGCTTCCTCGAACTTCCTGTTCATAATCTCTGATTCTTTCACAGACTGCTTGTGCCTTAGACAGATTGCATCTAAGCGTGCCTGCGTCCCTCTCAGTCTCATTTTTAGCTTTGCCTTCTCCTTGTTGTCTGCATCTGCGTCCTGCAATCAGATAAATGAATTGGTTCTTTCAGAGTCAAGGTTCAATCTTAATCACTGAAAGAAACATAATCAGACATTTTACTTGGCATTACCTTGGATTCTTGGCTTGAGACTTTACGAGTCATTTCTTCAGATGGATTTTTTGCATCTTCAATCTGACAGCAGTAATAGGGTTTTAGCGAGAATGAATGGTTAATGGTATGTCTGTAATAGAATCATGTCTGTGAGCGCTTAACCCAAACCTGAAAACGATTTGATGAAGCGAGTTCCTTACTCAACTCCTCTATGCGTCCTACCAAACTCTGGCGCTCACTTGTGACATGATTAAGCTCTTTCTGAAGTGTATCTGACATCTCGCAAATGCTCTGAAGTTCGGACTTTAGAGTGTCAATATCAGACTTGAGAACCTGGAGGCACACAAAATAAAATAAAATTCTAGTTTTCTAATAGAAATTGCAATTTAACCTCTGCATCAGACGTTCAGAGAGAAAACATTTTTGCATAAACTAGTGAACTGATTCTTACCTCTTGAGATTGTTTACTCACGGCATGAGCTGATCGAAGTTCATCACCCAGTCTATCAATCTCTAAAGACTTCTCCATGCTACAAGGGAACAACATAAAATGAGTTATATTCAGAGAATAAAGGGGATATAATTTTAACTTTCTAAAGTAAGAGAAATGAAAATTACAAACCTGTATTTTTCTTCCTGCTTAGCATTCTCCTCAGAACATCTTAGCCTTTCAGCAATAGTAACACATTCAAGTCGACAAGATTCCAGCTCCCTCTTTGCCTAAAAGTTTACAGGGATCGAGAACTTAAAAGAGCATGATAAAATTTAACAAAAGGGTTTTTCCTTCAGAACATATACTAGATGTAGAGAAATCATAAGAAAACCTTTCGATACTGATGATAGTTATACCGAAGTTTTCAGTGTTATTCAAAAATCACCACTCAAGCTAACAAGTTGACAATTCTAAAGGGTAACATCCAAAATGATTAAAGGACCACAATGTTGCAAGAAAAGTTCGAATTTTAATCTTACTATTAGAGGTTGCTTGTTTGTCGTTTAGAACATACCTCTGACATTTCTTTAGATAGTGACTTGATTTGTATACTATATAGTCTGATCTTTTCCTCCATGGCATCGGTCAAAGCTTTTTCTTTCGAGCTCCATATTGCTTTCTCCTCCTCCATCTCCAAAAGTGAGTTAGCCAGATGCTGAACAACACGAAAAATTACTGAATTAACATAGAAGAGTACTAAGTTCAGAACCTGTCTTCAGAATCACCATACCATTGCGAGATCTTCCTTTTCTTCAAGCAACTGTTTAATATTGGTTTCCAGTTGTTGCTGATCAGAAGATGAGCCTTCAAGCCTGGTTTTCTGTAAAAAAGGCATAGCATACGGTTGAGCAAACGCATAGTTTCTTGGGGTACACTAGTTGCTTCAAATTTAATATCAACAACTTATGGATCAATGAAAAGACGTACGAGCTCCATGACATCTTTTTGCAGATGTTCTAGTTGGGTATTTGAGTGATCTAGTTTCTCTGTCAAAGCTATAATTTCTGATTCTAAACCTTCTTTTCCACATAGTGCCTCCTCTTTTTCTCCACGCTCAGCAGCCAGCTCCTCTTCCAGTGAAGCAATTGTTGTTTCCATTTCAAAAGCAAGCACTTCAAGATTTCTAAACTCTTCCTGATAAATGTGAAGTAGACATGAGAATAAGCATTTTCATTTAAACAAAACTTATATATATCCACCAAAAGGACTGATATGGCTTGCCATTGAGAAAAAAAAAAAAAAAAACAAAATATGGAAATAACAATTTCTATCAGGAATGTGATATGAACCTTTGTTCACACACAAATTAAGAGAAGGATATGAAAGCTTAGCTCCCTCTTAACCCTAATTCTCTCTTAGAGATTAAGGTTAATTCTTGGGGCTTAGTTTATTATTCAGACCCTTATATAGGTCTTGATACAACTTTAAGCATAACCCTAATGTAAAAAGGAAATCATGGAAACCTAATTAATAAATTAAAACACCAAAACCATTAACTAAAAACCTTCTAACGATACTACAAGCTCTTTAACCATAGTCTTGTATCAGAATGCTCACGTAGTGTTCAAGCAAAACTAAACTCAGCCAATAGACCGAGATTTGCTACTCGATATTACAGTAGTAAAAAGAAAGATATGCGGCAAAACAATCATTAGATATACCTGCAACGACTGGTTTGCACTTCTCTCAACAATAAGAGAGTCACGTCTTTTACCAGCAAAGGACTCCTGTTTGTTGATATCTCTCTCGAGGAGGGCCTTCTGGCTATGCAATCGTTTTAACTCTCTCTCCGCAGATGCTTTCTCGGCCTTCATCAGAACATCAGAGTTATTGTATAACTTAGATAGGCTATTCAATCTAGTACTATAAATACGCACGCTGAGAAATGGGTTCTACAGCACACCTCTAGCTTGGTTTTATCCTGCATGACATTCTTAAGCTTAGATTCAGTGTCTTTAAGCTTTGTTTTCGTCTTCTCAAAATCTTTCCTTAGATTCTCCTTCTCTTTGGCCAAAGAAGAGGATGATAGACTTGCTATATCCTTCTCAAGACGTTCTATGTGAGAGAGGAAATCTGACCTATCGGACTCATGCTGTTCTGTGAGCATCTGACAAATGGTAAAACAAAAAGTTACTTCTCACACTGGAAATTAGGAGGAAGAGAAGTATAAAACTCTGAATAAGTAATTTTGAAAACCGAAATACCATTAAGGAAGTATCATGCTCTTGGGCTTCCTGATTTAGTCTTTCTATTTGGCTTTGCAGATCAGCACACTGCTCTTGCAACAGAAGCTGAAAAGGAATATCACGACTTGAGATAAAAAAATACCCACAGATTTACCATCAAGTGCAAGATGAGAAGAGAACAAAAAGTGTTCGGCACCTTCTCATTCTCAGTATCAAGAACTTTTTGTTCCAGACAAGATTGGACATTCTGGTAGCTGCTGATAAGTGAAGCATGTTGCTCAACAATTTGTCGCAAAGATAATGTGAAGTCCTGCAGTGAGAAATATTAACTTATTGAGGTATGCTGAATAAACGATGCCAGAGAATATGCCAAAAGACGCAGAGTACTTACATGTATCAAAGGAGAAAAGAAAGCAAAATCTTGGAGACCCTCATCCATAACTAACGATATGGTTTCTAGTGATGCTTTAGATTTTTGAAATTCGGACACTAAGACTTCAACTTCTGTTGATACGTAAACCAGAGAGTTTAAATTCTCCTTCACAATAACAAGTAAGAAAATCAATTAGGAAATGGTGAAATGGTTGAGAACAATAATAATCTAACTTGAGAATTTCAGATTAATGGGATATATATAACCAACATTTAGCACATGAATAACTTCAGATTCCTTGGACACAAGTTGTTCACGAGCAAACTGGGCCTCTTCTCTGGCAGCACGCATCTCTTCCTGAATCTACAGGATTTCATACAACATAAGAAGGTTTCAAACCGTAGAATTGTACCAAAACAAGACTAGAAAGCTGACTGAAAAAACGAACTCTTTTAAAGACAAATAAATGCACAATGTAAAATGAAAGGTCATCCGCAATCTAATGATGGTGTTTCCATTCACATTCAACAAACTCTCATGCTGTGTGAGGCTAGGCAATTTTGGATTTGAGAAGATTGCAGAAAGTAACATAGGGAATAAATTGATTTTCCTTGACCATGAACATTTGTTAATAATAAGAGTCTATGTGATAGAACAGTTCACATTTTCCCAAAACATGAAATCAACAACTAAAACTATATGGTCATATTCATGAAAATTTATTTTTCTCTGAACCTTATAACCAATTTCTTAAATTTCAGTAGTCAAATATGCTATGAAGCACAAAGGCGCTTATGTTTCTAGGTGGCTGTACGGAACCGCAAAGCACAATCAGTTAAGGAACCACAGATACCTCAGCAATTTTTTCCCTGGCACATATATTCTGCTCAGTAGCTACCGTCACAAGATCATCAAGATTTTGCTTGCTTGAAGACTTCTCCATTTCTAGTATGTTTATCTTTTGGAAAAAACACATGAAGGTTAAGCGAAAAGCCAAAATGGAAGCAACAAAAGCTACTTAAGTAGGCGTTCCGGTTGTAGGTAAAGAGAAGAAGAAATGTACCTTCTCTTGGAGTTGCTTAATGAGAAGGATAGCTTCTGGATCCCTAAGATGTACACCGTTTTCATCCCGATCAACATTTCCAACGACTCCACAATCTGAATGCTTGCATTTTTCTTCGCCAGATAAACCGTCTTCAAACAACTTTGCCTTAAGGCACTCTATTTGTATTTTGTTGACGATGCTCTATTGACAGGTGTGGACAAATAAGAAATAGAAAACACAAACGACTGATATTGAGAAGGACAAGCTATTACCTCGGTTTCATATTGCAAGAAAAGATCCTCATATTGCCTTTGAATTCTTTCTAGCTCGTTTTCAACCTATGAAACATTAACAAAATGACAGCTTCACAACAAGAAAAGTACAAGATACATTCAAAAAGAGGAAGACTGACCACCACTACGGGACTTTTCTGCTTGATTGGAGGTTTCTTTCTGCTAGTCACATGCACTAAAGCACATGGATCTGGAAGTGCAGAAACTTCGAGGGTTTCATTAATACTCTCTTCATCTTGCTCGCTGATGTTATATAATGGTTCATTTCCCACCAGTTCCGAAAATGGAAGTAGTGGACCTCTCTCACGCTCGGATCTTGATTTAAGAGATGATCCCCTTGACAAAACATTAGACTGAACCTGATACGCAAGTAGCACAGTATTTTTATGGCTGAAAAAATCAACATTTTCTCAAGTTTTTGTTGGCATTTATACAATACTCACCTCTGATGTGGAGTCTCGTGAAAGGTGACCAGTACACCATGTATCCCTCCTCTTTCCCTGCAAGCAAATAACATATCTAACCTAAGAAGAGATGGGAGCAAATGCAACAACGATACTCTAAATTCACTCAACAGTGACATGCTAATGTCTTAAGGAACAACAGCATTCAACAACAATATGCTGCCATCATTCTAACTGACTAATCAATAATTAGGTTAGTAGTTATATAGCATATCATTTTCCACTACAAAAGCAATTGTTTGGCCTCTTTTCACTATGGTTCTGTAATTTTCAGTTTTGCAATACATGTATAGCAACAGATGCGGTTTAACACTCTTAAAGTAACGAAAATTATTTGGACGGAAGAAACAGGATAAACCTTCTTAAACTGATCCTGCTCACGCTTCTCATCTCTATTCGAAAGGAGAACCATTGAACTCAAGTTCTCAATCTTCTTTGCTTGCATTTGCAGAACTTTTTCCCTCTGAGCTTGTGCCTTTTTCTCCTCTTCTAACTCGAGCGCTATCCGCTCTCTCTCTAACTCAGACTGCATAGAAACAGGTTGTATCAAGAACATATTAAAAAACTAAACAAGTAGGGAATCAAGACCACAAATGCCAGACCTTCAACAAGGTGTTGCGAAGGTTAAGAATCTCTTCTTCCGAATGGTCAGAGTGAGAAGCCTGCAATAGAAAAGCTGATATTGTACTTTAAACAAAATCATAAATAATAACTTTCAGAAACAAAACTTTGAAAACAACTTAGCAACCTTTAGTTTGGATCTGAGCTCTTCTATCTCCTTCTTTTGCCGCTTTAATAGGGCAGCATCAGTCAATATCTATATCATAAACACAAGAATGGATGGATATTAGCTTTTTTTAAAATAAGCATCTTATATACAAAACTTAACCAGAAAGTATGGTACAAAGATAGAGAGAAAGAGCGATTGATGATTTGGATCCTACCTCATTGACATGCGCACAGTTAGTAACACGCAGTGCTCGGCTAGCAAACAGTAGACTGCTCTTGGTTTCATCTGCATGAATCTACCATCAAAACGAAAATAACATTGTTAGTTGTACCAAAGCAAACAAAAAGGACAAAACTCAAGACTCTTATTTTCTCTGCCTGGCTTATCCAGATGTCATATTATTGGTGATTGATACGTACCGGTGCAAGTGTTATATTGCAAATGATAGCTGTATTTGCATTTCCACCTAAAGCGGGCTGCAAGATCCTTGTCAGCTTGCTGTCTCGGTACGGAACATGACCACTGATTCAACCAAAGAAAATCTCAATAAGATTAAACACTTACATGCTTCTTTCTCTTACAAAATTCGACCCCATAAAAAAAGTAAACTTACCCTTGAGTCTCAACTCCTTCACTCAGTTTCTTAATTACAGTCCCAAGTGTCATCAAGCTTTTATTTATATGCGAGCCCTCCTTTAGCCTAACACCCTCTGCACCGGTTTTTGCCGCCCGTTCTGAACCAGCTAGATCCACCAAATTCTACAAGTAAAAGGAAAGATGAAACAGACAATAATATATTGCATACAAGGGAAACAAAAACAATAATTCCAACAGATAATACCAGAACAGAAACACGGACTGCATCACAGGTATTTCCAACAACGTCATCTTGCGTCTTCTGTCTACTCTCTATAATCTGTTTTATGAAAAATCAGGTAAGCTAAAACTCAACCTACGTTTAATTGAGCTCTAAGGTTGAGTGTATATATATGTTTACCATGCGGAAAATAGTGTGAGATCTACTGCTGTAAAGATTCATATTTGTCTCCCCAATATGCCGATGAGCTGAAATTTTTTATTCCAAATACAAATGAAGACCCATTCACCAAATCATTTCTAGCAAAAACAGAGAAAATGATGTGAAGAGAACAGAAAGTACATTCTCCAAATTCCATCATTTCGAGGACTTGTTGAGGAGAAGCCACAATTTCTTCTCGTAATCCAGCAACAAATATTCCTTTCTAAAGCATTAACATTCAAAAACACATCAGAATCTCTAGATGATTTTGTTAAAAGATGATTCTAAGAAAGACATATCAATATACCTCTAGATTTTCATGAATCTGTAGTTTCCGGTGTTCAGGAGCCAACAAATCGTTTATATCTTCATTGTAAATCTCCAGGTAGGACATACGCAACAGAAACTCCCTACTTGCATCCTTGAGGGTTCAAAGAAAAGTAGAAAACCATTGTTCCTCGAATCAATAACTTTCCACAAATAACACCAAATCTAAAAGAAATCCATTTTAACAAACATAGACAGAGAGGAATGTGATGAAACCTGATATATAGTCTCAAATAGATCATATACAGCGAGAGGGATGACTCCAGGTTCAGTAGGTGAGCCTCGCATTGTATGAGTCTTGCCACTGTTAGTTTGACCGTAAGCAAACACAGTTCCTTCGTACGAAACATATATCATTAGCCAAAAAATGAAATGCTCAGCACAATTGCAAACTCCATAAAAACCGAAACTTTGTAAAGAATACGAGCCACATATTACTGAGAAATCAAAATTGAAGCAAAAAAATCAGTAAATCAGCGAAAACCATCAGAGTAATTGTTGAGTTTACCGTTGAATCCACGAACGGCAGCAGCCACGATCTGCTTCGTGCGTGCTTGATAGACTTCGACAGTTTTACAGTCTTCTCTAAAAATCCGATCTATTGTTGCAAAAGAGAGAGATTGGGCATGGAAATTCGAAGCTGAATACGAAATGGAAAGAAAATTGAGGAGACGACTGAAGAAAAGGGAGAGTACCAAATTGAAATGAGGGAGAAGGCTGATTGGGCATGGAAATTGAGTCGGAAGAGATATTCCAGGGACTCGTCTTCGCGTCCTCCGTAGAAAGCGGCCGGGCTCTGACTGAGACATGGATTCTCTCCATTTTCCCGACTCCGATTGTCTTCTCCGGTAACCAAAGAGTCAGACCTAAAAGCTCAGGTGTTCGAAATTTTCCCTCCCGCTCCCCAAAATGTTGCCTTTCAATTTTTTTTCGAATTTTAAAGACCGGATCGAACCGGTTGATTAATATACCAGACGAGAAACCGTCCCGGCTAATTACCGAGTATCTTAAATTCGCCTCTTTGAATCAAATTGTACTGTAATGTTTGTCTTGTCGCTATAATGATATTAATCAACTTTCTAGTTATAGTAAAGTGAAGTCTATGAGATTAATATTTACTTGCATATCGATCTTTAACATAAATGGGTCATGTGACACACGTTACAAGTGTACATAAATATAGGAGTACAGAAACAACTTCAGCGAATTTGGCAAATTTTCTTAGTGAACCCATGGGACCCCAAACAATAAACAGTCAATTTCATCAAGACAGACTATAGGTATATATCATGTATTAAACTATTAATTCGATATCGCTACTATAGGTATGTATCATGTATTAAACTATTAATTCGATATCGCTACTATACAATGGTTTTGAAAGACTTTAATTTCTTAACGAGAAGATATACAAAAGATAACGTAACAACCGTACTACGTCACTACTATAACTAGAGAATGGATTGTGTTTGTTTACAACGATAACGAGTAGCCCTAGTAATAAAATGCCATTACTAATTTCTTACTAGTAAAAGTCAAACAGACAGCAGCTTTACTCTTGATGCAGAGTCAATCAAACCTAATGCAGAGTGTCAGTAACTTTGTGATACACGTTAATCCAATAAAGTACCTCCATTGTAATCCAATAAGGATTTGGTTCTTGCTTTTTGACATGTTTCCACCATTGCAAAGATTTGGACCATTGAAAGTAATTCACCAGCTATACTTTCCAACATATCAGCTACATAAAAATAAATTGAAAAACATCGGCTAAGAATATGTTCATCCAAGTGCCCCGTCTGGCCATCGTTTGAAAATTTACAAAATATTTGCTTAGCTACGAGACCGATCCGAAATCTTAAGTTATGATCAAAAAGAGCAAAATTCAAGAAACACAACAACGATGAGTAATAGACAAAAATTGGTTACATGCACAAATCCATACCCAACAGGATTGATCCCAACGGAAACTCGGATTCCAGTTGATTTTTGTTCCCACTGGTAGACCAAAACAAAAATTTGGCCCTATCGATTATTTCTTTTCCTTTTTTCCAAACCGGTCAAGATTTTAAATTTTTAGTTCAGACTGATTCGTGATTAGTGTAGGTTTATTTTTTGTCTTTATATAATCATAAATCATCTTTGATCTTATCCTATCGTTAGCAAGATTTATTCTAAGCTAAAACGCCGTTTTTTTAATATATTTATCTTGATTTGTAGATTTCTAGAACTTGTAATTATCCTGTTTACAGCTGCAGAAATTATTTTTCACTGCAAAAATGCGAAGTCAGAAAAAGAACAAAATATTTACATGCGGAAATCGGAATAAGAAGTTTGATTTGACCAAAAAAATTTAGTACAGTATAATATATGAATATGAAAGAAAAAAAGGTGTTTCTTGTATATATTCACAGTTACATTGCATGTGATTGTGATTCATAAAAATCCGCTAACAATTGTCGGAATATGATCGTAGATATTTCATCCAAAAATCTTCAGCTAGCAGGTTTTTATCCAAAAGATCCTTCAAACACGCAGCTAAAGATAACAAGAAAGTCGTTAAAAAAAAAAAAAAAAAAAGATAACAAGAAAAAAAAGTCGCACGTAATTAAAGTCACTCGCCTTTTAATTATACTTTTCACTTTTTCAGTTAGTCCAAAGTACAGTTATTAGTTTATTACATTACCAAAAGTAAATAAACAAATAAAATTAAAAATTAACTGTGAAAGCCGATAAAGCTCACTAGGAAACTTCGAGGAAATTGCCAATGTGTAACTCACACTTGACTCCCATTTAACCCCCTCACTTCCTTTCATTTCATCTTCACTACATTCCTCTTTCATCATCAATCCTTAATTTCCACAATGAAACTCGCCAAATTCAATCCAAAACGTTTGTTCAGATCCAAAGATCCATCCACAGTTTCTAAATCCGGCTCTTCCTTCGGATCCGCTTCCTCCTCCTCTTCCGGCGCCGACTGTAAAAATCCACCCGTCGTCGTCACCGGCGGTTCCGTCACGCCGACTAGCATTCTCCCGGAGGTCTCCGGCTCCGGCGATCCTTCTCCCTATTCGTACGTCGAGATCCTCCAGGCGTTTAAGCTGATCGACAGAGACAACGACGGAGCCGTCTCGAGACACGATCTGGAGTCGCTGCTAAGCCGTCTCGGACCTGATCCGCCGACGAAGGAGGAGATCGACGTCATGCTCCGGGAGGTGGATCGCGACGGCGACGGTACGATCCGTCTGGAGGAGCTCGCCAGCCGCGTCGTCTCGTCGGATCAGGCTCGCGATTCGACTGAGCTGAAGGAGACGTTCGAGTTCTTCGACACGGATCGCGACGGTTTTATCACGGCGGAGGAGCTTCTCCGGGTTTTCTCGACCATTGGAGACGAGCGGTGCACGTTAGACGATTGCAAGCGCATGATAGCTTCTGTTGACGACGACGGTAACGGATCCGTATGCTTCGCCGAGTTCTCCCGAATGATGGATCTCCCGCGTTGATCTTCCTTTGAATTTAGTTCACTGTTTTTTTTTTGTTTTTTTTTTCCTTTTTCCATGAAGCTCTTTTTGCCCTAATGTGGGTTGTGACTTATGAGTATCGTTTGTTTTCTTGAGAATTAGGGTTCTTAAGAGTTGAGTTAGTGTCTATAATTTTGGAATCTGAATGAAGAAATGGTGAAAGATGAGGCTGATCTTTCCACCTACATCTCTTTGCTTTTACATTACTGATCTCAAGATTCTAACTTAAAATGATTTTTATAATCTGATATTGAAAGTAAAGAAATTCGAAAGAATCCGATGATCAAACTGAATTTGGAGAATCTATTTTTAAACTGTAAAGATCTAGCCATTTCTTAATTTTTTAAATATGCATTAGATTTGAGAATATGCAGAGTTTGCAGCTTTTTAGTTAATTGTCTTTTTTGGAAACAAGTGTTTTTAATTATGTTAATTAATTTATATCCATTAGTAATAGAGAAGCTCAACATGTGAGGGCATCAGAAGTTTAATTGCTCTATATTCCATTAAATTGGAACAGAAAAACAGCGGTCCAATTTGTCAGAGACTTTCAAGAGTTCAAGACATGTTCTTTGATTGCTCTTGTGATTATAAGATTCTTTTCCATGTAAAAATAAATTGTAACTACTGCCATTACTAGAACAATATGGATAAAAGAGTCGTTTGATTTATAATGATGAAGGAGTAATAAACAATTTTTATTTTTATTTTTTTGCAATATTACTATAATATTAGCCTCTCGTGCTGCTACTTTTTTTGCAATACAATAATGAGAGAGTAATAAGCTGTTTTTGTTTTTCGTCATTAAAACAAAAGCAACTAAGCTAAACTGCATGAATACATATGAAGTCAGATCAAGAGTTGGAGGTTGAAGATGAAGGAGAGTGACTACGAGTGGTGGAAGGAGGAGGAAGCCTTTTGGCATAGCAGCTACAACGTCCGTTATAACAAATTGGCATCTTTCCTGTATTCTTACATCTTGGAATTCCAATTTCAACACAGTCTCTATCTGTTTGACATATATCTCCAACCGTCATCATCACCATGCCTGTGAAATCAATGTACACACATATATAAACAATTTATTAGATATTTTTTTGAAAAAATATTAAGATTCAACATCAAAAGTTCAAAACTAAAAGTGTTTTCCTAGCAAAAAAACTAAAAGTGTTTGGTCGAGATCAAATTCTTACACGACGAGACGAGGAAGAGAATGACAAAAAATGCTGATATCTTCTCCATTTTTTTGTTCTTTGATTGGAGATGATCTTGAATTCATAGGACTCCTACAGTCCTACTTATATAAGTTGAACAAAGGTTTACTACCATCGAAGTATATGTGATTTGTCTCATACTAAATACATTTGTAATATAGTTGGTCAAAAAATATTAATTACTCCTTATCTTTTTGGTTTGTCAACAAAAACTAACCAAATATAATATTCCTCACTTTTTTTTGTGACTACTAACTTTCCAAACGAGTGAGTGATTAGAAGATCGTTTAGAGATTACGAGATCGAAATGAATCTAGTTAGTATCATAACTCAATATTTATATTCGTTCAAAATAGATCTCAAATTATCATCGCAATACATATGATGCATCAATCGGTCCAGTCCAAAAGCTTCCTACGGGCTAAAAGTAAACCCGGTCCGAATGTGTTTGGTTTAATCTAATTTCAATTTCGACACGTCTAACAAAGTCAGGAGGTGACATCATCTCTCCGAAGCTGAGCTCAGCTTCTCCTTCACAAATTGTTGAATTCGAACGAGTAAGACTAAAGAGCGTTACAGACTTACAGTAGAAAGTAGAAGCAGAAGAAGAGGGAGAAGAAAGAGCGAGAAAATCGTCAATAGAGAGAAATTAAAAAGAGAAAAAACAATGGGAGGTTATGTATGCGGTGGCGCCGGAAGATCAGGACAGACGATAATGGTGGCTCTGGTTCTGATGGTCGGATCGTTCTACGCCGGCTCTCTCTTCGGCAACAACCAACCCCTTTACATCTCTCAAGCTTCTTCTCAATCTGGTCCCTTCTCTCTCTCTCTCTCACTCTCTCTATATTTTCTCTGTTTCCTCTGCATGCGGTTTGGATTCTTGTTGATTCAATTTGAGAATTGTTTGCAGCAACTCTCTCCAAATTCGCGAACAAAATCGAGCTGACTCACCGAACCACACCGCTAATCATACCTGAAACCGGAATCAACGTGTGTCCATTGAAGTTCAACGAGTACACTCCTTGTCACAACGCCACATACGTTCATCAGCTTCACATTCCTCGCTCGAGACTCTCTAGAAGAGAAGAGCTCGAGAGACACTGCCCGCCTCTCGAGCAGCGTCTCTTTTGCCTAATACCTCCACCGAAAGATTACAGGTTGCCTATCAGATGGCCAACAAGCAGAGACTATGTATGGAGAAGTAATGTGAACCATACACATCTCGCTCAACTTGGACAGAACTGGGTGCATGAACATGGACGGTTTTGGTGGTTCCCTGGTGGTGGTACTCATTTCAAACATGGAGCTTCTGAATACATCCAGAGGTTGGGGAACATGATGACTAACGAGACTGGTGATTTGCGTTCGGCTGGGGTTGTACAAGTTCTTGATGTTGGATGTGGAGTTGCAAGCTTTGCTGCTTATCTTCTCTCTTTAGGTATACAGACGATGTCGTTTGCTCCTAAAGATAGTCATGAGAACCAGATTCAGTTTGCGTTGGAGAGAGGCATTGGTTCAATGATCTCTGCATTTGCTACCAAACAATTACCGTATCCTTCAGCCTCGTTTGATATGGTTCATTGTTCGAGGTGTCGTGTCGATTGGCATGCAAATGGTATGTTTCTTGCTGTTGAATTTGGCTACTTGCAGTGATAATTGGTCATATTATTAAATAATTCTGCAGATGGGATCTTGCTTAAAGAAGTTCATCGTCTGCTTCGAAACGATGGATACTTTGTGTATTCGTCACCGCCAGCTTATAGAAAGGATAAAGAGTATCCTATGATTTGGGATAAGTTGGTGAATTTAACTACCACAATGTGTTGGAAGCTCGTTTCCCGGGAGGTACAGACTGCGATATGGATGAAAGAAGAGAACGAGGTTTGCCTTAGGAAGAATGCAGAGCTAAAGCTTGTAAGTTTATGTGATGTGGAAGATGTTTTGAAACCATCATGGAATGTTCCTCTAAAAGACTGTGTGCAAGTTAGTGGACACAGTGAAGAGAGACACTCTTCTTTAGCTGAACGTCTTTCTATGTACCCTGCAACTCTAAGAAACACAGGTTACATTTCTTCTTCTCAACTCATTGTAGAGATGGCTGTTAGATTTCTCTAACTACGTAAACCGAAATTTTTGTCAGGCATCGGTGAAGATGAGTATATGTCAGACGCAATCTTCTGGAGAGAACAAGTTAGTCATTACTGGCGGTTAATGAATGTTAATGAGACACAAGTGCGGAATGTGATGGACATGAACGCGTTCGTTGGTGGATTTGCTGCGGCTATGAGCTTGTACCCTGTTTGGGTGATGAACGTAGTACCTGCTACAATGAATGATACCTTGTCTGGTGTTTTTGAGAGGGGCTTAAATGGCGCTTTCCATGATTGGTAAGCATTTTAAACACCTCTTTTTTTTGTGTTTTGCTTCCTGACTCTTGCCAAGAACCAGCACCACTTAGTTAAAAGCAAATGTGTCTTAGGTGTGAGCCGTTCTCAACATACCCTCGTACATACGATTTGGTGCATTCGGATCATGTCTTCTCACATTACCAGAGTCACGGTGATGGTTGTTTGCTGGAGGATATCATGCTTGAGATGGACCGCATTATTCGCCCTCAGGTACTTTCTTCTGTCACTATTCCAACAATGGTGCCACTACAGTATACATGACCGTATGAAGCGTCAATGCAGGGGTTTGTGATTATAAGAGATGAGGAATCGATAACCTCAAGGATCCGAGACCTGGCTCCTAAATTTCTATGGGAAGTGCAAACTCATCAGCTGGAAAACAAATACAACAAGACAGAAACTGTTCTGTTTTGCAGAAAGAGATTCTGGGCAATCATCTGAAAAAGACCAGTTCTGTTTGTTTATAATCTCTTTGGTCTACAAGTAAGAAAGTGAAAGTTACAAATCACCACTTTTGTTCGTTTTTTTATTTTAGAATGTCTCTGTACATGTGTTTGGAGCAAAAGCTAAAAAATGATTCCATAGCATTTATATCTTCATAGTTCATAACAGAGTTTGTTTCTCAACTAATCAACCTCAATAATTACACATATGATTATCTGATTTGGTACTGATTTGGTCCAACATCAATCAAGCTCAGATTGAAACTGAAGTGTTTTTACAACGATAACTCTATACAACAAACATAAACATAAAAGTTCTGGCTTAACAAAGAGAAAACGTACTACGAGACCCATCTGCTCTCGTACCGGTTAAGCGAGAACGATGAAGATTGAACCTCGGTCAACTGGAAAGGATCCGGTTCGATTCCATAGTCTGTCAACGGTCTATGCTCGAGCACATTGTCGTGGTTCTTCACAAAGTCCGGAATCTCCACCTCGCCTTTCTTTATTTCATCCCAAAGGTACTGCAACCGGCTCACATACTTGATCTTCCAGTACAATCTACAATGTTGCAAGAGAAAATTTCAACTAATGTAAGCTTAAACGCTACTTATTATGAGTTTAGTGATGATGGATATAAGACAAAAATGCTTACCCTCCACTAAGAAGAAGGCGGCCGAGAGTGGCGATGACAAGTCTTGAACGAAGACCAGGGTGGACGAAGTAAACAACTTGAAGTCTATCTTTGATATCTGAAGGAAGATCCTCGTAGATCCATCTTAAGATTGTAATGCCCGGCGAGTTATCGTCCTTTTGCACTGTGCTATGCATGTAAACCAAGGAGTACGGTCCCTCGGGACATTCGTTGATTATCTTCTGGAATATATACTTCTTCAGCCGCTCCGCACTCACCACACGAGCTACGTTGCGTTTTCATACCCAAAAAAATCAATTAGCCAGTGAACCAAATCAAAACTCAATAGGGAAGAAGGAGATAAACAAGACCAATGAGAGACTGAAATGCACGGAATTTAAAGCCTCAAGAACACCAAAAGTCTAAACTTTACCAAAAGTTGATGATCCAATAATCAAAACAAGCCAAATCAGAAAACATCGACAGCCAGAAATCGGAGATTCAACAGTTTAGATCACCGATTCACTGGTATGAGCTTGGAAAGATAAGAAACCATACAAGCATGTGCTTATGATCAAGTTCGCAACTTTAAATCACAAAATTCTAAGAACCATTTCAACTTATAGCAATACCGATTATGAATCTTCACTATACGACGATCGAGTGTAAATTGGCGAGTAGTGACAGTGTAATTACCAGGAAAGTACTTTCCGACGATGCGGAAAATCCGGTTACCGGACTTATCCAAGCCCTGGAGGGTGAAGAACTGGAGAAGGTCGAGATCGGAGAAATCTTCGTCTCCGAGGTACTGAGCACAATCTTGCCAGTTCTCTTCCTCATCAATCTCATCGCTTCTCGTTAAGAGCGATCGAGCATCAATTCCTAGATCAGAAGCTAACACAAGCACCGAGAAATCTTCAGCCATCGCCGGAAATTTCTCCTCCTTCTCTACCTTTTTCCTCGTCGTGTGCTTCAGTGTCTTGGCTAAGGATTAAAAGGCTATACTATCCTGCGGGAGAGTACATAAAGGTTAACGTGCGACTGAAACACGTGGCAAAATCTAAACGAGTCTTTCAAAACCAAAATTGCGACCACGATTTCAATTTTCTGCAGTCACTCACTCCATCTCTCCCACACGACGGCGGCTAAAACGTCGTCGTCTCTTATATATTCTCCTCTCGTCGGTTGTCTGAACTTCTTCGCTTCTCGAAGGATCTCTCCGGTTTCCGTGGTACATTCCTCCGATCCGGCGATATTTGATTCAATTTCCGAGAAGTCAGTCTCCTAGCTCAAAATCAGCAAAGAAGGTAATCGTTTTTCTTGGTTTTCACGGCGGGAAAAATCGAATCCGATTCCGAAATGCCATTCACGTAAGTGACGGAACAGAGTTTTTGTCAGGTGTGGAGGTAAACAAAAATGGCGGCTTCACGGTTACAGATGGAAGGAGACGACTCTGTGCTTCTACACATTACTCACTCCAACCTCAAGAGCTTCGGTGCGGATGTTCGTTTCTCTCCGCAAGTGAGTCAAAACACCAGTACTACTAATTCAGCTGTATTATACGTATTTCTATCTCTGAAACAAAATACCATTTGGTTTATGTTGTGAAGATGAGTGTGGAAGCTGTGAAAGAAAAGCTATGGAAGAAATGTGGGACATCTGTTACTACCATGGCTTTAGAGCTCTATGATGACAGTGGCTCCAAGGTTGCTGTTCTCAGTGATGATACAAGACCTCTCGGTTTCTTCTCCCCTTTTGATGGGTAACACTTCTGTTTTCTTTTGATGAGTTTGGAGAATTGGCTTCTTGTTTGATCTGAGCTGTTCTTTTTTGCTGCTTTCAAAAGGTTTCGGTTGCACATCATAGATCTTGACCCCTCTTCGGTCACAACAGGAGGTTGGCTTGAAGATACGTCCTTGGTTGAGAAGTATACAATCTCAGAAGAGGATTATGCTAAACGAACTGGTAACTTCTATGGTACCTAGAACAAGTGTCTCAAAAGAGATATGTTATTTTGTTATTATATCAAGTGAATATGCCGGAGCACTTTCAACTTCCGTTTAATGATATGTTATTGTGTTCAAATTTTCAGATAGTTTTAGGAAATTCAAAGAAAAACGAGTGTCTCAAAATCCGGCTGCTTCTGAGGCTAAGGTAATGAGAAAACGATTATGTATCAGTATAAGCCAAACTGTTATTGCTTCCTGTCAAACTGAATCTTTTAGCAGAGTCACTAGCAAATGTTTGGGATTAGATTTTTATTCATTAAAGAATACAAAGGTTCTTATGATTCTCCTTCCAACCTAATCCTTTTTCTGCAGACGAAGGAGAACTTCATGGAAGATCTCTGTGCAAACATCAAGGTTCGTCAGATTCTTTTGTATATAAAAAAAACTTCTCATTGCCTTTCATTTTAGAATTTTTGCTTTAGTCTGAAGAGCTAATCAGCAACTGTCTTGTTAATTGTGAGACCTGACCTCTGTATTCTGGCTCTAATTTCCTTAAGGTGGGAGATAGATGCGAAGTTGAGCCCGGAGAGAAAAGAGGAATGGTCAAATATGTTGGAAGAGCAGAGTCATTGGGTCCTGGCTATTGGGTTGGAATTCAGTATGATGAACCCCTTGGAAAACACGATGGCATGTATGTGAATTCTTCTGGAATCTTGATCTTTTTTTAAGGGTCTTAATCTTATACCATATGAAAAGTACAATATGCCGAAGCTCAGTTGTCAGATTCACATGTTTAATACTGGCTTATATATGCAGGGTGAAAGGAACAAGATTCTTTGAGTGTCCTCAGCTTCATGGCGGAATGGTCCGGCCAGACAAAATAAAGGTAATTTCTTTTTTCTTAAGGTCTTAGCATCACATTTGCTCAACTTTTTCCACTCTGCATGTCAAATAGCCTATCATACATAGTACAAAACTGGTTAGTCGTTCTTGGACATCATCCAGTTTTTACCTTACTAAGATGCTTATATTAAGAGTATGGAGTCCCACATTAGTTAGCTATAGGACTAGCGTGTGCCTTATAAGCCTAATGAACTTTATCTCTCTGAAGCTAACTATTTGAGTGTGAACTTGGTTTGGCCCTACTAAGGACTAGGTTCTTTGCTTATGTAAAGTAGTTGGCTGGTATGGAAACCATTATCTGCTACTCAGGAACTTGATGTTGGCTTGCAGGTTGGTTATTATCCCGAAAGAGACCCTTTCGAGGAAGATGAAATATAAGATTCACGGAAGCATCAAACCAGTGACCGGAAATGGAGCTTGAAAAAAATTGCTTTTGTCTTTTACATCCACTCTTTATCTTATTACACTTCGCCTCTAGTTTCGGGTTTTACAAGAGTTGATGAAAACACAATGCAAAACTAAGTATTTTAAGTTTAATGAAGAACTAGTAAATCTTTGATCTCACAAGAACTCAAGAGGTTATGATTTGCGGTTATACACAACTATCCAACAGCCTGCAGTTGCAGGTATACCCCTGTGCCAATAACCAATTCACAGATGGACTTACATGTATCAGTTCTGCTCCTTAGTCTCTATCTTTTACCAAATTGCTGATCATTTTACCAAGAGGAACAGTACCCTTCGTCATGATCTCCAATCTCGACGTATTGGAAGCATGCGAGAAGAGTGACAGCCCGAAGACCAGCAGTTCAGGGAGAAACAGCCTGGAAGACAAGAACCCATGCCAGTAACGAGGCTCCAGGTCAAAAAACGCATCAAAGAACCTCCTCGTAGCTTCCAAGTCAAGCTTCAGCAGAATATCCATTCCAAAACAGAAGAACTCCCTCTGCCTCCGCCGTTCAATAGGCCACAAGTCTCTCCACACCTCAGCAGAGAGCTGATCTCCTCTCAAACTGTCACCACTCGTTGAACCACCAAGGTATCTCACAATGGCCTTTGCAACTATAGGCGCAGCTGCAAGAGTCCTAGCAACCATGTAACCGGTCGAAGGATGAACCATCCCCGCTGTACCACCAATCCCCACAACCCGTTGAGGCAAAACCGGCAAAGGACCGCCCATGGGGATCACACAACGCTCGTCTTCCTCAATCCGCTTCACATTGATCCCCAAATGTTTCAGCCTAGCAACCATTCTTTCTTGAATATCTTCCATCCGCAGACCTGGCCTAGCAACAAGAGACGTCTCTTCAAGAAATATCCTGTTGGAAGAAAACGGCATGGCATACAAGAACGTTGGGATCTTGCTGTTCCGCTCCTTAAGCTCAGGATACGAATCAAGATGCTTGTCTCTCCAATCCATAAACACCATCTTATCCACATCAAACGGATGACCATCAACCTCAGCCACAATCCCATAAGCCACTTGATAACCGGGGTTATACGGTTTATCATACTGAACCAAGCACCGTGAGAACCCGGTGGCGTCAAGAACCACCGAAGCCTGAATCTTTACACCGTCGCTGCAAACCACGGTGGAGTTTTCCTCCTCGTGAACCACGTTGGTGACCTTTGACTGATGGAACTTGACACCGTTGGCTATACATTTCTGAAGCATTTTGGATTTGAGCTGTTTCCGGTTAACTCTCCCGTAAGGCCGGGATAAGTCCTTCTTGGCGCCGTCGTTATCGATGTAGACAACAGCGCCGGACCAGGTGGTGTCGAGGCAATCGAGCAAGTCCATGGCTTCGAACTCATCAACCCAAACTCCATAGTTGTTAGGCCAGATGAGCTTTGGAGAAGGATCAATGGAAATAACAGAGAGTCCGGCTTCGGAAACCTGCTGAGCCACGGCTAAACCGGCGGGGCCACCACCGACGATAGCCAGATCAACAACTCGACTCATGGAAGGATCGTATAAGGGAAGATCATAGTCAAGACTCTCCTTCTTAGTCTCAGGAACAAGATCCAGAAGAGCACTACTACTACCAATTTTGATTGCCCTTTTCTTCACACAAAGCTTAACCTTTGAAGAGTTTGGATTGTTACTGCATAATCTCTCAAACCCATTAAACTGAGGGATGAAAAATCCGAGCTTGTTGGGTGTTTTCAGAAGAGTATCCATATCGAATCCTTAAGAACTGAAGAGAACCAGTATAACAGAGATAAGAGAAGAAAAAAAAACTTCAACTTTCAGATAATTCAAAGTCACCGAGAGTTAATCGGAGACGATTTCTAAGCAGAGGGATATCAGCGAGACCTGCATGAAGAAAAGAGGAAATGGAGTTTCAAAATCACTGATTGCAATAGATGAAGGAAGAAGAAGATGAAGGAAGGCCACAAAGACTTACCCAGAAGCAGTAGCTTCATGGAGATTGGAGATGGAGACTATTATCTTCCCAGAGAAAGAGAGAGTGAGAGAGAGAATTGAGTCTGTGTTTGTGGTTTGAGTCATTTGGTGGGGTCTCTGCCCATTATGGCTATAATCTTACTCATTTTCTAGTTTTTGCTTCTTTCCCATTAAGATAGATTTTTTTCCTTTTTATATACATTTTAATTAATTTATTGTTATAAATTATAAATTTGACTATTAATTAACACCTCTAACTGAATTTTTGAATTATTATTTTTAAAATTTATGAGAAATAATTTTACACTAGACTAGCTCCATAAATACACGGAATTTATTTAAAATTTTTAAAACAACGAAAAAATATTATTATCATAAGATTATTTACCATGGCTATCTTGCATCAATTTTCAGGTCTTGTAATCAGCAATTTGGCCGAGTTTTAGAACAGTATGATACGATGATAATTTTAATTTTGATCCAACTAATTCAGAGTATAATTTTCATTGCTTTCTTAAATTTTTCGAAAACATAATTTTATTTATTCTAACTAGAGAAAGAGAACAAAAAATGAAAGAATACTACTCTCTTTATTTCAAATTAGTTGTCGTTTTGGCAAAATGTATCTGCAAATATTTGGACAAATCTGGACGTGTTTTGCATTGTAGATACATCCAAATAATCACAGATACATTTTCCTAAAATGACAATTAATTTGAAACAGAGGGAATAATTAATTTGTAAGTTATAGTTTATTATATAAGATTTGATAAGATATAAAATATGGCAAATTTTTTTTTTATGTTAGAATATGTAATATTAGAATATGACATGCAAAAATATTTTGTTTTTTTCCATTTTTTTAACATATTTTTAATTCGTTTTTTATTTTATTTTATTTTCTAAAATATATGTCAAGATCTTGACAAAATTAAAATGAAAAATGATATAGTATAACAGTATCACGATATGTAAGTTAAAATTATATTATATGATATCCAACTTTATATAATAAAATACAAACTTATTATTATAAATTATTTTAAAACAAAAATACGTGTGAGAATCTATGGTCATTGGAAAGATTTCGGTTTGCGTTTGTTAATTTGTCATTAGTCTCTATCAGTCAACCACCACATCACCACAAAATGCTAAACATCGCACAAATGAAGAGATAACAACCAATCAGAAAATATTAACGTTATATATACTCTCTTTGTATCCGAGGTTGATTGAGACTAATTTTTTTGTCTCTTTTAAATCGCAAGAAAAAGACATACATGATACAACACAATCTACGGATGAAACTAGATAGTCTCATTAATTTAGCTTTCACCAATATCCAAACCACTAGAGTATAACAAAAAGAAATTGTAACAAGCAAAACACTAATACACAAAGAGAAAAAGAGACAAAATCACACGCTGAAAATTACATATGATCTTATTCATAAACTTATTACTAACTTGAAGCTAAAGTAATAATAATGTTAATGGAAATCCCCTTTTATACACGCCACCCAATAGTCTTTGCAAGTAAAACATCAGAAAAGCTGAATCCTTTTGTACACACACGTCACCTACGTTATGAGTGATAAAGCAAAACCTGCAAAGTGATAATAATGTCAGATCTGTACATTCACAACCCAAAACGGTAGGAGGATTGTTCTTTACCTGTTGACCTAGCTACTCGCTCCCAATGTTCTCGTAACTGAAACCTTCAGATATGGTCTCCAGTCTCTTGTTGTCTCCTACAAATCACACACATTTGCCATATCAGTTTTGGTTTTTTGCCTCAAGTTTCTTCTACTTTCTCTAGACCAGCGAGTAATGTCTTGCACTTTCTCCAATCTCTTGTTGTCATGAAAAATTTAGAAACAAAGTCTCAAAGTTGTCTCACCTTGATATTCTCCTCTGTCACGGGAGTCCAGGAAATTTTCAGCATCACGCGCAAGGAAGGGTGACCTATCGTAGCTCTCAAGAATCTCTGAAATCAACATGAAACTTATGGTTAGTTACAAACAATGAATCTTATTAGCTAACTACTTGTATATGAGATAGAGAAAAGACCTGAGCTCTGTGAGAAATCAGCTGTCAAGTCAGAGAGGCTGAAATTCCGAGGGATTTGACCTAAGAACCCAAAAGTAGAAGCTTCAGCGTCAAGAAGAGGATCACTGAGGGGTTGTTGGTTGTTGGACTCGTTACCAAAAGAAGGAATCGAAGCATCTCCAACAGTGGAGTGTCCTTCCAAGGCACTCCGTTCACCACCATACATGAATGAAGCAGGGTTTGCATAGGCAGTCTCCGACTTGATCATCCCTCCTCCTCCATTCATTCCTTGCATCATATTAGGCATGTTTGTGGTCTGTGAAGATGAGAGCATGTTTGGAGATGCATCAACTCTCCTAGCATGTGTTGATATGTTCACAGAGGAGGCCACGTTTGTGTTGAGTGTTGAGGAGCCGTTGAGGTATGGATTAGACAGACCAGAAGCCATAGGATGATGTGCATTATCAGACTTCAAAGACTGATCAGATGCATAACATAACTGTTTCTGATTCACTGTGAAGAGAGTTGATGTCTTTCATAGATTAGCTATCTACTATACACATGAAAAATCAACCATATAGAGTCTAAGGAATATTACTTGATTGGATATAAGAGCCATTAGTGTTTTGGATGGAAGTGACTCCAGTAGGATGCATCTGACGCATGTGGTAATCCTGCTGCTCAAGGAGCTTGTTGAACTCCATAATCTGGTGTTTCACCATTAGCCTAAGATGGTAAGCCTTGAAAAACTCCTTGTTCTCTTCTTCAAGCTTCTGCCAAACTGTTAACCAAAAAGGAGACAATAATAGCATAAGTTTTTGATCACTCATGTTGATTATGTCTGCCTCTTTTTATGCTTCTTATGATTTCTCATTCTAAGCACAACCAAATTGTGCAGAAACTCCAGTTACAAGCAACAGAATAAACAGATGCTAATATGGGTACCTAGCTGTGTGAAGCCAGGCTCGATTTTAGCCTGCTCCAGTAGAGTTTCAACGACTTCTTCCTGATTCATGTAAAGTTGGAGGCATCGCTCTATAAGGTTCTGAACCTGAAACAGAGATAAACAACAGGCCTAACGTAAGTTTATTGAGCTCTTGTCAACAATCTCAATATATCAAAGAGAAGGAAAATAAACTACAAAGGAAGATAACTAAAAACCCTTCATTTGATTTGTTTCAGTTACCAGTTGTATATCTTGACGTGAGACTCTTCTCACTGTTCCACTTGACATCTCTGAGAATTTTGTAAAACAGATGTTGTTCCTGTCAGGTAGAAGCAGTTTATCGATCATTAGAGACTTTATCTTAAACTATATATATACACTCAATGATTTAGAAACAAGCTTCTTTTTCATATTTCAACTCCCAGTTTTCAGACTAGAATTCAAAGAGAGAGCACAGAGCAAAATTAAAGCAAAACTTGAAAATAAAATTATAGTCAAGGGTACATTTATTATTTACACATGACTATAAAAAAAGAAACCCATCAATAACAGACTCTGTGTAAGATGGACTCTGAAGAGGCAAAACCACAGGATAATAAAAATCAAAAATTTCTCCATAAAAACAACTGTGTATTCGATTTCTATAGGTCCCAAAAGACAGAGAGAGAGAGAGCATACAGAAACAGAGATTGAGAATGAATCAGCTAAACATGGATTTACATATACGCAGTGAAACGAATTTGAGAATCATCTCCATTTATCCCCATCTAATCACATCACAATACTTTGAATCGATTTCTTCTTCAAATACAACCGGATCAAATCAAACCAAACCAAACCAAAAAAACTATTTAAAAAAGAACATGCGTGAAGCATAACCATCAAAACATCACAGAAGCAAATTCAGAATCTTAAAAAGGTGAAAACAAAAGCGGTACCTAAGAGAAGAGGAAGAATCGTGGAGAGAAAGAGAGAGGAACCTAACCTTACTTTGATGATCGATCGTGGATCAATTCTTTACTCTTTTTTTTTATTTCTTCCATTTTCCATTTTTCCGTATATTTGATTTGATTTACTTTCTTTTTTTTGTTTAAATTACACATTACGGCTCGGTAGCTCAGGAGGCTGCCACGTGTAGAATGTGTGACTGTGGTGGATCCCATTCAGTTTTATCTGATCTTCTTGTTGGCAGTCAATCCTCTTTGGTCAATAGTACAAAACTACAAACTAGGAGTAGAGTAAGTACAGTTCGTAGAAGATAACAAATCTCAATATTTGTTGGAGTATAATTTTTAGTAGTGTCTTTTAAATGTTAACCATTTAAGATATTTTACAATCTTCCAATATTTGATGTCTTAATATAGTACTCCTATATGATATTGACCAAATAGATATGGAAATAGTTCCAAATTGTTTTTTGATAAAATAGTTCCAAATTATTAACCAAATTATGTTTTTTTTTTTGCTTGGAGTTAAATGTGAAATTTTATACCATTTTAAGATTTGTGACATCTATTATATAGATAACTTAAAAGACAGAAAAACCGAAAAAAAACTACAGAAGAAAAGCAAAGCTACTAACCAATCAAAGTAAATCACTGAGAATGGTAATGGACATGATGTAAATAATCTGACAAGTTAGTTGGTTGTTGAAACAAGACAGTGTTATATACTTCGTTTAAGAATACTAATCAAGGAGACACAATGGATATTTATTTGCAACAAAATTAAAAATATTCAATACACAAATCTACATAACAATCTCGAAACATGAACTTAGCAAACCACATAATTCCATTGTTCTAACAAGAAAGAAAGATAAAGAGCTTAAATTCAGTCACGCTTCTTCAACCCAAACTTTCCACTTGACATTCTACTGAATAAACCAGAATCAAGCTTCTTGTAGTGAGTATGAAACTTCATGAGCATAGAATCAACAAAACCATCAACTTCATCTTCATATCTCTCATACAGAACCGGCATTGTGTGCGCTCCCACAAACCCTTCACCAAACCAAAACGCATCTTCTCAAAAAATCTCTTATAAACTCAATTCCCAAATCTTTAAAAGAGTCACTAACAAGAATCACTCACCAATATACAAAACAGTTAGGAAATTGCAACAGCTCCCGATCATTGCGGCTAACCATAGTCCGATCACAGCCTGAAACAGATTAATCTGTCAACCAAAGCTGCTAAAACATTATGTAGAAAGTGAGATGAGAGAAAGAGCTATACGCACAGCGAGGAATTGTTTCAAATTCCCTCTACAAGACAGGTCCTGAAGATACAACAAACCACGGTTAACTTCTTTTCCAATGGTCACACCAACTTCCGCAAAGAAGTCCTTTGGAAGAGTAAGCCGAGGCACTCTAGACTGTGACCTGTTTTTTGAGACATTTGTGAAAGGACTGATTTTTTAGATTGCAATCATTAGGAACAGAGAATATAAAAAACAAGAACTTTAGAGAACCAAAAATTACCGGTTTAGAAGCCCAGAGGCATTACACCAAACGAATTGAGCGATCATACCAAGCATGAGACCGTAACAAACGAGAGAGAGGAAATGGAAATTGATCCACTCGAAAAGCACCCAAATTGCAGTAGCTCCCATCAGGAAACTTGCAGAGATCTTCTTGTTCCTCCACAACAACACATCAGCAGCTGAAGAATCTCTCTCAAGACTTAATTAGATTTAGAACAAAACACAAACCAATCTCACATTCACTTCTACAGTGTGTGTAATTTGGAAATTCTTACATTTGCCACCGCCTAAGACATGATGGATTGGCTTCTCGCGACCGAACACACGGTTGAAACGAGAGGCGACGGTGTCTTCTTCTTCGAAGAAAGAAACGTTTTTCTTCTTCTGAACAGACTCCGTGAAGTTATCCACAAAGTCGCCGATAACGTCCTCTACAATATTCTTCTCAGGCATGATTCTGAATCACCAATCAAAACTGAATTTAATCTCAACCCTTTCGATACTCAGAAGTAAGAACAAACTCAAGCATAGCTAAACCCAGAACTTGAAATTATATTAAAAAAAAATCAAATATTTCGATCGTTTCTTCATACCAATACGACCCACGTGCTAAACCTTTAACCCAAAACCTTTCAAGTTCACAAATTTTTAACTAGTTCGTTGGTGATAATTACGACAGTGAAATGAAACCCAGATCTTATAATTTGGCGAGAAAAACAAGAGCTAGCATAAACTCAGAAATGGAAGAGGAGAAGGAGATAAAGATAAGAAGATGTCTAAGAATTAACCTGGATGGATTAAAGAAGAAGAAGCTGGTTCTGTGAATTTTCACACAAAAGTAGCTGCCTTTTCTCTTTTTTTTTTTGTAGATTCTCAAAAGATGAAGAATAAAAAAAGAAAGATGAAGGGTGGAAGTGAAAAGCAAGCGATGGGATTGGTTGGGTGGAATTATTGAACTGAATTGAATAGAAATTGACCCAATTGAAAATGAATGGTTTTCTTTTGAAATATCAAAAAATGTGGACAAGTTGGAGTCTTGTGGAGTGTAGGGATGGGGACTCATGTATTCCCACGTGCTACCCGTGACAAACTGACAATGTTTTGAGAAGAAATCTTATTTACCAGTTTCATTACAAAACAAACAAAAATGTTTTTGAATATAATATAGGGAAGATGATGTTGATTTTTCAGCCGTTACATTTCTTATCGAAGGTCAAACAACTAATCTTTTTATTTGAAGTGAAATAAACTGCCACTATAGCTAAGCTGTTCATAGTTTTGAGTGTGTGAAAAAAAAGTGTATGGAGCCAGTGTAATTTCTTCGTAGACATGAGACATCTAATAAAATTGGAACAGAACAAGATTAAGGCGCAAATCGAAAAAAGAGAGAGAGAGTAAGAAATGGTATTAGAAACGCATTTCACAACCATAAAAAACATCAAAGAAACGCAAAACTCAAATCAGATAATTCAAGAACACAGTTACCTTCTTATCTTCCTACTAATCCTTAGCTTTAACTTCTTCCCATCCATCGGGGTTATGATTTTGAGTCGATGAAGGGATTGCTAGAGAATCTGATGATTTGATAATGGGGGCTTTTCTTGTATAAAGTAGGTTATTCAAAGGTTTGAGTGTTTTACGAAGTGTACACTGTACACAACTATGTTATGAGCAGTAGTTGGATTAACCAGAGTTTCATTTGACTTTAATAGATTTTATTTAAACAGCTGGCGAGTTTAATGTAACTGCCAATATAAATCAATTCAAAAGATGATATTTTAGGAAATTTGAATTTAGAGACAAAATTTCTTATCGTTTTGTTCGATAGAGACAAGTTTTCCTAACTGATAGTATACCGTTTGTAATAAGTAGTCGATAATATTTATCATGTGATCAGAAGTAGATTTGATTTGCAAGAAAATGGTCTGTGATATTTTTTAGGAATATTTACGAGAAATTAATTCAGGAGTACAATGTAAGAAAAAATTATCTTTTTTTTTCAATTTTTCTTTATCTCATTATGTATTGATGTCCACGCATGATTTTCAGCAATGCCAAATTGAAGTCATAGATAGCAAGTAAAGTGTCCACTGAAATTTGAATGCAACATTTGCAGTCTCGAGAAAATCTAGTTCCAAGAGAGAAAATCTAGTTCAACATTTGCTATTTTGCTTTGTGAAGTGCCATTAATTTTGACTTTTGAGAGATAATTCTAACAGTGGTTTTTGTTTATTTATCCTATCACCCAAAGGGCAGAGAAACAACAACAAAAACTGTTGGCCTAAGAGCATCTGATTTAATCTTGAACGACAATATGATGTACTCCCTACGCACTTCGCAAGCAATAACCTGTTGTTTATATGTCGAGTTTCTCTAGATTGATCCTAGTCGCAGAGCTTTTTATGAGTTCCTTCCTGACATCAACCTGAAACAGACACAGAACACAACATTGCAGCGCCAGTTTTGCCGGTTTATCGTCTTTATTAAGAACATGCACAGGTCTGAGTTTTGTGGCAATTCATTGGCTTACCCGAGCACCCATAAGAGATGAGAAGACCATATTCGTTTCAGCTGCGTCATCAACAACGAGCTGTTTCAGTATCCTTGTGTCTGGATTCATCGTTGTTTCCCATAACTGCAAAGGCATCATCTCTCCCAAACCTGCAGATGCAGACAAAGGTAAAAATATTTACGGATTAATACTTTTGCGCCATCTCGAAACCAAGTTTTGCGGCAAATATAATTTTCGTTATGCACACATCCAGAGAACACCTACTACTACAGATTAACTTGTCATAGTTGTTTAACCTTTGCCCTACAACACATTCATGATGCGAGAAGACATAAGACTACAGAAGCTAGACTTCTCTATGGCTTTACCTTTGAACCTCTGAATGTTGTAGGACGCGTTTCCAGGGAACGAAGCAACAACTTTTTTAAGAGCTGCATCGTCATAGCAATAGTGCGCCTGTTTCCCCCTCTCAACCTGCTCGTTTTCAAAGAGAAACTAGCGTCAGAAAAAAAACTTTATGTAAATCTGGAGCAAGATCATAAATGCTAAGAACTTACCTTGAAAAGAGGTGGAACACCAACGTATATGCAACCCGCATCAAACAAGGCTCTCTATAGAAAAGAAGTTTCATTAATTTCACATAAGTCTACCATCACAAAAATTTATCCAGCTAAACTAGTACCTGATATCTGAAGAAAAAGGTCAGCAGAAGTGTCCGGATATGTGCACCATCAACGTCTGCATCTGTTAAGATGATGATTTTGTGGTAGCGCAGATTCTCCTTGTTAAAATCTTCTCCCTGAAATAAATTATATGTCACACTGAGTTTGCCAAAAAGATACCAACAAATATGATATGAAAAAGGATGTATCACCTTAACTCCAAGACCAAGGCCGAGAATTAGATTTTGAATCTCTTCGTTCTTATACATGGCTGCTTCATCCTTTCTCTCAATATTTAAAATTTTACCTCTTAGAGGAAGAATCGCCTGCATAGATCCAAAATACTGTGTTACGCACTAACTAAATAGAAGCAGAACACACTGTTTCCACAGTCCTATATGTTTTAACATTCATCAAAACGATAATGAGCAGAATGATTTATGATACCTGGAAACGCCTGTCACGACCCTGTTTTGCGCTGCCACCAGCAGAATCTCCTTCGACTATGAAAATCTCTGGTAGCATAGGAAAAAGATGTCAATAACTGACCAACTTTCACAGCTTAAAAGTGTTTAAAGCTATAACCAGTAAATAATTACAGCCTCTAGTTTTCTTTCCTATTTTCTCTCTCACTTTGTGTCTACGAAGATTAAATGTTTGACAATTTAAACGATTTCATTGTCATATATACTCATAATTTAATTTCATCAAACTGAAACCATGTTCTGATTTCCTAAAAAATGGCTATTTCATGCTGGTTAATGCATACCAGATTCTGCAGGATCTGTAGATGAGCAATCTGCCAGTTTCCCAGGAAGTGAAGATGACTTCAAAATGCTTTTCGATCTGACCAACTCTCTAGCCCTCTTGGCAGCTAGAGCAGCCTAAAAAGAGTCAACAGAGAAAATTCTCGGTCATTCGGTTGAAATTTGTAACTAGACGCACTGTAATAGGCATAGGAGAAGAGATGAGACGCATTCTTCTAATCACAGATATAACAAATTGATCCTTAAGGGTTTAAACACACATTTGTGTGTTCGAGTGGATGTCTGCAGGTGAAAGATGTGAAAAGATGAGCAGATATATCAATGTCATACCTTGTACGCATTCAAGGATTTGGATATAATGCTTTCAAGAACATCCGGATGCAATTCCAAGAACTCTGTGAGGTACTCCTGGACTGATTGGTCTACAATTTTTCTCACCTCTGGATTCCCTAGTCTTGTCTTTGAGACATTAGGGGGCACAAAAATATTAATACGAGCAACCGAATACAAGGAATGTTATGGCCTGCTGACCTCAAAGATCACTACCAAAACAAAAGAGGGGCAGCAAATCATTTATGCTCTTGAGTACCTTTGTTTGACCTTCAAACTCAGGATTAGGAACCTTGACTGATACAATGCAGGTCAAGCCCTCCCTTACATGTTCCCCACTTAAGCTAATATCCTTCTCCTGGAAACATAACCAACGAGAATAAATTTCAACATTAGTCAGCAACCTTTTCAGAAATGACAACCTAAAACTGGTCAAGATAAATGCTTAAATGAATGCAAAGCAACCTCTATAACAGGATGATGCTTCACAGTTCAATCATAGGTAAGTACATTGTTCGTTGTATGTAAAGCATGCAGATGTTAAAACGTATTGCAGCAGAGCATATTAACTGCAAATGTACGAGTATTCAAATTCAGTCTCAGTCCATGGAGATGATAATACAATCCTACCTACACTAGTGACCAACTAACCCCAATTTTCCTGTGCAGCTTTTTTGGAAAAAGAGGGAAAGAAAAGGGGGAAAAGTCTCTAAACCTCTAAGAGTGGAAATAGAAAGTGTGTAAAACGCAGTTGGTTACTGATATCACACCTTGATAACCTTTGACTTTTTTGCAAGGGTATTTAGAGTTCTTGTTAATGAAGCCTTCACACCTTCTATATGTGTTCCTCCATCAACGGTGCGGATACTATTCGCGTATCCCAGCATCGTATCCGAATAGGCATCTGAGCACCTGGTTCATTAACAAGACTATAAATTTAAATCATATGAACTTGGATAGTAACCATGATTTACGCATTCTCATCTAGAATAACTGCAGCATATACAGTCATAAACTCCACATACAGACAGTACAGCATTTCCCCTCCAGTTTACAGATAGAGTAAACCATAACATCAGTCAGCCTAAATGTTGTGGTTTCAAGGTATACGAAGCCAGATTGTACATGATCATTATAAAAGCAGAGTGAAATATAATATAAAAGACGTATACAGAAGAAAAA